TTCATTAACATCTCTGAGTCCATCACAGGCCAAGAATAATCTAGAATTACATTTCCTGATCTAGAAGGCATGTTTTCTCCTCCTTATTCTACCAAGTTTCTGAGCATAGATACAATATTGTAAAGAAGAAGAGAAATGCAATACAGAGACAATAAGCAAAGCAATGAAAATTACAGCGACAGTTACTAAAACCTCCAATTCCTCGAATCTCTGTTACGAAGAGCAAAACTCCAATCATTAGACAAAAGATGCAGCCCACGATGCTATCGCGCAGTCCGTTTGCCACCAAAGTAGGTGGGACGACAAATAGGAGAAACCGAGAAACTGCGCACGTACATAATCATCAGAAACCGAAATCTAAAAGAACAACACAATCTGTAGACATAAGTGAGACTCAAGAGGATATAAAAAAAAGACCTGGAAAAGTTCGAGGAAATATGAGGTTTGCAGCAACAGCAAGAAAGGAAACCCAACGACCAAATTGTCCCCTGCATACTTTGATGTGTAAGTTTAGTGGACGTGGGCGTATTATATGAAATTAAAAAGGAATTGGCAAAAACCACCTCAAAATTTTGAATAACACCGTCGGGAAGCTCGTAAATAAGAACAGTACAAGAAGGCTACTTTGCATGCCTGATCTCCGCCCTACTCGGTTCAAGATTAACAAAATTCTGTACACAACGTAGGATACGGCAAAAAACCACAGTAAGAGACAGGTTGAAAACAGAGCATCAACACGTGAATAGTGAGAACCAATTCGAATGTAATATATCTAAAGGCTCCTGAAGACAAAAGAAGCATGTGGTTCTGCAGTTAGCTACATATGTCACCGAGAAGAGGTGATCTTCATCTTCATCTTCATTGAGAGAATATCAAGTCAAACAACCAAAAACATATCCAATGCCCCAGTAGCATTCACGTACAACAAAATTATGTCCTAGCAGTCTTGCCCCAGAGATCTGAAGTTTTGAAATTTGTATAGTGAAACACAGAACAGATTAATGGACAAAAAAAAGAACACAAAACACGGATTGCTGTTCCACAAGTGCTAAAACATCCTTCACAGACCAATCATATCATACTCATAATCATTGATGACAAAACAACAGTGACAACCATGGACATTAGACGAAAACCAGAGCAGTCGTGGTTCAGGGACCATTCACAAGAGATTAATAATAAATTTAATTGAAATATAATAGGAAGAAAGGAAATGACTGTGCTTTAGTCATCATTAAGAATTTCACGGCTTGCCAAGATAAATTATTGGAGTTTAAAATGGGGGTTCTCTCATATTTTACTGTTAAACCCACACAGAATACAAAATCAATATAATTTAAAAAAAAAGTGGCAGATGTAGCCATTCTTTCCACCACCATATGCATCCAATCCAAGTAAACCAACCTAAACCAAAAATAAAATAAGAAAGAAGGATAAAAAAAGGTGAAATTGAATAGTGAAGTGACTAACAAGGCAAAGATGGTTCCACCCCATTGAAAGGTGGCACGAGCCCCACTGGCGCTTGATCCTGCTTCTGCTTCTGCTTCTGCTTCATATGCAACAGTCGCAGCCACCAATTCAGCAAAACCCATCTTCTCCAAATTCCCAGCCTTCGATTCTTTTTCGCTATTATTTCTTCATGGTTTCTTTCTCCGCCTCAAGACTACGCCTGGGAAGTGGGGGCTGGAATGGAAGGTTGGAAAATTTTTTATTTTTGAGTAGGCCCCCCCCCCATGTGTGTTTCCACCTAACGATAGCTGCACGTGGCAGTGCACACCTGGGGGCCATGTTTTCGTCTTTGCTTCCTCGTACAGTTGTGCGTAAAGCGAAAACAGAGCTTTGATTCCCTTTCAAATGGGCCCTCCCCTAACAATAATGGGTTTTCACTTTTTGGGCCTCGTGTTTCATGGCTGGCCCTCATTTTAGAAGCCTTTTAATTCGCTACATTATTTTTCTAGTGAATTAGGGCTCATTTGGAAGTGATTATAAATAGGTCAATATTCACTTTTATGGAAAATCACTTTTTCATATAATCACTTTATAAGTGGTTTTAAGTGCCATTTGGCATTGCTTATTTGGGGACTATAAGTTATTATTTTGAAATTTTTAAAAACTCGGCATGTTTGGTAAAAGATAAAAAAAATCACTTCTTGTAAATAATTGTTGTGAGAGAAAGCAATTAAGGAAAGCAGCTAATGAGTTTTTTTTTATTTTTATATATGCGATAATCATTTTGGAGAGCGCACTGGCGTCTCTCTTCTCCTTGTTTCAGTCTTCTCCTTCCCATCACTCTCTTCCACGTTCATCAGAGCTCCCTCTTCACCTTCTCTTCCATTTATCCTTCTTCCTTTAAACCCTAGAAATGTCGATTTCATAGTCACTCATTCTCTGGAGATACCCAAAAAACAAACATTGTGATCTTCATTCAGATTACTGATTCGGCAATGACAACTGGCAGATAGAATGATTGGAAAGGCGTGAGACAAAGTAGCCATGACTCCTTTTTCCCTTTGTTACTATCTTACTGATGAAGAAAAGGCTTTAAACACTATCGAATGGTAAAGGTTTTTGCATTGAACAAGAAACAATTTGCTTTTCTTAAAGGTAACCCGAAAACCAATATGGACACCATAATTCAATTATTTAAATGGACAATTCCTTGTTCCTATTTGGTAAGAACCAAATTCTTATTTCTTATTAGAGAAGACTCGAGAGAGTGAAACCCAACCCATTTCATTTCATGCTACAAAGACAACAACAACTTGAGTAAAAAGAAAAAATAATGATGCTTTTTAATTAAATGCTCCATTTCAAACCAAAGACCATTCCCCTAAATAATTTTATATTTAAGTGGAGAATTTTAAACACTTGCATAAAAGAGTTATTTCACCATAATGTTTTTTTTAGTCATTATACACAACTTACAACATTTTCGCACAAAAATTTACAAAACACTTAAAAACTGATTATTATACCAACATCACTTTTAACAAAACACCAAACATTTTTCTTTCACAGCTGTTTTCTCTCACAACAAATCTGACAGCGATTATTTTTACAGCACAACAACGTCAAACTGGCCCAAAATGATTTTATGAAGAACCACATGGGAAGTGTTTCTCCCCAAAATCACTTAAAATCAATTAAAGTGATTATATGGAGAAGCACTTGGTAAGTGTTTCTCTCCGTAAATAATTCTAGCCTTCCTAAAGTCACTCCCAAATAAGCTCTTAGACTTCAATAATGTTTATTTTTATCTAAGTGTGAATTTGACCTATACATTCGAATAAAAATAAATTCAAGGACGAAAGTACACTTAGAATAGGGTGGACTTTAGCTCCACAACTCCCAAGACAAAGTCAGCTATTCATCAACACAAAATAGACCATGAAAAGAATTATAGCTCACTTTTGTGAAATTCATGCTTTCGTCCTTAAATAATCCTAATTTGTAACCGAAAGAAAACTAAACTTAATCAAGCATCTTGATTCGTAATCTAACAACATGAGAATCAAACAATCTGACAAATTTCTAGGGCTTGGTTCTTATCCCTTGGCCTGCTTCAAAACTTCAAACCGACCTATGAAGTCATTTTGACATCAATTGTGCCTCACGTATGTTGGATACCATTTGCGAAGGTTCATAGACTGGTCATCATCTAGTAGGTTTACTTTAAATTGAGACCTTTAGGTATTATCTTCTTCTATTTTTCCCTTTTTTAATAGTATAAATGATAATCTAAATTATAGGGATAATGATTTCTTATACACGCAGACAACCAATATGTCATAGGGATGACTGCGTATTATTTTCTTAAGTAACCAATAATTAAGACTAAATAATATAATACTTCTCTAATAATTAATATCGTAGAATAAGGATATGTAGCATTTAATTCCTCCACTTGATTTTTGACACGACTAATCTTATTGAATTTTCTAAGCCATAAACCTAATTCAAATTGTGCTGTGGCATGCATCTCCACCTTCCACTTTGAACTTACCAACATTTTATTAGCCTATGAGGATGAGAAGAAGAGAGGAAGATGATATATATGGAAACGAAATTGGCATGATTTAGAGGAAGAAGAAATTTGTTTACTGTGGGTTTCGCTGTCCAGGTTTTAAATTTTAATTTCACACAGTTTTGAGTGCACTGTGATGTTTATGATTGTCACGGATTGACTCTACTTTCCTGGTAGCTAGCTTCAACAATTATGTCACAAAAAGAAAACTAAAGGTTGTTTTCTGGTCTATAAAGCTTATATCTCAATTTTCTTTTCCTTTACTTTTCCTCAGATCCTCATAACTTTGCTTCAGCTTGAAGCATTTTACAGATGGCATCATGGGGCTCTTCAAATCTGAATATATGCTCCTCCTAAATTTGCAATATATACATATATCAATGTTGCAACAAAAGCTCAAGCTTCCTTGAAAACAAAGCAAACCCACATCACGCTTTGTCTGCAAGTATCATTGAAAACTTTAGAACTACCTTCGTCCTGCTCGTGTAAGAAATTTATGAGCCAATTTAAGTTTATTAATGAATTTCAGATTTAATATATTGAAACTAAAGATGATATTAACTAGTCATCTTTTCTACCTTGGAATTTGTCCTATGTTGTTTTCCTAGGAATATGGATTAACGTGTCTATCAAAGTGTGGATCTAATAGACTTTTTAATGGGTTTTGGATTATAAAGGCTAGATCCATACTCTCAATTAGTGATTTTGTTTACGTATGTATAGTGTCTTAAATGTGCGTATGTTTCTTCGCGATTCGGTTTACAGTTTCTCTTGAGCTCTCTTTATGTTTGTGCTCAACTCAAACTCTTACCACTAAAAAAATGGCAAATTTAAGTTTAAGTATTGCAACATGAATATAGAAATGTTCCAACTCCATAAAGAAAGAACCATGATAGAACCACACAACACATCCATGCATATGCATATTTACGACTAATTAGACATTATTAAATCATCAACCATGAACTTAATTAAGTTAAGCCATCATTCGATGAAACTCATTAAAATCAACCACCCCATTGCCATCAGTATCAAAAACTTGAATCATGGTGACACACTCATGATATGACTTGGTGTCACCAAGCCTATGCAGCATCCTCTGCAAGCTTCTAGGGGTTATGACCCCCTTCTCCAATTCAAACATCTCGAAGGCCTTCTTCAAGTCCTCGTCGTCTCCTCCTCCTCTGCCCATCAGCTGCAGAAAGTCTTCAAAGTCTAACAGGCTGTCTCCATCTGCATCAAGATCTTTGATCACAGCCTCAGCCTCCTCATGCGACATGTACTCACCTATGGACCCAAAATAGGCTCTGAGCTCGGAGGCTGATATTTTGCCATCGCCATCTCCATCGAAATAGCGAAAAACTTCTCTGAGCTCATCTTCCCTGCTTGTCCATCGTGGACTGATTGGCCCAACTGGAGCACTGGTCGGGGACAGAGGAGATTTAGGGCTAGATTTGGATGATCTTCGACCGGGGAAGCTGAGCTTGAGACTCTTGTTAGAGAACCATTTGGAGGGTTTGGAGATTGCCCTACTGTCAGTTGTTGTTGCCATTGATGGAGAGAAATTATTAGAACTAGAGAGTTGGTGTTTTCTGTTCAAGTGTGTCACGTCTTATATAGGCAGAAAAAAGAAAAATGAGGGGTTTGATTTATTTGGGCATAATTGAAGCTTTTGAAGTATTGGGAGCTGCAGTGAAATTGCAGGGCGGTGAGGAAAACAATACGAATACAGAGACTTTTTAGGTGGAGAGGACTTAAGGGAGGAAGGTGCATGGAAACTTCCTAAGGTCCCAACAAGAATTGATTGTTCACTGACATTTGGATGGTTCCCATACGCTTTAATTTCCATGGGGCCTATGAAACTGGTGACTCAAGTTATACCAAAAACAAACAGAACAAAAAATGTTTTATGTTGGTAAAATTCTTCACTCTTGACCTTAATTTCAGTGCTAGTAAGGTTGATGGAGTTTTCAATTGGATGTATAGCTTTTGACCTTAAAGTCGACATAAGGTACCTTAAAGTTGTTATGTTCCACATAGTATAAACATAAATTTGTGATATTTGTATATGATCAATACTTGTTGTAGCTTTATGTAAGAAAAATACTTCCCTACCCCGGCTTCATTGGTCCCTTTTTTTCTGTCTCCCTCCTCACGTACGATAGGAGCAATGAAATCAGAGCATGCAAGTTTCTCTTACAAAGACTGTATCCTATGACCACAAAATAAGAGAGGGCTCCCAAAACTTGAGTTAGTTTAAGATTTTGGACCCAATTCAACAAAAAACAAAAAGCAAAACAAATATATCAATTTATTTGTGTAAGTACAAAATTTGATTAGAGGTTAATTAGACAAAAGAAAATGTTATTCTTTAAATTAATTTAATTTAAAGGGAGTTAGACTCGAATTTGAGTATAAGGGAACAGACTCATTGCCATGACTAACTGGCCTAACACACAATTAGATAAAAAGTTTGTTTAGGCTATGCTCCACAGCCCACTTCTCTCTAACTCCTTGATCTCTTTTTTTGAACTCTTTTCTTGTGTCTCCAAAATTCTCTCAGTTAGTCCTCTATCATTGTAGCAGGTAAGACTGTTTTTGGTAAATAAAATAAAAATAAACAAGTATCTCTCCGATTATGGATTCCAAGGAAGAAATTGAAAATAAATTGATAGAATGTGTGTGAGGTGGGTGGATCTGGCAGTTGTGATGTGATTAATTATGGTAAATTGAGAAAATGGTGCTAATGAAAATGATGTTTTGGACCTAACAATTTTGTAGGCCAAACGAAAAAAGGAAAGAATAATACACAAAGACTCGTCGAGCTTATGACATTACACCAAAATTATTTTGTGTAAACAGAGACTTAATTGGATCTGTTTTGACCTTCAGATGATTTCAATAATCAGAAAACTAGTATCGGCCTAAATTTGTTAGAATTTCACAATCAATTCAACCCATGAGCCAATCTAAGACAAGTCTATCAACATTGAGATAGAAAAGATTACCTTCATTGTCAATCCATTGCCATATATTTGAGCCATATATGCCTCCAATAACGGAAGCTAGCTGAACAATATCTCTTTCATTGTCAATCCATTGTCTTAATTAATGCCCAAAAAACAACGTACACAGTACATGTGGGTTTTTGATGCGTTTGTGGATTCGAAGATTATGGCCTTTGCCTTCTGCAAGGCTTTGGATGCCTAGCCCATGGGCCTTACTCAAATTAACCTTGAAGAATTAGTTCCCATGGCCCTTACCCATTTCGAAGTTTGCAATTTAATACATGAGTTATGCATGAGCATGGGTTTAGGACCTTAAGGTATTTTCTCTATTTAAGAGATGTATTTTATGGTTTTGCAGAGACTTATTGAATATTATTTTTGTTTATTATTTTTTTTAATATATGTGATAATTTAAACTACAAGGGGAATGAAATTTCTAACACACTACTTAGGTGTCATGGGGTTCGAACCTGAGATCACTGGTCTGTAAGTCAACGCCTTTTTTCATTGGACTACACCTTGTTGGCTTGTTTATTGCTTTTGAAGCGACCATGGTTTTCGTTTTTTTTTCTTTTCCTTTCTTTCTCATGTGTTCATGAATCATGTATAGTGTGGTTCTTATTGAAGTAAGTAGGACTGAACTACTAGTGGCCGGAATGCTACAAACGGAATTTTCACTAACATTTACCAATTGAATCGATTGTTTCGAACGGTTCGTAGATAGCAAAATAGAGAGAGAGAGAGAGAGAGAGAGAGAGGAGAGAGAGAGAGAGAGAGAAGATGCCAAGTTATATATTTTTTAAATTCCATCCGAATGATATCTCTTAAATGCATTAATAATATGTTAATTAAATAAAGAAGCATGTTGGTGTAGTGGTGAAATGTTGAGTATATGAGTTGGAGGTCAGGAGTTTGAAATCTCATGATTCCAACCTGTAATATATTTAATGATTTTTGCTATTGTAGAAATGTATATTATAAGTTTCTTCAACCTGGCAAACTGAAAAAGTAATGGTATTTACCAACCAAAAAAAAACAGAAGACAATAAGACATAGAGGGATAACGCATGTTAATGGAGTAGCAACCACTCCAAAGTGGATCCCTGTGGGAGACATGCATCGGGACAATAGCTACCAAAATCAAAAAGATTATCAGGCAGGCTCCACTTGGGATATATATATATATATATATATATATATATATATAATCATAAAGAGACTTAGACAAAGTTTATGCTTTAACTTGATGTGGCCTTAGCACTGTGTCATATTTCTTAATCATACACAGCGAAACCCTTTGCCGTCTTAACCTCGAATTAATTTAATTAATTCATACCTATCGTATTCAAGCAGCACCAGTTGCCGCAGTGCTACAAGAGACCTTTTCCTACCAAATCAAACCCAAGTTGCCCAAGTAAAAAAGCCCTACTACATCCCTTTCAACTTGTTCGCTCTCTCCATATATAATATAATTATATGGTTCAATTCTTTTTACCTTAAAATTTCAGACACGCCTCCTCCTCTGAAAAAGCCTCAAACGTTATCGATTCTGACCAACAAAAGAAAAAAAACTTAGTAGGGAAATGAAGATAAGGCCGAAGTGACATTGACACACGTGTGCGATATGCTTAATAGCCAGGTTGCAGCGAACCGTCTCCGTGTGTTTTGTCGTTTTGCTTTCGTGTAAAGGGATCAAATTTAAACGGTTGTTATTCTCATCTTCTCCACAGCTGTTTTCCTCTCTCTTTTCTTTTTGCCTTGCTTTTGTTATCTTCTTCTCTGTGCGGATTCGGAAGACTGCTATTTTGTTTATGAAATGGAAAACCAAATTATGAAAAATAAAAGGAAAAGCTGTTTCCAACTTTATTGTCATTGATGACACACTGCAAAGGGACCCGGACTTGTCAGAATTAACATCCATGCCCCTCCATCTCCATGTCATCATAAAATTTATCGTACGAACCAGATTAATTTTAGATGTTTGCTCTTAGGTGAAGCATGGATGAACCTGGATGACTATGGAAGCCAGGTTCGAGTGAATTACTGGCGATTTTAGAAAACCTTGCTGCTGTTGGTTTGTTTTGTCTGTATTATATATATGCATTTGAATTTGGTCTTCATGGTGGGTTTGGTTCACAATGCTTGTTATTTTGTGGCCGCCCTGGCTGCTTCAAAATTCAAATGCATGCATGTGTAATGTGTTGCTGCTGCAGTCAATTAAACAGACGCGACGGCTTGTCATGAAAATCGTTGATTTGTTTGATACATATGAATGATTAAACGATGTCGAATAGTTGGATTGATTCTTCGTAAAAATAATCTTTAAATGGTAATTTAGGATATAAAAATTTATGATTATATGACTTATGTATGGTAAGAAGAAAGTTGAGGTTTCATCTCAAAATTAATTGGCAATGAGGAGAGTAGTTCAACTTCTTATAAACTCAGACAATATCAGTACTTAAATAATTTGCTTCCACCTCGCAAAGCCATCGTCCAATCATCTGCTTTTATACGTGTTACGTGATATAATAACAATATAAGTTAATTTATTTCCTTTTATACCATAAACTATATATATCGTAATTGTAAAGTAGCTGCAACTTGCAAGGAAGAGGAGTAGGAAATTCAAGATCTTTATTTGATACCATCATACGAATGGGTGCAACGACAAGATCACAGCTTGGCTTAATAAATAAATAAAACCCGACCATGAATATTAGATTCCTATTGCATGACTTACATCTTTAAAGCATATTAGATTAACCAAATGCTTCCCATGTGCACTTAATCTATTTCATTTTTGTCCATGTATTTAACAAAAAAAGATAACAAAATTGATGGTAGAACTATTTGTCCTAATAAAAATGAAGTTAAAGGACCATTGAAATAATTTTGGAAATTGAAGGACTAAAATACAAATTGGGTCAAAATTTAAGGACAGTTAAATCTAAAAACCTAAAAATATATATTAATAGAGACCCGTAAGCGGTGAAACGAAAAAGAGAAAACAAAATATAAATATCAAGTGATCCTTTATTTAAGAATGTTGACATGTTCATGACATCTTTGTCCCCATCTGCATTATTAAACTTTATTAGTATTGAGTTATGCCGAACCCCAAAATCATGTCGGCTACATAGCTAGCAATGTAAGCATGAGGGAAGGCATATGCATGAAAAAGATTCGCATTGATCAAGTTGGTCATCCATTGAGCTTAATCCAAATTAATAAAGATAATGTAGGAGACTTGTAAATTAATTGATTAAGAGTATTTATCTATGCACTCGAGATCTTAAGTTTAATTTCTTCTTTTTTTATTAAAAATAACTCGACTCATGAGATTGTATATGAAGATAGTGTAACTCAAAGATTCTTAATTTCGTTGGGGAAAAAAATTATAATTGCTCCATAGAGAAACAAAGTTAAGGAGTTGAATATATGACTTCCCTAATTAAATCCCTAATATTATTCTTGTTATTGAAACTTTTAGATTATTGTTAGTTAGAAACACAAGGAAAAAGTCATTGATTTACATATGAAGACGGTTTTCAGAAAGGAAAAAAAAACTTTTGTGCAATATTACTAAATTTTCTTGTCCATTTGAAGCATGTACTTAAAAAGAAGGGAAACGCTTGTGATCATCTAGAAACACTTTCTCGGTGTGAACTTTTTCGGTATACTTTCTTCTTATTTATTAATATTAATTTTTGCTAGGGGATGAAAAAAGCATCATGGTGAAGAATATGCTTACCACACATTGCCCTCTACGTGTAGATAAATACGTTTTCTTTTTTCCTTGAACAAACAGACACAGAAACTTCTGAGAGATACTAGGCGTACCACATGTTTAGCTTTGCCCCGTTTACAATATTTACAAGTTGACCCAAGAAAAGACAAGAATAGAGACATACTCTAGGCCTATATGATTCAGGACTTGTGTGTTTTTGTGTCATTTACTTCTCTACTCTCTCTCTCTCTCTCTTCTCTTCTTAACAACCACCTTCAGAAGCTGAAAGACCACAAACAAAACTCAACAGCCAGCTAGAGGTAGAGAGAGAGAATGCCACTCTCTTACTGTGTAGCAGAGAACAAACCCTGTGATCGTTGGGTGGAGAAATATTTCAAGGATTGCCTTTGCAATCTCAACGATGACATCTCCTTTGCTTTTGGGCTGGTCAGCTTAGTCTGTTGGGGAGTCGCTGAAATCCCTCAAATCATCACCAACTTTCACACCAAGTCCAGCCATGGAGTCTCTCTTGCTTTCCTTCTCACTTGGGTTGCCGGGTTCGTTTCCCTTACCAACTTGCTCTTCCTTTAGGAGTATTTCTCTTCTCGTTGTTGAAAGAGAACCCAATTTCGAATCTCTCCTTTAGTAACTTTTTTTTTAATTTTCTTTCTTCTTGTTCTGTGTCTTTTGGGTTCGTGTAGGGATGTTTTTAATCTAATGGGTTGTCTTCTGGAACCAGCAACGGTGAGTTAAGCCATACTGCCATAGTTTCTTTGTTCGTTAGCCCCGTGGTCCAGAGAACCATCAGAGTGTGTGGTTGGCTCTGGTTAAACCACTATCTTTATATTTCTATGATCATGGCTGGTCTCCATCTTTATATATTGTCAGAATTTTTCTTTTTTTAGGGCCAACTTTCTCAGTGTTCTAATCTTATGCCATTTTTGGATGCAGTTGCCCACCCAGTTGTACACAGCTCTGGTAATTGCACCTTTCTAATTTTGGGTTATGTTTCTATGTTGCACCACAATGGTATAACTTTGTAAAATATTGCAGCCTGTTACGAGAAATGATAGCACTACAATATATGACACTTTAAATCTACTACAGGAATAATTATAGTGTAGTACAGTCACGTGGTATAACTTGTTCATGCGTTATAATATGGGTGGACGACATAGTTAATATTTCTCCCTTTTAGTAAATAACATCAACAAATATCCATTTATAATATAACGCGTGGACAATAGGATATCTATATTTGTTTTGTTTGGTAACTTTGTCCATAATGTGCCCGTCAATTAGGGGAGTGACTAGGCATGAAGATAGGGTCATTAATTAATCAATTTAATTAATTTAATTTTATGATTAATTAATCACTTTAGTTACTTTAATTTTATGATTAATTTATCATATGTAACACTTTTTTTGTCCTTGTTGTTTATATAAACAGCTCTACACAACAAGCACTATTGTATTAGTGTTGCAGAGCGTGTATTATGACTACATCTATACATGGTGTAAATGTGGAAAAGTCACAGCTACCCAAGAGGTACAAACTTTCATTTTCTTCGATCTATGAATTATTTAGAGAATAATTAATTGTTATTATATGTGTAATTAAGAGTAAACTATTGCTAGATAATACGTGAGGCTAATTAGTGATCAATTTAATATATGTTTTACCCCAACTTGTATAGGTTGATGAAGAGAATAAAAGACCATTGAATCCAAAGTCGGCTGATTCAGGCATTCCAATACCAAGTGCTTCACCCAAACCCACTCCACGAAAAGAGTTCTACTATACGTACGTACTCCTTCTTCTGCTACGTAGTTTTTTTTTTGGGTACCATTATAGCAAGATGTAATTTTCATATTAATTTGTTATGACAAATCATCTTAACTTGGTCATGACGATAAAACGAGTGCTTGTTAATTTTCACAGGTCAGCAAGATCGTTGGCGGGCAGTGGTACGCCACCGTTTCGGACCTACATGAGGGCAGCTAAAAGTGGTCCTTCTACAATGGCACTATATAGTGACTCATCTTCTGAGGACGAGTCAGCTCCAGTTACATCCAAGACATCTGTTACCCAGCCTAGGCCAATCCCAAGATCGGTGAGCCTTAAACTTTGATCACTATCTACTTTACCAAAATTGTTCTAATTAAGGTTTGGAATATGTGCAACATCAGTCCACCCTTAAATTCTACCTCTTACTTTGTCACATCCCGCTAATTTTATAATGAATGGAGAACTGTCATATTGCGTGTCACATCATTTAGTAACGAAAAGTTAAGAGAATAAGGATTCTTGTAGCGTGTATACTATTTATTTTCAAAATTATATGTAATTAATAACTAATCAAAAGTGTTTCCTTTACTAACTCCTTTTATAATTTTCACCGTGCAATTCCAGGTAGCTGGTTATGGAACATTTCTGGCTACATCGCTTAACCTGCCATCACAAACAAAGGCTTTGACACAAGTATACATAGGAATTACCGGGAGGAAACTCTTGCAGGTTTGATTGGTGACTAATTAATCACATATATGTATATTAATCAAAGTACTAATTAGGGTTAATACTAGGGTACCCCATATATGCAGGAACACTCAATGGAACATAGTGCTTTTGGGCAATGGTTGGGGTGGCTAATGGCTGCTATATACATGGGCGGTCGACTCCCTCAGATTTGGTTAAATGTATGTACCTATTTGTTTTGTTTATATCCTCTTATTATACCGTTGTTAGATAAAATCTTCTTTGATTGGTAGCCGTCAAATCATCAGATAGGAAGAAATAACATATTAGTATATTTTAATCAGTCATATCTCTGTCACTTTCAAAGTTTAATTTATAATTCCCTGTTTACGATTTTGTTTGGAGGTTTCTAACTTAGTTACTGTGTGATTTACATTGGCCAGATTAAAAGAGGAACTGTGGAGGTAATCATTTTATCCCTTGCTTTGCTCTCAAATCATATAATATATTTAGTAACAGCCATTGCAGTAATTTTAGAACTTTTACTTTTATATATGCAGGGTTTGAATCCTCTAATGTTCGTCTTTGCACTCGTCGCAAACCTCACTTATGTCGGAAGGTTACAAAAATCTCTCTACTTCACCGTCTTTCAATCTATTTGTGCCGTCGAATGCTTGTCTAGATTGGTCCAATTTTCTCAGGCTTCTTATTAATTTGTTTGAATATTGCAGCATAGTTGTAAGAACCACAGAATGGGACAGCATCAAAGCCAATATGCCATGGTTGCTCGATGCGGTAGTTTGCGTGGGACTCGACTTATTTGTATCCTTTTTCTTACTAGGTTTACCGATCACTTTGTGTGAGGTTGTCATCAATAATATGATACAAGGTTTTACTGTGACGCCTTAACGAACATAACAACAGATAATATTGCAGTACGTATATTACAAACATTTGAGGAAGAGGACCACAAGAGGTGGAGAAAACTACACATACTACGAGGAAGCAAACAAAGCTGTGGTTTCTTGAATGCGCATTGCAAGGATGCATGTATGCTGCTGCAAAATCAAAATCTAGAGACCCCAATGTCGACCTTGTGCATCTCCTTTTGCTAATATTAATGCTCGGCTTTGCTGGTCTTTTTCGAGTCGAATGATCATAATTTGTATTTCAACTGTTTTTAGATTCTTTTTTTGGTTTTTTATTATTTTTTATGAACTCATGAGTTAGGTATAGTGAGAAGCACCGAGAGCCATTAGTCAATGTCAAGGTGTGGATTGATAGAACAAGATTATATATATGTGGCTGTGGTCTTAGATTGATGATTGCTCTGTTTCTTTCCCGTGGAAAATCCATTTTCTTCACCTTTTATTCTTCTTTTTCCGAGGTGATCTTATAAGAGATTTGACAAAGGGAAAGAAATAGTAGGTCTAAAATGTTTGGTGGGTGCTACCAATGGAAGTTTGTGTTTGTGCTGGTTCAACTTTATATCCTATTATCCGGAAAAGATCAACTTTATATCCTATTTTGGTTTTGTCCATTCGGATAGTTGGAATTTGATTAGGCAGATGTACATTAATTTCTCTGGTGTAATCTTGTATGTATTGGAAAGACAATTGAGCCTCTTATCATGCGCTTGTTGATTGGACCCATTACGCACGTTGGAGCTTTACCATAAGACAATACTGTAGCTACTAGGGTGGGTCAAAAACCTTCGAAATCGTTCATATTGGCCAAATAAATCAAATTCAAAGTTGGGGATTCAGGATTTTAAAGTTGGTTGGCAAAATTTACATACTAAATTCGATGGTACAAGTGAATTTTATTAATAAATATAAAAAATAAAAATACACGTGTACAAAATAACACTATAGAAATTTAAAATGTAACCCACAAAACCATCAAATTCAACAAAATTCTTAAAATCAAAGCCCTAATTTAAACTCTAGAATATTCAATTTCAAATTAAAACTAAAATTAAAGATGCATACGTGTATTTAGGAGAAACCCAAGAGGAGGGAATAAGAGAATAAGAGAGAATCTCTATACATAAAGATAAAGGCAGAGAATGGTAAAACATTTAAAATACCAGAAAATGTCATTGGTTAATGTAAACATTAAAAATTCAAATTATTAATTAAATGAGGATAATATAATAAATTCACACTTTTTTATATTTAAAAAAATTAAAATTAAAAGAAAAATAAGATAATGGATCCTATTTTTATGGAACGCACCCATTATTTTTTTAAATTCTAAAATAAATTAAATTTGTTTATAAATAAAAAAATAAAAGAAAGCCTCTCACAAGAGCGGAAGCGCGTTTAGAGAGGCCAATTAGAAGAATGGAAGAAGAGATAGAGAAAGGAGAGATACGAAGAAGTCAGTTGGGCAAAAGACATGTAGGGTTTCTTTTATTTGTTTTAATTTGGGCCGGGCTACTAAAGATACGTAGGTTTTTGTTTTGGAAATTTTGGGGCGTTAGCCCAGCCTACCCTCCAAGCATATCTACAAAATGGGGGGTGGGTTTGGTTTTTTTTTTTTTTTTTTTTTTTTTTTTTTTTTTTTGGTGTCATTGATAACAATTAAGAGGATACAACGATATCATCTTATACAATTGGCTCCAGCCATAGGAGGAACCTCTTCAATCCAAGTTGCAATAGAATTACAATTAAGTGCATGCTTTACTAGAATATGAGCTACTTGATTGCACCCTCTTGGACTGAAAGAAACAGTAACATCATCAAATTGTTGCAGACTCCTCTTAATATCATCAATGAGATGCCCATCTGATGCCAATGACTTTTCCTCACCATTCTTTAAGTCATTTACCACTGCTTGTGAATCATACCAAACCAGTATTTGTTTAGTTGCTTATGAAGAGAATGGGCCAATTTGGTTCAGCTAATCCACGATGTTACATTAGTTCCTTTTGCAGCGAGGCGAAAATCCTCGTAGCTTCTGAGGGTCAGAATCATCATTAAGCCCATTCAGCTTTTGTATGGGCCATCAATTTATTTTACTATCTCTCGTTTAAATGAATGTCATCTTGAGGACTAAGTAGGGGCTGATCATATGGTTTTGGGTTGCTTATAAGTTAGATTATCAATGAAGGAAAAATAAAAAGGGTCTTATTAGGTACATGGTAGACAAAACAATCCAAGAGTATATTCAAATTATATATGAACTCCTCCATGAATGATTGGATATAAGGTTAGGAAGAGCAGATACAAGATTCAATATTTGGTGCAGGTCTTTGGTGTGCTCCCACGTGGTCCTGGGTTCAAGAACTTCAAGCCCCCATAGTACCCGTAGTGTGAGTTTCCCTCTTCCCCCTTCCTAACGATGGCAACAACAAAAATTAATAATTTTGGTGCTTCATGTGACTGGTAGTTATGTAGTCTGTGTTTCATGTGTTCAAATGCATATATAGAAGCTTAAAAATTCCTCCATGTTCTGTCAAACCATCCAATGTTGATTAATATCTACTCAATCTATAGTCTTTCATTATCTGCACCTGACAATAATTGACATTGTAATTCGCATAAACTTCCCACGTTAGGTTGTGGTTTTATATGTAGAGAAAGATTTTAAAAAAAGCCTTTGATAAACCGACTAAACTTGAGAATCTACAACATTTAATTAATGTATAGTTAATTAGTTTAATTATATCTAACAATATGATTCAAACTGAATAATTAAACATTATTAGTTAATCCCAATAAAGTGGACGCAATTAATAGCCCCGTGCATGGCTGCATCTCCAAGAAGAGAAATGAAAGCCCAATATCCCGCAGCCGGAGAAACTGGAGGCACATTTGGTTCTCCTTCCAGGCTAATTTAATTTCTCCTTCACAGGGGCCTTAGATTGCTCCTGGAATCAAGAACATGCCCACATTTTCAGCATCACATCGTTTGCTTGATTCACTCACGTGAGAATGACGTAATAATATTCTACTTCTACTATTACGTAAGTCCAAGTTCATTAATTTAGCAGTGTTATTTCTCTTTCAATATTGAAAGAAATCTCTACTCCGAATCACTTCGTCTTTCGCTTAGAAATAGTTATAATTATTTGGGTGTCTTTGAAACTGAAACCAAGTCGACCTCCTTCCAAATATCCAAAAAAGTGGCAGAGTCACTGACAAAATTCTATCTCCAAACCTTCTTTTCTTCTTCAAAAGTAAGTAGTTTTGAATCAATAATGTTGCAAGGACGAACAAAAACAAGAGGAGAAAAGTAGTTCTCCTTTACTTTATATACATATACTGGTTCACTTCCACAGTATGAACCTGACCTGGCGTTTTGAACAGTAAGTATGGATGTCACCCATATTTGTATTTTAGCATTTAAAACAGCCAAAAATAATAAATAAATAAAGTGCATTAAAGCAAAGACAAGATGTGCAGGAATTTTGCAGGTTCAAACTGGTTTGAATTTGTTCAGACTAGAATATTCTAGCAATCTCTAGATATCTTCTAGGTTTAGCTTATGGTAAAAGGGTGGAAAACATATTAATTATAGGTCAATGTAGTCAACTCCACGCCATGTTCTTCAAATGAGGGAGGAGAAGAGTCAATTTAATGCGACATTATATCAACATTTTTTTTCGAGCAAAAGCCGTGAGGGTTATGCTAGTTTTTCTGCAAATAAATGTGAAAGCCACCAACCAAGTAACCTACCCTTCCTTCTTCAATGACGATTAGAGGGTACGTACTTGCAATGAGATACCGGACTTCAAGGGTTTACTTGTTTCTAGTTTTACAAATGAAATTAATGACATAGATTCGAAACCTGTTGGAAGCATTTTGTGGTCAAAGGCAAGTCGAACTCCGATCGGGGATTAATCCCACTCTTCGGATGTGAGACACCTCGTGGTATTTACCAAAATAAATAAATGACATAGACATGTAAAATGCAATATTTATTAGTTGTAAGCATGACGACACACCATCCCCATCTCAAACATGACATAACAACAATAAATAATTGACTAACATTTTGTTTCTAGTTTAGCTGTACTTCTCCTCCAACAGATTGGCTGCATATGGCGCTTTCAATTCACTCAAACTTCCCAGCACTGCCTCAAAAAAACAAAAAAAAAAGTATGAAAGAAATATAATTGCACTTAACGTATTAATTATCTTTGCACCTGCATTTCATGTGAGGCATCTGACCTGAGATTAATCAGCCACACACTGACTGACAAATCAAATCTAAAGCTTCAATGAGACTTCTGATAGTTAAAGCAGAGAAAGCGAGAAGAAATTCAAACCAGTGCTTAAAGGTAAAAGAGCACCAGAAAATAAAGCAAGCAAGAAGAAGATCGTAATCTAGTTTTATGTCTGTTTGCATGCTAAAGTTTCGAAATGGACTGCTACGTGGTAATCCATATTACAATTGTCCAACACAATCTCTTTTTCTCCGCTACTTTTCCACTCCGTAATTGCATGCTAGTTTAACTTTTTACTCCTAATTTTATTTTCATTTTTTAAATATACATGCGATATTAAGGACGGGAGATTCGAACGCAGAATTTAAGTGCATGACGAGAACGAATGAATTCAAAATCAGCATTATTATACATAAAACCCCAAAAAAAGGAAAACTAAAAATTGTATTGAATTCGAGCAGGAAAAATGTAAAAGGAAATATATGGTTGTAAAATTAAAATATGTTAATGCCTCCGTATAATGTACAAGAAACTCCGACGGATCGATGAATTTTTACTCACCACCTAAAACTTCCCACAGTCCAAAAACAAAAAAAAGGAAATTTTTTTTCTTTTTTCTTTCTTATTATAGCGTTAATTAATTGAATTTGATGATGATCCCAACTAAGCCTCCAGCGCGAAGGGTGTCTGTAACAGATCATATGGGGCCCACAGAGCATCCAACGGGCATGGCCGGTTGGCGTCGAGCCGCACCCACGGCTTCCCCTTGCCGCTCCAATGTAGCAGGCTCACCGGACCCGGGTGCAAATCCCTGCACAACCCGCGAAAGTTGTCCCCGCCTAGGCCGTGCTGGTTCCACTGGTGGTCGACGGCGGCGATGTTTCCGGCAAAGACCAGGAGGAACGGCGGCAGCGACCCGAGCTCGTAGATCCGCATCCGCTTCTGGAGCTCCATCCACTCCACAATCCGATCCGTGTACCCGCCCGCCCGCCACTTGTCCAGATCGATGACCATGACGCCGGTGTTGAAGTAGCAGGCCCGGCGGTTCTCGAACGTCAGGGAGAGGGTCGGGTTGGCCCAAAATGACGGAGTAAAGTAGGAGGTGAAGTTTGCGTTGCAGTATTCCGGTGCGGCGAGGACTTGGGTGGGCTCCAGTGGGGTCGACGCCAGCTTGGATATGTCGTCGACGAGGATGAGGTCCGAGTCGAGGTAGACGACTCGGCGTACACATGTCGGGAGGAGATTGGCCAGGTAGTTGCGGGCGTAGTTGAGCGGGCAGTCTAGCGCGGAGCGGATCGAGGTGGAAATGAGCCCCAAGACGGCCGAGTCGTTGAAGGGGTAAACTCGGAATTTCAGGTAGGGGAATGAGGTGGCGATGGTTTGAGTTAGAGCTTGTGAATTGGACGAGGAGGAGGAGGAGACGAAGTGGAAGATGATGTTCTCCGGGCAGGAGGAGTGCTGGAGGACGGAGAGAATGGCGGCCATTGAACCGCGGAGGTAGGCGGCGTCGAGGGTCATTGCGACGTGCACTGCCACGTCGGAGCAGACGGTGGAGGAGTGCTCGTGGGTGTTGAGGGCGGGGCAGGTGGCGGAGTTGTAGAACTTGGGCGCTTCCTTGAATCTTTGAGGTGTCGAGGTGGCGAGCGCTTCCTTGAGTCGCCCAGAAGAAGCCGCGGTGGCCGCATTGGTGCTACTAGCAAAGAGTAAAATCAAGTTGATAAGGAAAGCGAGCATGTTAAGAAAACTTGAGGTTTTGGAGAGAGTGGTTTGGTTTTTGATGAGGAGGAGGCAGAGAGAGAGAGAGTTGTGTGTGTTTGTGTTTAGAGTGTTTGGATGGAGAGAATAGAAGACAGTTGTGCGATTTCTGCGTGGCTTAGAACCAACGTTGGTTTCAAAACTGAGCTGCTGGGAAAGGCAAGTCAAGGGTCGTATTCAAAAGACAAAGAACATGACAAATGAAATGGAGTCAGAGAGAAAATTTGGCAAAGACTCTATATTTATTTCTCCACCAAGAAAACAATGGAATTATCTTTTCTTCCTTGTATGTGGTTTTTTACCAAATAATTGAAACCTAATTAATTTATTTATTGGTCGAAACTTGAAAACAATGACATCACAACCCTGAGCTGGACTAGTTTTTAAGCAAAATTTTCAGATTATTATTCTTGTATGAATTGAGAAAAAGTTTGATCTTGTTGATAACCCTAGCTAGCTAGGTGACATATCCACTTCAGGCAGCGACGTCGTCTGTGCTTCTATGCAACGTTATATATCAACTCCCCAACAAGAAAAGGCCTTGTTTTTGTTTTCTTTTTTTCTTTTTTCGATATCCTTATCCTTAATTGGATTCTCGTTGTATCACTCATCATGCTTCATGCTTAATTTGGTATCAGTTTTTGCTGTTAATACATTCTTTAATAAATACACAACACCAGCTTAGTAACTTTATTTTTCTATATCAGTAACATTTTTAGCACAAAATAATAATATTATTATACAGAACTTCATTAACCATCCCAATACTTATCCTTACGTACATTGACAAAACTATTTTTTGGGTTAAATTAAGGAAAAAAAAGTACTATATCTATTGACAAAATTCCCTTTATTACTTATAAGTAGTGTTTTCGGGATTATGAGGTAAAACTGTAGAGCATTAATTTGATTCTATTGAATTGGAGAGGATAACGCTAGTTAATCCAATGATATGTTTGGTACTACGCATGATTAGACATAATTCAATCCTACTTAACCCAATCTTTTTTATGGGATTCATAATCCTACTACATTCGGCAATAATAAGATTATTGTTTTTTAGTTACTAAACACTTGACTAAAATTATAAATTTTATTCAATCAAGCTCACAAAACGGGCCTAATAAGCACTAGATTCGATCGTTGGTGGTCGCGTTACCCCTGTATTTACAAGTTATAACAGCAAAAAGGTCCTCGAATCCCTCTTGATCCCCTAATCATCATTAAGTGTTAAATAAATTAAATTCTGACCTAGAATTACTAAAGCAAAAGGGGGAGATAGAGAGCACTATTTGAATTTTGAGCTGTATAATTTCTTATGCTCTTTGTCTTTGTTCCGGGTATTGGAGGGAAAACACTTGATGCGAAGCCCCACATAAGCAATTCATGTCTGTCTCAATGATGGGGGCACTTGGAAAAAATTTGTGTTCATATTCTCAGCCACCTCATTATATTGTACGACCTGATATTTTTTTTAGCTTTTAAATTGTCAGGATAATTAACTACAGTACAGCAAGAGATTTGCCACCTGGCCCTTTGAGTAGGACCCAAAAGTGACACCTGGACTGATGATCTTCATTGAAAGGGAAAACTTGGCTGCCCGGTTGGTTGTTTTCTGAAAATGGATTTGGACAGCCAAATTAGAAAATAGTAGAAAGTGTTTTGCGTCCTTGTAATCCTTCTAACACTTTTTAATTTTGTTCGGATCTCTTTCCCTTTTAATTCATTATTACTAATTAGCTAAAAGCAAATGAATGATTAAGTTGTTCCCGATCTTTTTGAACATTTCTCATTTGACTTTCTTCATCAACTTTAGCATCCAACCTTGTTAATAATTAATATGAAAAACCATTTTGATTAAGTCTTTTTGAAATTATGTTTACACGCTGTGCAGAAAGTTTTGGCCATATAATTTGAGGTGAATTATTACAAGATGTATTACGTGACCGTATATCGTAATATTCTATAATCATTCTGCCTAATCGAGATTAGCTAGTATAAAAATCTGGGATTAATTCGCTTAAGTCATCGACATTACACTTTCCAAATTAATATTTTTTTTAATGCAAAAAGTCGTCTTGCTCTTATGCTAATAGACTCAAGAAAACAGCAAGATCTAACCTAAATATGTTTCTCTGTTATTGGTTTGTCGGTAACAGCAAAACACAATACTATGAAAGAAAAAAAAAGTGTTACATTACATGCTAAATTAAACTAAATTATTCCATTCAAAATACAGCAGCGACTGTATCATTAATGGCATGTGCTGATCACATGCCCTGCAATTATAAGTCATTTTCCCTTTAACAGAAAGCATGGAGAAGCTCCTTCCATTATTTGAGCTTTTCCCATTTTATACAAACCACGAGACATGTGCGACAGCTGCATGAGAAACTCACAAAGCACTTTCAAATTATTAGGGTTTCCAATGTCATAGTCTTTTTTTTTTTCTTAATAAAGAGATATTGAAAAAAACAGAATTCAAACACATGACTTTTTTCATTTTTTTGCTAAAGAAAAGTTTAGAGAGAGATTGGCTACTTTCACCACCAGCGCCACGACAGATCCACAACCTTGAGCCAGAAGAACTTATGCATGGCACCCAACTGCCAGCTGCCATCGGTATGGATTTATGTAAGAAATTACAGATTGTGCACCAATGAGAACTACTAGCAACGGGACTTGAACACTGATGGGGCTATACACAGTGCATGGACCTTACCAACAAAACCAACCCTCGTCAGCAAACACAGGACATTCGGTACATGGGTAACTACTCTTAATCACTTGACCTATTTCTTAAATGGTCTAAATAACCAAAATCAAAGTCCAATTTTAACATGAGCGAGATGAAAATTAAATCTTTATCGTAGAATAACAATGTAATTTGAAACGAGAGAACATCTTCTATTGAACAAAATGGAAGTTAAACTTCTAGGGTTCGCATTTTGCTTCTCTACTTTTACATAGAGTTTTATTTTACAGATGATTTGTTTCCTAGCTAGGGCATGTGTCTCCAGTCAGGGTGACTGTGGAGTAGTGTCACCGACACAAACAGTGGGGCCCAGTGCCACAAAAGGTTGGGGCCACGGGGGGTGAAGGCAAAAAGGGTTACCAAAGTCAGTCCAATGGCCAATTGGCAACCCTCCGTTGTCTGAAAAAGCTTGCGGCAATGCTCTAATGTTGCTAGTTGTCCAGGACTTGAAAACGCGTTTTTGTATATATTGGGTCAGAAACTACGTTAAGACAAATGGATTTTGATTGTCTTTTAACCTAAAAGACAAAAGCCCAGTGAGATCCTAGCCGTCTACATGGGCCCAATCACTTCCCCATGGGGCCCTCCCCCATCATCTCAAGGCCTGCACAACTGGATGGCTGAGTTTTACTTGCTCTGTCTCTGCCCTTTGGCAATTTAAAACAGCTTTCGTTGTTCAATTACACCACCGTGAAAAACAATGATGGAAAAATTCGTCTGGTAGCAAGTTCGTGTTCTGGCGGACACTGATTTGAAAATTGGTTTTCAATGGTATAGCCAAACAAGCCCTCAATTATTTATTCATATGAGATTATGAAGGGAATAAAATCTGTGTGTTTTTCAAAACTAGAGATCATGGTTAGTGAGATATTCACTCTTGTATAATAAAATAACTTGTTTCAGCTCAAATGGTTTGGCAGAACAAGTATGACCTGGGTTGGTCAACTTGTGGAAACATGCCTAAAACTCAAAGGTCGTTGAAAAGTTTGTAGCATGCAAAGAAACCGTACACCAAGGACTTTAACTAAGCCTAACAGAACAAAACTGAGGTTGGAGGGAGTCCACGAAAAGGAAGATGACAAATATGAGTTAGCTAGTTGTCCCGAGGCCGTGTTTTCGTCCTCTTATATCCGAATTCGATCTTCATCTCCTCTCTGTATATTATATTAAAGACGATAAACATTCATTAAATAAAGTGGACTAAGCAATCAAATATTCGTTAGTTAGATTAATCTTGTAGATAGTCATACACTCATAGTATTAGACCAACTCACTGACGCGGTTTGTTTGGCAGCAGATCGATGGCAACAATTGGATCCACGTCTCTTTTTCGTAGTTACCTTCTCTCAATGATTGGTTCGTACGTACTTAAAGTTGAAATTGCTTTTTGTGCTTTTCACTTGTGCGTTCGTTTGACAGAGGGGCTTTCACTTATTTTAAGGGAAAAAGTCACGACACAAATGAGAAATGTAGCCTGATTATTGAAAAAAAGATAGAAAGAAAGATATTGATTTTAGTTTTCAATTTTCAATCAAACCAATCAATTCCAAACTTTTTTATTTCGTTAAAAATTATAGGGCAACATCAAACTTATAAGGTTATCAAAAATTTAGTGGAAGCAGCATAACTTATCACAATTTTCAACAGCTAAGGAGCTAAGGAAAGAGCCGAGCCTAGAAGTGTGGGCTTGTAAATAAATAGGGCATTAAAGTAATTGGTTGCTTGGTTGAAACATTCTCGAACGAGGCATAATGGTGTTAGGGTATTTACCTAAACCTTAATCTTGGTGGTGAAGTCGCACAAAGCACGACCCTTACCCTTGGGGCTAGTAGGGTCCCCCAACCACAAAGGTTGGGTAGCAAACCTCAAAGAGCCAAGGAAAGGAACATTATATAATTTGCTCTGTGGTGCCACTGCCAGTAAGATCAAATCAAAGGAGTTATAATGGAAATATGAATTATCATCCTGTCCCGTCGTTATTTTCATAACCCATTCATCATTGCAAAACAACATCACATGTATGTCTTACGCACACAATATCCGTACTACAACGCCCAACATTAACATATGCTTGCTTTTGTTTGTTTTTTGGCCAAACGTATATGCTTTCTTTACCTGCATTGCACCTCTTCCAGCATTGAGAGTCTACCTGCATTGCACCTCTTCCAGCATTGAGAGACTGAGCAGTACCAATAAATCAAGAGCTAGTTAAACACACTTTTCTTTTTAGTTAACGGAAGATTAACCAGCTTTCTTTCCCCGTCATCCATCCGAAATACAGTAAAAAGAAAGAAACCATTTCACCTACTAACCCAATTGAATTGAAAATGACACTAAGCGGCTCTCACATCATTTAAAAGCAGAAAAAGGAGATTATTAGAGATGCTTGATACTTTCCCTTTGTGTGGCCAAGCGAAGTGTGGCTCTCACATCATTCAAATCAGTTTAAAAAGCAAAGGAATATAAACAACACTGCTTGTTCCACTACCTAAGGACACAACTTCACAAAGTCGGGCCGGGAGTGTACCACAAGAATCTGATTCTATTTTCTCTTTTCTTTCTTCCATGAGATATCGAGCAAAGTAAGGTCCCTGTTATGCTAGTTTTCTTTGTAGAAGAGGGGTAAGAAGCACGGACACGGATACGGATACGGGGATACGATACGACACGACACGGGGATACGACAAATTTTCAAAAATTAGGATACGATACGTCGTGGATACGGTAATTTAAAAAATATATAATAATTTAAAAATAACAATATATATAATTTAAAACATATTTTAAATAACATAAAAATGATAATATTATTACTTTTAACATACTTCCACTTGTCTTGGTTATAATATTTTATTACTTTTAATAAGACAAACAAAACAAAATCCTTTTGTCAAAACGATAAGACCAGCCATCACGTGGGGTGTGGGTGAAACTGTGAGAGTATTAAACAAACAAAATCCTTTGACCCAAAAAAAAACAAACAAAATCCTTTTGTCAAAAGGATAAGACCAGCCATCAGAACAGAGAAGCACGCGTGAGAAAACAAAATGAAAATGGAGAAGAGAACCCGACGCCGCCGACAATGAAGGATGAAGAAGAAGAAATTGATGAGTAGGGGCACCGCTGGATGAAGAAGAAGAAGGAAGATCTGGGCTTCTTATTTATATCGAAGAAGAAGGAAGATCTGAAAGAAGAAGAAGTGGAGACGTTTTCTGATACACGTATCCTAAACAATGGATACTCGTATCTTTTTGTCGTTGACCGTATCCGAGTAAACGGATACGTATCCATCGCGTATCCGCACGTATCCACAGCGTATCGTATCCCTCAGCGTATCGGATACGGGATACGCGCCTCAACCAGCGTATCCGTGCTTCTTAGGGTAAAACCAAAGAGAAGAGAGAACATGAACAAATAGAATTTTGATCTTATGCTATAGAAACAACCCTAAATTTTACCATCTTCTTTACTGGGAGATCCTTTGAAACTGGAATTGGAAATGGACTGAAATGTACAGGAACAACATCATTCCATAAGAATGTTTGAGTTCAGAAGCCGGAACACTAACAACCGCCAAAACATAAGAAATCTCTATTGCCCACCAGTATCAACAAAACAGACAAATCTCATCAACCATATGTCAACAGGTAAAGGCCAATAGTAGGACTAAGTAGAGGTGAGTAATCAGTACTTGTCTAAAAAAAATTAATTCAACTGACAACGGTCATGGCTTCAGCAAAATCAAATCAACACTCAAAAACAAAATGGACCTATGGACCATCCAACAATGTTTTTCTAGTTCCTACCTAGCAGGCCTCACTCTCACTCTACAGCTAACTTTGAAGTCCTAAAATCCCAAAACAAGTCAAAATCACACAACAATCAAGTTCACCAGAGAGAGAGAGAGACTGCAACCATTTATTATGAAATTTTATGGCTGTTGCACATGGTAAAATACCACAAGAAATTAACAAATACGCGAAGGAAGTAAAACATTCCCGCATTCATGTCAGTGTATATACATAGGACATAGATAATTTTGAAGTAAAAGAACCCACAACAATCATATTCACAACAGAGAGAGACAGAGAGAGAGATAGAGCAACTGCAAGCCATTTATTATGATATTTTTATGTCTGTTGCAGATGTTTATAACAGCTAACAGAATTGACCAAAAGTACTAACAGGTCAACCTTCTCGGGTAGAAATTAAGCTAATGTATTTACACATATAAGAGCAGCAACACTGAACAAACACATTGGCTTCAAAGTTTAAAACGGCAAATTATTTTACCAACAAATCAGCGCAAGGATCACAAAGACACCAATTAACAAAAAAAGATTCTTCAAAACATTGTCAACCTGCTGCCTTTGACTTGCCGGCTGAGGGAATCCGTGAGCATGGCCCCCGTGAAATGAACTGAACCCATAAGGGAAACCAGAAGTTGTTCCATACACAGTAGCATCCGGGAACCCATGATAATGAATGTTAAGCAATGACGGTATCAGACCACCAAATGCAGTGGCCAATGTGAAGTTACCAATCCTCGCAGTTGCCATTGGTACAAATCCCCCCATGAATCCAAAGCCATAATTGGTAAACTGATTGGTCTCCGGCGGAGGGGCAGTTTGAGGCCTCTGCCCAGCTGGGCGATTCGGAATATTGATGCCTGGATATGACTTTGATCTTGGATCAGTTTGCGTCTTGCCCCTACCATAAAGAGGAACCAACTTCTCTTCTTGTACGAGGGCCTTGCAAACCGGGCATTCTTGGGAATGCGAGTGATGGTGGAGCCATCTGTACAGGCAAGGCCAGCAGAAGAGGTGACCACAAAGGGTTATGATTGGGTCTTGGGCTAAGTCAAAGCAGATATTGCATTCAAAATCGCCCACTTCATTGGCATTATTGCCCGAGCAAGACGGGCTTTGGGGTGGCACGCTTGTTGATTCCCCAAAACCACTTGCCATCTCAGTACCCACAAAACTTCAAACAGCAAATACCTGTAGTTTATGGAAATATCACTTTTTTTTCATTAATCATAGAAATCGATTATTATTATCACAAGAAAACAGATTCAGATACAGATGGAACACATAAAATACATACAGATACAGAGCATATTCAGATTGTTCAGAGAGATGCTCAAACTATCACAAATCAATAAATAAATTAAGCACAAACATATGAACTATTCAATTTCCAAGAAAAAAAAGAGGGAAAAACACCAAATATTTATCATTCAGAATGAAATCGATGAAAACCCTAAACTGAATACCTGAGCAAGATTAGATCTCCCAGAAACAATTCACATAAAATAAACATACAAAATCTGGAGAAATATAAGATCATAAAAATATTCAGAACCCAAACCGACTCGCTAAATTATAACCGGTCAGATCAGAGAAAAGAACAAAAACTTAAGCAAAAGGACCACACAGATCAGAAAAGTTGAGCAAATTTAATCAGTATATAAAATCCAACAAACAAAGAAACAAATAAAAACCCTAGAAATCATTCAAACCCAAACAAGAAAAGGGAAGAATAATAATCAAATCAAGGTAATAAAACAACTGGTCGAATATAAATTACAGAAAGAAAAAAAACTAAAATATACCTTTTCGTGTGTAAAATTTGATTGGGTCTCGTTACGAGAGAGAGAGAGAGAGAGAGGCAAAAGATGAAGTTTTTACTGGAAAGGAAAAGTCTAGTTCTAATATTAGGAGAAGGCAACCGAGAAACTCTCTATTGTGGCAAGAAGAAGATTCCAGGTCTTTTTCCAATTTTGCCTTTATCTCGTCTTCCACGCTGGCGGGCTGCCCCTATTAAACTTACGTGCGTCTACTCTATTTCCCACCAAACTGCGGATTTCATCCGACGGTTCTATTGCGTTTTCGGGCCGGAATCGGACGCTTTATGGTGTTTGATGGTGATTGGGTTTCCTATGATATTTTGTCCTCGACGGGCCTACCGGTATTTCTAAAGGCTTTTACAAGCCCGCCCCGTTAGCAGTTGAGACCAATGTCCAAATCAACAAAATAATAAATCTTGCAAGGGGTTTGTAGTTTACACCTTGCATCCGAGATTCTGAGTTCGAATTCTCTTTTCTAATTTTGATTGTGAAAAGATAATAATAATAATAATATTTCTTAAAGGAAAAAATAATAAATAAAAAATTTCTTGTGGAAAAATAACAGGACAATTAAATATTGCTTCTTCTTTTTTTGTTCAGTTGTTGAAACTCATAAACATTAGTATTGGAAGTGTTTTTATTAGAAGTAGGTTGAAATTTTTTAATTGAAATTGAAATATATTTTTTAGAAAATAAATACTTGGAAGTGGTTCCACATGCTAAATTAAAATATTATACTATTATATTAGTGTTGATTTGTTTATTACTTTTTAGGCACAATAATTGAAAATGATAAAAAAAAACATCACAAATGGAGAAATGTTATTCCACTTAGAATTTAACGTTTCGGCTGGAGCGAGTTTTCAACTATGTTTTCTACATGCTAAAAATGTCATGTTGAATTTAATATATCCATAAATAAAATAATCTACCTCAATAAAAAAAAAAAAACAAAAAAAAAAAAAAGGCCTCTCTCTTATTTTTTGGGCCGACACTAGACTAGTTTGGTTTGGGGCCAAATTTTGATCGTCAACATGCAACAGTGCTAACCCAATTAGTCCCTTCCTTCCACCTCTTTAATTGAGCAGGCCTAACCTTAGCACCTCTTGCAGCCGAAAGAACTTTGTCTCATTTTAACAGAAGCTGAAAGCCTGAAACTACTAAAGAAAACCAACTGACTGAATCAAAATCTGTCGTCCCAAATACCAACTACCAATTAGCAAGACGCAGCCATTATGGACGTTTGAAATTTGGTTAGTCCAAGACCCAAGACCTACCTTTTTCCTAACTTTTTGAATCCAACTTGACATCTTTATACAAACCAAATTTGTGGGTGTCACAATCTGATCAACTTTACCATTTTTTCTTTACTGGCATTTTTCATCAGGAATTTGAGTGGTACTTACTCAAAGTATATAGTTCGGCATAAAAGCAACATTTTGTTAGTATTGATCTTTTGCCTAACTTAGATTGAGGAGTGGTTCTTCTGTGCATTTGTCGTATACGACATCACACTGGTAAGAGTGGGACTATTAATGAAGTTGCGTATGATCAAAATATAAGGTCATTTCCAACTATGGGCCATAAGCCATTTGTAACTCTCAAAACATGTAAGTTGAGGGATCTCATTCTAGAAAAGATGAATTGCAAAGTTGCAATAGTAAAGTGTCATTTTACAGTTACTTTCAGACGTTAAAAAGAAAATTGCATAGACAAACAAATGCAATATTAATATGGGTGGGTGGGTTGACCCAAATTTCCACATCAAGGAATCCACATCTTGTGCAATGTTAAACGTGATGGAACTTGCTACAATTTTGGCATCTCCTTTTCACCTTCATTGCCTCCACATGATGGCCCAGAATGATCAGCCACGGCAGCAAAGAGCATCCATGAGCAGTGCATTAAAAGAATATATGGTTTTTTCTGGAATGTAACATTTTGGATAAAATTGTATTTGATTAACGGTCTTGATCAATAGTATTAAATCATAGAATAAGTTACTATGATGCATATAAGAAGGGATGCGTAAAAGCCGAACCAAACCACTCGGAGCAATTTGATTCAGTTTTACATGCAAACAGAAAAATCATTATGTTATCACAACCTCAACCGAAATGTACGTAATTTACCAAATAATAATGCCTTTGAAGCACCGTCTTCTTCTTTTTACATTAGCCAGACTACAAAATATCAACGATAATATACATTTTCTTAATTCATGAAAGCATTGATATGGCCTCATAGCCATTATCTGATTACGACCACGTCACTTATTACAAGAGAGGAGAGGACCCCATGCCATTCGTCGCGTTCAAACTTTTGAGTGAAACAAATTGATTGCAACTTTGGAAAGTAGGCAATATGCAATTTATTTATTTAAAGTATCTATCTACTGCTCTCCATAAGGGGTATCTTCAGCAAAGATGCTCTTCTTTCCAACTCCCCAAATCCATGCATATCCTCCACTCCACCTGCCAATTTGTCATATAAATCCAACAAATTAAGAAACGGGAAAAAGGCACGCATTAACTTCTCCACCCATAAAATTGTGCAATCCAAGCAACATAACATTGCTTCCACAAATTCTATCCGCTCATGCATTGTAAGTACCACATATAACGGACATAAGCGGCTTTCACGAATTTTATCCGTTAATGCATTATAAGTACCACATATAAGAGACATAAGCAGCTGATATAGCACTTCTCGTATGACCTTGAGGATAAAAAAGTTAGTAACATCATATATAATATGTGCACATCTTTCAGTGTCTAATCAGATCCTTTTTCCGAATGCGGACACACCAACAAAATGTTGTGGATGACTTTTCTTCTGCTGGATGGGGTCTATGTAGTAGTGATGACCAAAACGTGTCCCATAAACTAGTATGCTTTTAATTGCCCTTTGCCATGACAACGGGTGGAAACGAAAAATACTATTTGCAAGGGCAACTACTATTCACGTAAATAGTGGCTACCCTAACTCCCCCCTTGCCATGGCTAAAGGCAAATGAATGGAATTGCTCTAATAGATGTTTTATTTGCCCGAACTCTTGACATGTCCTTTGAACCAAGAAAGACCTTACAAAGCATCAAAATCACGGCGGTGATGAACATCAATCAATAAAATCACCCCTGACAACTACTAACTCTCATAAATATATGAACCATAAAAGTAAAAATGGTCCCCATAATCCCCCACCCAACACCAGTCTCAAAAATATCTTCCCAATTATAAATACATGTACACATACTTCTTATCATTTTTACTTGGGGGTTTAAAATTCGAGTCCCCCCTCATTCATTGATCAAAAGAAAAATATGTGCATCTATTATCTCGTAACTCACCGAAGAAATGTGCTATGCTAGGGTAAGTTGTGCGTGGATGCATAACTGATTTGTAGTTGTTGATGTGTATCATGCTTACTATAGGACGCATAAACCTTTATGGAAAGAAATATGTTATGCTAGGGTAAGTTGTGCGTGAATCCACAACTGATTTGTAGTTGTTGATGCATATCATGCTCACTATAAGACGCATAAACCTCTATGGTTAGAAATTACATGCGTGTGTGGACGACTGACTGAGTGTATCACCGAAACGAAAACTTAGTTTAGTACTTCGCACACGTCAGAGCCCCGTACCCACCACAACACACCCACACACGTCCAACCAAACCCGTCCACGTGTCTTCCAAAACTGCAATATTTCCAACACTACTTCTTGGCTTCATGCCCGCCAGTCATTTGATTCATTTCCATCCCTTAATTTAATAACCCTACAATACTGCCTCTCGTTTCTCTCTCTCTCTCAAGAAACTAAAACAACCCCTAAAATTCCCCACCCAAAATTTCCAAAATAAAAAATAAAAAAAACCAGAAAAATGTGAGTGAACGAATGAATGAATGACTCCATGTGAGACAGAGCCTCCAGACCCACCCGCCATAGCGTGAAGGGCCGTTTCCCGTCGTTTCCCGTCCCAAAGAACGACGTGACACGTCACCTCCACCGTCTGCTCCGTCCCCAACCCGGCAGAACCAATGTCGGGTCAACCCGTGATCCAGACCCTAACATTCTGGCTCTCGGAGCACCCATCCATCGTCGGCTTCCGCTGGAGCCACGCCCACTCCTGGGGTTCTACGTGGTCCTTCCTCTTCACCGCCATCGCCGTCTACCTCACCCTCTCCCTCTTCCTCCACTTCTCCCTCCTCGTCGTAAACCGGTCGGGTCGACCCGTCCCGCTCGGGCCCATACCCGCCGTCCACAGCCTCGCCATGGCCCTAATCTCCTTCACCATCTTCGCCGGCATCACCCTTTCCTCCGCCGCCGAAATCCGCGAGACCCGGTGGTTCTGGCGCCGCTCCAAAACTCCTTTCCAGTGGCTCCTATGCTTCCCGCTGGGGACCCGCCCGTCGGGTCGGGTCTTCTTCTGGTCGTACATGTACTACCTCTCCAGATTCCCCCACATGCTTCGCACATTCTTCACGATCCTACGACGTCGTAAGCTCGTCCCTTTCCAGCTCTTCAACCACTCGATCTTGACCGTGATATCGTTCCTGTGGCTGGAGTTCTCTCAGTCGATCCAGGTTCTGGCGATACTGTTGACGACGCTCGTGTACTCGGTGGTGTACGGCTATAGGTTCTGGACGGCGGTGGGTCTGCCGAGCGCCTGCTTCCCGGTCGTCGTGAACTGCCAGATTGCGCTGCTGGGCTGCAACGTCGCGTGCCACGTCGGCGTTCTGATGCTACATTTCATGAGAGGCGGGTGCAATGGGATTGGGGTATGGGTGTTCAATTCGGTGTTGAATGGGGTGATTCTCTTGGCCTTTTTGAATTTTTACGTCAGAATTCATCTGGGTTTTGATAAAAAGGGAAGGACCTGCGGCGGCGGTGGCGGCGGCGAGGTTAAATCTGTGGCTGGTGGCCGGTCTTGTTCTTCTGGGTTGGGAGGGAAGGACAAGGAGGGCAAGGAGCTTTGATAGTGTGGGTTAGAGTGTATGATAGTTTTGGTGGGGTGGGGTTGGGGCTTGCCTTTTTAGATTTTCTGTAAAAGGGTCTATAAAGTTGAGTTAATTATGTATACATTTCTTTTGATAAATCAAAAAAAATAAAAAATAATGTATACATTTACAATGGAGGTAAAAGTAAAAGATGAGGGTTTTTGAGTTCTCTCATTAGATTTTTCTTATTATTTTTTGATACCTGATATGATTATGTTTCTCATGATTGATCAGTAAAATCTTTGATCAGTAAAATCTTTTGATGGGAATTCATAAGAGTAGTGGCCTCTTTATATTACTTTTTGGTATTTTGATTGTTTGTGATATGCAAGTAGGATGTGTAACTAAATAGAATGCTGAGGTTATGTATATGATCATATCATTTGCCAGGTTGTTAGATGAATCTTTGCTGCAATTGTGTCTAAAATGGTTCACTTTATAAATGGTAAGAAAGGATTCTACTCTCGTATCGGAAAGCATCGATGCTAGGATAATGTGTCATGAAGTCTCAAATAACCATTTGATTTGATTTAGCGGCTCTCAGTTTTCACTTTGTTAAAATCTTGCGAGTAGACAACAATTGTCTAGAAAAATAAATAAGGCCGGAGAGAGAAAATACTTTAGATTGGTGTTGTGTGATTATTTTGTTTTGTAAAGTAGTGAAAGGATCTTAATTTACCAGTATCCAGTCCAAGACGGATGATGTCCTACGTCGCTGTATCAACTTATTACAATAATATCGGTTCAATGGTTTGGCTGCTTTGGCATCTACAAAGGAACATTGAGTCAATCAAAAGCAAATGTAGTTGTAATTGAATGCATTTCTTTTTCGCCCTTTGTTTTGTTTTTGGTCCCATTAATACAATTGATAGTTTTGTTTGGATTGATTATAGGATTAATAGACATGGATTTAGTCAAGTTTGTTAGAATAGATGTGCTCCCCATTATGCACCGAGTTCAAATTCCCCTCTGTATAGTTTAAATTAGACTAAGTAGAATAATGCTTTTATACCATAAATTTCAATTGATTGCATTGCAACACCACACAAATTTAGGTTATTTTTTTGACGAGGACGTTAAGGATTTGGTACCTCGTAAGAGGCATGTCTTGAAATTCCATATGGACCCATCCAACAATTTGTCATAGATTTTGAGCAAGAGAAATTGTGCAAAAATGCCCTAATTCTGTTTTTACGTGGGCTTTGTGGTAAGTTGAGTCATATTCGTTGCATAAGCTTTTGTAAATGAATGATTATCATGAGAGCATATCACGTTCATGTAGCAAACGTGTGGTTGGATCATAACAAATCGTCTCAAAGCTTACCATGCTATTCGGCCTTTAACGGGTATTAATGCAGTACCCTAGCTACTTCTCTTTACGTGTGAATTATGCAAGCATTTGATCAAATTCTAAATCAATTTTTATTAAAGGTCAGTTTGGACTTTGGACTTGATCAGGACTTTAAAGGTTTACTTTTTCTTCTTCAACTAAAGTATTGTTAGTTAGAGCATTCATGGTAGGGAGGTGTAAATTCAGGGATGTAAAACCATTTTTATATATTTTTTTACATATATGGGAGATGTAAATGCTATTTTTGCTTCAATGAGAAAGATGTATATTTAGTTTTTTGTGCTTTTTTTTTTGTTAAAATTTTAAAATTAATTTTATGTGTGTTAGGTTTATTTTATTTTTCCAAACAAAAGATGTGAAAAAATGTAGTTGTGCATGTCCGGTGGAAAATTTAAATGTGCAGCCATATACATACCACCATTGCAGCACTTTCAGGACGTGATGGGTGTAAATCTGATATATATGACCACTGTGGATGCTCTTGCCATAATATACAGAAGAAGAGGATCAAACTCGGGTTGCAAAATAATGAACACTCTGACTCGGCTAATTGGCTTAACCCACATCCATATGTAACGGTTTGCTTTTAGACCTTTTATAAAACATCTTCGGTGAATGATGGGCCTAAATGTGACTAGGTTGGACTGGGCATCCATACACATGTTTTGAAAAATGGGCTGAAATCTAGGCTTTTAAGTGACATCTAAAATCAAGAACTCTTGGTCATCTTGATTCTTGATGATGTATTTCAATTTTTGTTTGGTCAATATAACCCACTTGGCACTTTGAAAGGCATCTTGTCAAAGAGTCAATTCATTCCAACAGGCCAAACCCACGAAAGGGGGCGAGAAACAGAGCCACAGTAATTGTCAGAAGAGTAGTGCGGGCACGGAAGACCATTCTCGCACACACAAAACAAGCACCAAAGAGCAATGCAGAGCTGGGCCGGCACAACCTCTCACAACTGCCAAACAAAGAATGATACAAAAGAGAGACCCCTACGAAAATTATTGTCAACTTGGTACGAAATTGACTCAATGATTTAAGGATACATCACCATTAATTGTGCATCACGCGGAAACTTTGGTTAGCCCCAACAAGCACCACAGCCACATAAACAATTTCTTACTTCTCTCTTAGCCTTGGGGTTGTCTCAACATAATTTCAATGTGTATAATGCGAAGAAAAAGAATAATACAAACAAAAGGATCACAATCGTATAGGAAATGACAGACAAATTGCTCTTTGGCTACATTATGCAAATCGTAGTCTGACTTACATATACAAAAAACAATTCAACAAAAATACAAATTTAAAAACTTAGGTAGACGTATAGAACTGTGTCTTTAAAAAAGAATAAAACGTTACGTATAATGAACCAAATATTTTAAATCAATACCATCATAAACTAAGGGACTAATTGGAAAAAGAAGACCTAACATAACTTACACACCCAGCCCCATGCCGATGTCACGACAACTGTGGATAGATCATGTAAAGATAACCATGATTCTATTCCATTATCCTAAAATCCCCATCCCATTTTAAAATCAAACAGAAGGGAATAAACTGAAGAATCATATTATTTCAAATGTTAATTTTCATATGGCTGGCAGGCAAGGCAACATTAGGTCGGTGGCAGGCAGCATCACGATATTAAAATTGGTACAAGGCCAAGAATTGGATAGGATTGAGGATTGAGGATTGAGGATTGAGGTGGGTTCGGATGCATGTTACGTCAACAAAGTGAATGGGTCCAAAACTTGTCACCTACCATACCGACCACTAACAGCGTGATCAATAGAGCCCCAGCTTCTTGGAGGTTTCTCGGCGGTCTGCTCATTTATTTTTTCTTCATGAAGATCAAGATGATAACCCATGAACCTTGACCTGACACGTGTCCTGGGGACTGGATGGGCACGTCAGACAACGCATTCGCACGTGATGCCATCCCATATCAAAGACCTAAATAACAAGGCCAAGGTCGGTGTGAAAAGAGGTTGAAGACTCGGCCTGTCCAGTTGAGACCTGCCACGGTCATGTATGAACCAAGTACCCAAATTTTCGGGGATTTCAAAACCAATTCGCTTTTGTTGTATGTGGTGCACAAACTGCCCTCCAACTCATTTGCTCATGTTAGGTTTGTTTAGAAGAAAGATTATTCGAATGTCATTATCCCATCTAAAAGCAATTGGTATTGAGAGTAGATCTTTTACTTCTAATACATGAACAATTCCTACTAGATGACACAGAAACATGTAACATCACTCGACATGACAATAAAAAATTCGCTCTGATATCATATTAGACGGTGAATATTCAATTTAGAATAAATTAGAAAGGGAACTATGTGATTGTGATACATTTTTTGTTTAACATGGTTTGAAGCCTTGAATTGGGGTGACAGATAATCTTTATTGGTGTGCTGAAATTGCTGCAAAGTGAGACTCCAAAATTGGAATTTTGTTTCTGTTTTTTTGTTAAACCCATTTATTAGAAGCACATGCAGCCGATTCATTTGAATGACCTCTCTCAATGACTCAGGTAATCTCAGAGGCCACTAACTCGGAAACTGCATGATACATAGTTTATTCATATACAGTGGATCTTTTTTCGGAAGCCTAATATAATAATTTTTTTTTTTTTTTTTTTTTTTTTTTTTTTTTTTTTTTAACATAACTTTTATTATAAAAATCCAAGTCCTTGCAAATTCACCACAGAAAAAGTGACTTTTTTGCTTTTTTTTTTTTTTTTTTTTTTTTTACACTTTTTCACTTTTATGTTAAGTTGTCTGGTGATTTCCAGCTCTTTATCTTTTCGTCTTCAACCTTACGCAGGGAAAGACAAATGAAGTAAAAGTTTTTTACAATTAATTGATCATTGATGAACATAGACTGTGAATTGAGTGAATTATTTTTTTTTTTTTTTTTTTTTTTTTTTTTTTTTTTTTGGGGTAAATTGATATCATAAAACTACAAACCTACACTCTCCACATCATTGTTTACAGAAAGCCGGAGACTAAATTCTAAAGTTAAATCTTGGGGGAGGGGGGGAAGGGGGGGTTAAAACAAAATTGGGATTTCATTTTCAATCATATTGTTATTTTCGTTTTTGTTTGCTTCTTCTGTTGCCTCTATAATTTTAACTATGTATTGAACCAAACTGCACAACACTCTTTGGCCCATCAAAAGCAGTTGATGCGGGCAGTTCCGAAGAAGACGATGACGAGTAAGGATAACAAGCTTTTCTGAGCTCATTGTACCTTCCCTCATCGAAGTTCTGAAGCTTCATGAGGCGCTTCTGCTTCGCATGAGACCTGCTCTGGAAAAATCCCTCGAAAGAGGGCTCTTTCGAGGTCCTGAGGAAAAATGCATAGCCAGCCATGAAGTACATTGAAGTAACGTAGAAGCAAATAGGTTCCATGACGTCCCACGAGAGTTCCCAGAAGGTGAGCCTCATGAACCCGGCTGTTTGGACAACAAGATATGCAAGCCCACACCAGAGCTCCCTCCGAACCAGGGACTCGGCTTTCCTGTCGATTTCAAACTTCTGCCTCTCCATGTCCTCCAATTCCCTGATTCTTGGGTCGTTTGGGTTGACTGCTGCAGCTCCTGGAATTGGAATTAGTTCCTGGATGGCTTTAGCTACCTGCAGTAATCAAACAGTTTGAAACGTTTGGGTAAAGCATGCTCAGCCTTAACAAGCTAACATCTTCCATCAATCTTTGGACTTCTATGCTCAAACTATACAAGGAAAAACAACTTGGACTAAAAAAATAGCTTAAAACTATAATCAAGAAGATAACACAAAAGCTTTTGCTCTGCTACCTGCCAATTCTTTTTAAAACAACAAAAGAAAAGACTTAATTTTTGTTGAAGAAACAGAGAAAATACAAGTCATGAGTTATGCAAGCTGAGCAAAAGATAGAGATGCCATAGAAGGTGCACGTTAGCAACTAAAACAAATCCAAGAACTATATCTCAGCAAAACACTATACCACCACCCTAAAAGAGAAGAAGCAAACACAACCCTTTTTTTTTTTTAAAACTTCATTTGACTGAAAACATCCACCCCCTCTCTCCTCATTTCTTCCATTTCCTCATCTGGTATATTCATTACTCTTTCCTTGGCAAGTAATTAATTATCCTAATCTTTAGGTATTAAATTTACTTCCTTTTTTTTGCCCTTCTAGTTCCTTCAAACACCAACCCCCACCCCCTAAAAAAAAAAGAAAAAAAAAGGAGTAATTTTCTGTAAATAAAAATGTCTTCTGCTTTTTTTTTGTTTTGTTTTTTAATTGACTGTAGTCTCCTCAAACAGTGTATGAAAAGGGATTTAAATCCCATGAACATTAAAATCTGCCACGGTAGAAACTGAAACGTGGAACCCTTTTCACGTTTTAGGTTTGGCCTGTTGAAGAAAACAAACAAAATAATCATAAAATAATATCAGTTTTCGGAATTTCCCAAATCACAAAAAAGGAAAAGAAAAGAATCCAACAATCACTACAATGGGAAAATCTCGTAATTTTATTTCTACCCTCTCGGCCAACAGACCAAGACCATCAATAATTATCTGAAACACCAAACAAATATAAAACCAACAAGAACAAGAAAATGGTAATTTGAAATTAAGCAAATAACGAAATCAAATTAAGATTAATGAATCAGAAATTAACCTGCTCAGGCCTCAAGCAAACGGCGTTTCCCAACACGATAACGGACCCGTTTTCGTCTAACGACTTGGCGAACCCGAGACCCAGATCCGGATCCGAACAACCCTCCTTGCATATCCGAACAAACTCCGGATACGATACCCAGCTTTTCTGGACTTCTCGAAGCTTCGATTTCACAGCCTCCAACTGGGCCACCCTCAGCAACTTCCTGGTTTCCTCCGCCGTCAATCCTGACCCCACCGCCGGTGACTTCTCCTGCTCGGGCTCCGGCGGAGCCAAACAGTCCAATCGGATTCGGTCAGAGCCAATGGCCATGACCCTGAGCTTCTGCATCAGGTTTTCTCCAGTCGGCAAGGACCACATCTCCGGCCTCTGGGATGTCGCCGGCGACGACCTCTTGTGGAGGAAGCGGCGGAAAATGACATTGTCTCCCGGGTCGGGTGCGATGCTTGTTTCCCGTGGCTTGGGAGCCGGTCGGGTATGAACCGCCGACGAAGAAATCCGGCAGTTTCGGAGGGTTTGGGGCGAGATCTTGGAGATGTTGAACAGGCGCTGGGCTAGGGTTTTCTTGAATGCCATCATATAAATCAAAGAGCGAGAATCGCCGAGGCTTTCTGTTTGATTAGGAGAGAGAGAAAGAGCTTGAATGCTTTGTACTGGTTTTGAGCGCATCAACAATGGAGGCCTCTGTTCCTTTATATAGGTGTCCCAATTAACAGGACGACCACGATATTTTGAGAACCCTCGCGATATTTACAAACAGAAAGAGGGGAGAAATTCCGCGTTGCACGGTTCTTAACGATCTACAAATGAACGTATGCCTTACGTTCGGGGCATATTCGTTTTATCAGTTCTCGCATTTTCAATTTCTCGTACGCGGGGACGCGGGGTCGGTTTCACGAGAGAAAATATTATTTAAGTTGGTGACCCCATCACCGTCCACGTGTGCGGCCAAGCTCACCGCAACGTAAACAATTTCAACTGCCTACTGCATGATTAGATGAAAGTTGAGTTAGCTACTTGATGTTGACTTATGTTCAGGTGGACTTCGTGTGCTGGAGTAACGTGATCGACACGTGGCGAGTATAGACCTATCGTTATCCTTGAGCGGCATGAGCTAATAATAGGGTCGGCCGCATGCGATTGTGAACTACTCCTTTCCTCTGCCCGAGAAAGTTGGATGGCACAGCTCATATTTTCTGGAGAAATTAGAACAGGTACAAAGAGTATTTACAAAACGTTCACGCGTTTAACGTGGCGTTTAGGACCGAGCCTTTTTGTTTATATCTTTTGAGTTCATAGCATTCGTTTAAAAAAACAAAAACAAAAACAAAAACGTGAGAGATAGAGATAGAGGTTTTTGGCAATGAATTTAAGTTGAGGAAGTTGAGGTGGTTGTTGTGGTCCAAAGGGATGCTAAGATTGATAAGGTTGGATTAGTTTAAAAGGTGTTCTAGGATTAAGTTGGTGATTAGTAATGCGATAAGTCGTATTATTTGGTTGATTAAAGATGCTGATTTTAAATCCCAACAAACTTATATTAATTTTTACTTTATTATTCTAGTTTTTGGATGATTCTATTTAGGCTAAGCCGGTGATTTATTTCATCCTAAATCTTTTTTTTCCCCCTCAAATGTAATTGTTCTTGTTGGGCCATTCCTTTGCTTGGAGGTGAATGATGATGAAAAATATGTGGTAATATCGTCACACAAAATAATGCTGTTCAAATTGTGGAATTTTACCCTTTATCGTTGGGTTCGGTAAATATAACTCAGTCAATTCAAATCCCTAAGTTAAGTTTGACCATATCGTGTTTTGCTCGCTTGGTTTTATCTACAAATGGTGTGGGAGCGAAAATTACTCCTCAAGTAGTAAGTCACTTATCCATGCATCCTAAACTGGAGGGAGTGGAGACAATCAAGCAACTTGTTATCCACTATCTTGTAACATGGAGATAAATGAGGAATATGAGACTCGGAGCTAGCCCAAGACTCCACGACCTATAAAAGGCCAATTAACCCAACATCTCAAGAGAGGAAAAAGAAAGGATGCATGGATAAGTGGCTTACTCATGCAATTTTTTGAACTCCTACTGACTTAGGCGTCAAAGTGTCTTCTTACAGGTACCCCCTCTTCCATCATTGGTGTCAATTGAAGATAGTGTCCGGCTTCTCAACATTTAATACAAGATTACTTATTGGAGGATCCGAAATTTTCCGCCCCAAACAAAGGTAGCATTCTCAAATTCCCTTCCTTTGGTTTGTTGTAAATTTTTAACTTTTTTTTTGTTTGCACATTAATCACATTATCAACATGCGCAAGGCTCCATCCAAATAAACCATTCCAACTTCCATGGTCAAAGCTCGAATGTTTGCATATGAAACTGCAATGCGTCCATCCAAATCCTCATTAAAATGACTAGGCGTACGGTGCATTATATACTCCGCACGATTTAGGAAACCATTTTAATTAATTTTCATAATTAATCTCAATTACACTACTAACTAATACATGTGCCTAATAATCCAAGAAAAACAATGACGTATTTGTATTTGGTCAATACAAATTAAATTACGCAATTGCGTATTATTTAACCACGAGTTGCATAAAAAGCTATTTATTTTAATATTTACATCCTTATCATCATTACTCACTCAAACCATGCAATTGCGTGTGTGACCAAATAAAATGCTACTAAAATATTTGGTTAATTTAATAAAATAAATAAATAAAGTTTGATTAGCTTCATCAAAGTTCGTAATCGTGTTTGCCCACTAGACCTAACAGCTGTTAATTATTGTCAATACCTAAATTAATGTCAGACCTAATTTTTTCCCAACAAAAAAAATTGTTTGTTATTTTCAGTACGAAATTAGGGTTTTTATTTATTTATAAATTTACGGTGACACAAAGCTATGCACCAATTCTGAGCTGCATATGAGTCATGAGCAGCATAGAACTCTCTCTTCAATCTGGTTTGATCTTGGACAATTCAAATAAGTTTGGATGGATAATGAGATTCTTGGCTTGATATGGACCCAAATGAAAATCTGAGTACTAGAAGAAACGTAGTTGTACATTTTTGCAGCTTTTATTCGATAATAATTTTAGAGGATTTGATGCTCTGTACTTTAGTTTGTTATCCTTTCTCGAGCAAACCTCACATTGAATTGCCATTTTCTCCTCCACTTGGTACACCAATATCCCTCATTGGTCAAAAAAAAAACCCTAAAATGTACTATGTTTTGGTATGATAATGAGATTCTTCTTCAGTCGAATCGTTGGTGCTACGACTCGAATCGTTTGATGAACTAAACTGATTAAATTGAACAACTGTTCGACATATTCGGGACAAATATCCCCTTCCCAAGAGTGAGACTCTATTGGACGAAAGTCACAGCCACCAAATGGGATGACTAACTAGGAGGATGCCCTTCATCTTGGTAATGGTCATGCTCCATGTATATCCATGTCTATAAACCTTCCACGTAACTAGAGGATAGAAGAAACACTAGTACTTGGATTATAACAAAAAGGCTCCTCGAATGCTAAAACCAATAGGCTTTTTCTGGTTATCACTCTTTTAATTATGCTTCGTTCGTAGTACTTGGATTATAACAAAAAATCTAAATTCCTTGTCATATATTTCATATGTAGATCTCAATCTGATATTTATGAAGAATATAACACGCACCCTTTTACCGAATGAATTGTAGTCATGAAATTGCAGTCAAGAAATAGACTGGTGTGGTTGACAAATGCTTAAAAAACTTGAGGCAAGGCAAACAACAACACATTATTTTAAAAGAATCCAATCTTTGAGTACACAAATGCTTTATTCTTTTCTCTCATTTGCACTTAAACCATGTAAGTTGTACATAAAAGTATGCAAGGAACCTCATGAGCCTCCTAAGATTAGTAATAATTGAGCATTGCCTTATCAACTAGGAAAAGCAATGATTGAGAGACCATGCATTTTTCTAAATAGTCTAAGGATAGCATATATTCCCGACAATGCATGTTTATTCTCGCAGGTTTTGCCAAAGTTTAAGCAACCAAAGCCAGCAAGCAATGCTGGTTTTATGGGTCACTTGGCATGATTGACCTCTTGTTCTAAATCTCATTTATGTCTTTTTTCTTTTTCGGCTTTGCCTTCATTCCACCCTACTGATATTCTTTACACACCCACACCACACAGGGAGTGAGAGACAATGCAGCTTCTATCGTGTCTGTCCGTGTACGCAGTAAACATATAGATCAATCTGGAAAACCTTTGAAGCATAGCATGGCAAAAATGTCGGATGCACAACTGAAAATATTACAGGACAGTGAATTGGGAGGAGTTTTTGTACAAAGGTCTTATAAGCCTGGTCCGTTGTACATATCATTAATGGTGTCAGCAATGATAAATTATTTATTTAAGCATGTTTACAACGCCTTGAGTCTTCACCTACCTATAAGTTAAGTACCCATCAAGGGAACTCAGAGTGTGTGAACCGCATCACGTCTAAATAACTATAAACCCTAGCCCACGTCAACATCGACAGCATAACCTTCAGCTTGGCATCTGAGCTAATCAGCAGAACTTCCACGCAAATGTATTGAACTTGGTTACAAGAAACTGAATACTGAGTCTGCTCTTTCCGAAAGTTTCCTTGCATCCTGTTGCAAAGCTTTCTTTCTAAGCATTCGGATAAATGAAGCCCATGTGGTGATGGCTCTTCCAGAGTCTGGATTTTCGATTTACGGCATCTTGCCACCATCATATACAGAGTCATCAGGTTGACAGGAGAAGTGCTTCCCTATCTAGAACATATTATCTTAAGCAGCAATGCATTGCATTTGCAGCACCATCAATGTGGGGAATCTCATGGGTGCCAAATAGCATCAAGATACCACATCCCCAGCAAATAGAAAGTCACAGATCTTCTGATCAATGGGGACAGCATTCTGAGACTGACCATCACTCTGCAGACTCTTCTTTTCCTTCCTATACATTTCACCTTCACGAACTCTACCAAGTTTTTGGAGACCGGCTAAGAGAACATTGTATGTTCCCAAGAAAGGAAGAAACCCTTCCCCTCGCATTGTATCAAAAATTTTAAGTCCTCTATCAGCACTACCAGCAGAGAAGTAAACACCCATCAAGGCAGTGTAAGTTGTAGTGCACTTGTGATCATCAGGCAATAAATTAAAGACTTTTGCAGCACAATTGGTCCTTCTAGCACGCCCAAGCCTATATATTAGAAGTGCACTTAGGTATGTTCCAGGAGAATACCCAGCCCTAATCATCTCCACAACAATCTCTACCACCTTTGGAAATGAATTTGATCTGATCAAAGCTCCTATTAAAGAAAGATAGGCATTTCTCTCAACGATGATACCCATTTTCACACTATATTCAAAAGCCAGCAAAGCACCATCTGGTCTGCAAAGTCCACAATTTGCCTCAATGATGGTTGAGATGATTGCAGAATTCAATTTTATATTCTTATCTTCATTTCCAGCGAGTAATTGGTCTATGGCAACAAGATTTTCCTTTTTTAAGAGAATCAGTACAAGCCATTCGTCCATTGTTGAAGGAGCATCAGCAGCAGTTGCTCTAAGCTCACCTGTCTCCTGATTCCCAGATTCAATGGAAAAGTGAGGATGAACTTGCCTGAGGAGGGAATCACTCACCCCAGCAATTTTAAAAGTTCTGATTGCCTCTAGAAATATAGGGTAACGAAGGGCAAGGCGATGTTCTTTCATAAACCAAAGGACTTGGTTCATTGTCCATGTCTCTCCCACTTTGCACAAATTCTCAATTAAAATATTGCAAGCCGCTTTATCAGGTTGTACTCCAGCATCTTGCATTTTGCCAAAAATCTCAAGTGCCTCTTTGCATTTGCCTGAAACCCAACACAAATAGAGTAATTTGATTATCTTAAGTTTTGGAGGCAGGAGAGGAACATAGTAAAAATGAACCAGTTTGCCCAAGATCCCACCAAAAGTGCATTATGCATAGAAATTATACAAGACGAGTCCATTTCGGAACCATTAATATTAATATGCAAGTTAATGAAACATGATATCTTTCCTTAATACGATTAAGCAAAGAAATATGTTTGCACGTTGCTTACACATCATCTGCAACACTGGGAGGGAAAAGGAAAGCAACCACAAAGATTACCGACAGTCAAATCAAAACAACTTCAAATTATAGCAAAAATCATTGAGAGGACACAACCAAAAACAAAAAGTCTTAGGTTCTGTTGATAAAGAACAGCCAGTGGGAAGAGAAATCAGTGCAACCTAATGAACAAAAGTGGTAACTTGCAGTGTATATTTGCTTCAACTAACATATAAAACATGCCCAACATCAAACAATTTAACAATGGCCCATTCAGACATTACAACAAACAAACGGATGGCACTGGGTATGCAAAGTTGAGTTGGGCTCACCTGAACCAATGAGGTATTCCATTAAGACAGTGTAGGTATGACAAGTTGGAGAGCACCCAGATTGAAGCATTTCCTTGTAAACATCAGTGGCCTCCTTCACTCTGTTATCATTAAACAGGACCTTCATATAAGCAGTGTAAGAAACAACAGTAGGAACACAGCCCTGAGCTCTCATCTCCTCCCAAACCTTCACAGCCCCATCAACATCCCCAGCACTAGAAAGCCAATGCATCAGCGAAGTGTAAGTAACAGCATCAATCCTTACGTCCTTCTCTTGCATTTGCTTGAAAACATGGGTCATGGACGAAACCCTCCCCGCCTCTCCAAAAATGTCCAGCATTGTTGTGTACGTGAAGTGGTCGTGCTTAAACCCTCGAATCCCAGCAACCCAGTTGAAAAAAAGCCAGGCTTTTTCCATTGGGGGATGGGTTTTGAGCACCTGGCTCACTGTGTAAGAGTCCCATCTTATGGGCAGCCTCTGTAATTGGTCCTGAGCAGAATCCCATGTTGAATATTTGAGAATTTTGTATATGTTTCCAATGGTTTCTCTCATGTAAATCTTTGGGTCTGCATCTTCTTGCTTTTTACTGGATTTGAAGTGCTTCTTGGTGCTCTTTCTGGTAATTGGCTTACTGGGTTCGTTTTGTTTGATTTGGTTGAGTGAATGGATGGATTTGATGGAACTCTTTGGCCATTGATGATCATGGATGGCCGTGAAAGCTGCGAGGTGTTTGAGAAATCCATGGAGGTTATAGAAACCGCGCATAGAAGCTATGCGTTCAGTCCTCGCGCTTTTTTGTGTCGCTGATAGTCAGATGAGAAGTGATTTCTATTGTAGCAAAATTGTGAAAATGGGTCAAGAATATACGAGTCATTTTCTCGACAACAAAAAAATGCGGAAATTTTTTCAGTAAACAATTCTCTCTCTCTCTCTTTTTTGTTCCTTCTTTTTTTGCAAGTTTTTCAGTAAAAACAATGTTACAATTTTTTGGGTAACTTAATATTTCATACAGTACAAGACTTTATAATAATAAAGTTCGGATACAGGCAATCACTCTCAAACCACAAACCACCACGACACATAACAAACAAACTTAACAATGGAGAGAATTCTGACCCAAAACATTCGTAAGTTTACAGCTCGTTTCATACTCATGGTAAAGCTGATCCACTCAAATTAGTAGATCTTGATCATGAGTGAGCAGTATCATTTACCGTTTTGATGAGAATCAAGTACCATCTTGACCTGGTACAATCATACAGCATGATGACATTGTGACTTTTGGCCTTTGATCAGGATCAAGGCTCCGGTTTTAGGGCTCAAAAAAGGTAACGTAGTAAAAGAAGAGTTCTTAATTTCAATATTGCTGCGATAGACTCATAAGCATATATCTAGTGCATGCCTACCAATCCCTCATTTTCTGCACACTCCCAACCCAACAAATCATCATCTCAAGATGTTTCCAAAATAGTAATTAAAGAAATACATTCACGTTTTCATGTTTTTACATCATTTCACCATGTAACAGTTGAGTATCCCCAAAAATTTCATACAACAAACCAGATAAAAACAACTGAAGCTAAAATCATGAAACAATTTTCTTCCTATCAAGAATGCATGCCTTTCTCGGCCTCTTGACTGAGCCCTTTCATATTCCACACTTCATACTTTGCATGACTTCAGCCGTTGGATCCATTAGGCCGATACATATCAGACTGAAGATGAACAATCTCTATATCATAGAGAAGCAAGTAAAAGAAATATATCAAAATATGCAGACACCGATGTGGACAAATATTCTTAAACAGAGAGTGAAGAAAGAGGGATTCAGAGTCCAAATAGATCTAGTTCCGAAATGGAGAATGCGGAGGTCAGAAAACTCGAAAGATCTAACACTTGCTGAGATTCCATATAAATGAAAGGAAATTTTCGCGTGCCAGGCACATGCTACCACCCTCTCACAAAACAAGAATGTGGCGGGATCAACTACATAGTGAAGCCACCACTCTTGTGAGAGGGGAGCCAAGTGCACTGACACACAAACTATATAATTCGTCCAAAAGAGATCCTTTAGCAACAATCAAATAAAGAACAGCATAACTTCCACCATCAACAGCTAGCAAACAACATCAAATCATCAAAGAAACAGAATAGCATCAGCAAGAAAAGGTCTGCTATACCCATCCAACAGATTCAGGGGATGCAAAAACCACCTACAATGCATGACACTGGAAACAAAAGTGCCCTTTATTTTTTGCCACTGCATCAGCAAAAATGAAGAGGCCCTTGCCCATATAAAATGAAGAGAAAAAAAAATGACGTGCCTATTGTTTCCCACTACTTTCTGTTTCAACCCCCCCCAAAAAAAACACACGAAAACAACATTGATTTATCCTTCATTCATGTGCTGGGTACATGTCCAGTTTTCGATTAATAGCATTAAATGGATATGGTCGGACAGACCAAATTTAAACCATTTCACAACTACAGGGTTAATTTTGTTCAAATTACAAACATAAGGATCAAAATGAAACATTTAGGTAAATGGCGAACTTTACACCAAAATCTATATCTATTGCATCCTCCTCGCAATGACTATAGATCAGCAATTCACTATTGGAATAGGACACCTTCCTAACTAATTTCCATCTACTGGAATGCTCTTTCTGTTACAGAAATACACAACACTTTTCCTAGACTCACCCTCCAATGTATCACCAACAACCTACTGGAGTGCGGCAGTTAACTTCATTATCATCCAATCATGTTTCTCTATAACAGCATTAAGCAGCAAAGAAAGCAAAAAATTCTAGAACATTTTGCGATAAGAAACCAGATGAAACAGTCAAAGTCAAAAGTAAGTAATCCTTTTGATTGAAGCATACTCTGAAAATGTAAACACATTTAGTATAATCCTGCTTAACAATGAACTCTTTCAACCAGTAGAAACAATTAAACCTATCTTTTTTTCTTCTAACAAAGGCCAAATCAAAGACATTGATCCAAGGTGAAGAGGTGCTTTAGCTGGGTGCTTATGTTTCACTAATAGGCAACCAGCCAGAGAACACTGATCAGAAAAACATACCAAAAGGCTACTCATTTTTCGGGATGCCTAATTATTCTCTGCAAAATCACTGTCCTCGCCCTCCTTATATTCCGGCTACACTTATCAGCATGTTGGCTTAAATTATCAATGGTTTCCACAAACATTTCCAGCTTTTTCTTGATCTCATCTATCACTAGCTTCACAGTGTCCTCTTCTCTAAGCGCAAAACCAGCAGTCTGCAACAGTGACTCAATCTGAATTTCCCATTTGTCAACAAGCACCCGGATGTTGTCCAGGTCCTTCATTGTAACATAAGTCCCAATCTGCATTGAGCTGATTATCTCCCTCTGCCCTTTCAGTGTCCTCTCATAACGATTCCAGAGCAAATTACACCACTTTCCAATTGAACCTATTGGAACAGCCAATGCTCCTGCCAAGGCTGTTACAAGTGGTGGTGCAGCAATAGCAGCTGCCACCACAGAAAAAACCAATACAGAGACGAAACCGGCAACAAAAATAACATTTGACACTCTCCTCCAAGCTTTGACTGATTTCAACTTCTTATCAAGTTTTCTCTTACGAAGTTGCAGTTTCTCAAACATCGATGCCTGTTGCTTATAAACTGACTGAAACAGTATAAAGAATTCATCCGTGAAAGGGTCCCCAGCTGCCTTAAATGCCCTCAATTCTTGTAAGGTCCTCTCACACCTCTTCCCTTCAGCTCCAGCTTCTACTTCTTCCTGAAACTGTCTAACTGCAGCTTGAATTATCAGCTGGTTATTCAGTGCGCGCTTGAGACATTGCTCAAGGGCAGTACAGAAGTCCATTGTTTGAAGACTGTTCTCAAAGTATTCCTCCACAAGAGAGAACATTTCTTTACTGTTCCATATATCCTTCTTGCATTCTAGAATGACTTTGACCACTTCCTGGTTCATTTCAAGCAAGCAATCAGTAACCTCTTTGAGTGAGTCAAGAGATAGGGACCGAATTTCGAGTCCGGTGGAAAGTGAGGTGATGACACGGCTAGTGCGCTGTCGGAGAGTGGCATCAAATGATTGTAAGGCCGGGTCATGTTTACAGGCTGCCTCGTACGAGCTCAAATCGGCTGTGTCCTGGGAATTGGTATTGATTTCAAGGGATTGTGGTGGTGGTGGTGGTGATGATGATTGTGCTTGGCCGTCAACACCCTTGTTTTTACTGGATTTTGCTCCCATCATTTGCGTCCAGATATTTCCCGAAAAACAAACTATGGCTAACTAACAAAAAAAGATAATTCCTTTACCTCTTTCTTATCTTGAATGAATTTGGAAGAAGCTCAAAAGAGCTTAAATCTAGCAAAGCCTTGAAAATGCAGCTAACCAAGTCCTCTCAATGCAAAGAAATACTGGGAAAGTTACGAAATCCAGTCAAATCCAGTCGATGAGTAGGTTGAAGAACCAAAAATGACCCAAAGACTTGGACTTTGGTTAGATCCTAAGCACCCAAGAGCTATATTTCACTTGGTAAAGTAAAGTCCACATGAAATTTCTGTAATCAAAATGTGAAACTTTATGATTTTGCTAACTGTAGCACTTAGCTTAATAAGATCAGATTACCTGCAACTCAGCTTGAAGTCGAAGATAAGATGGAACTTTACTCTCACTACAATCGTCCACAAAGAGCAAGATTCCCAGAATCCAAGCAAAACCCAACACAACCAGCCAAAGGCCAAGTCTTGACACAACCCAGAAGTCAATGATCCTGAGCAATACAAAAGATATGACAAAGACGAAAACTTACACAACCACCAATAAACTAAAGAAATGGAGATGAGAGAGGATATTTGGTTTGGAAATGAAGGGTTTAAGGTAATTTAATGAGATAAATTACAGAGATGGAAAGGGAGAGGAAAGTGAGAGGAAATGGGAAAGCGGCGAGCACACCATGTCGTCAATAACGAAGAATACTAGCTTCCCAACCTACAGTACAAGATTCGACTCCGCTTATACCTAATGTTGTCTTTAAGGAACAAAACATACACTAGGACTAATACCTGAAAAGAAATAAAAGCAAAAGAGAGGAGCTTAAAAGCAAAAGGCCGAAAAGTGAGACCGATATTTGTGTACACTTTTTTTTTCCTTGGCTTGTCAATCAAGTAGCTCACTTGCGATGCAATGCATTATGCAATGGTAAATGGTTACTGGAATTTAATTGAAAATTCCCATATTCAGAGGCTGAGAGGGTCAAATTATTTTCTAAAGTCTAAGTCTAACCAATGCCATTTCACCAAACAATCCTTCCTGACTTCTCTTTCAACACCAATGGGTTCTATTGATCCAGCAATACCATAAAAATAAATAAAGATTCAGTTAAACTCGGGGGCCTTTCCATCTCACTAATGAAATAGTACGTATAGAGAAAAGTTTTTTTTTCTTTCTTTTTTGAGTTCTAGAAAAGAAAGAACACTAGTTGAAATTTTTTGGATACTTGTTGAAACAAAGTTTGTGAGTTATGGCTTAATGGAAGTGTATATGTGGGAATGACAATGAGAGTGGCAGACATTAACGTTGTTGGAGGTAGCCTTAGGTAATTTGTGTGATGGAACTTGTAGAAATTAGCATAGAAAAGAAGCTGAGTAGGAAGGAGGAGTTGGAGGATTTTATGAATGAAGACGTGTCTTGGGATATAATAAAAGTGTGAGATATATCAAATTAAATACACGTATGGGGACAAGGCATGTCGACTCTTGATGGCTTTGACCATGACTTCTCTGGTCTGCAAGTTCATAAGTCATGAAGATCGTATTACTTTCTGGAGAGACAACCAAAGCATGTCTTAATCTTAGGTATGATAGGAACCAAAGTCAATATTATCCAGCATTATAGGCTGTGGAAATAGTTCCTCCCTCCCTCCCCATCAATTATTTCTACAAAGTATTGTAGTGTTATGTTATGCGTGGTATGGTGGCATATGTCATGTCATGTTAGGTGTGTTAGGTGTGCTTCATTATAGACATCGAACTGGATTGTCCTGTTAAAATTATTGAATAATTTCATTTAACCATAAATTCTTAAGCAAAAAATTAAACCATGTATCCTATAAAAATATGGCTGAATTATTAGAACTGAATTGGGTAATAATCCAATCACACACTGCATCAAAGGCAGGACAATGCTTTACTAATCTAGTCTAAGCAAAATGCCTTCTCCACACAAAATTATAGGTCATGGTTGGTGCCTAGGATTTGATTCTATCAGATAGCTCACTATATTCAAGGCACATTGAAGACGGAGTAGAGCTCAACTTCCAAATTTTGTCGAAGTTAAAGGTAAAAGATGAATTAGAAACTTATCCCTTTGAAATCTTCCATTTTATGGGGATTTGAGGGAATAGTTTTCTTCATGACTAATCCATTTTTTTTTACAGGACATTTCTTCTTTAGATGGGCGATAATATATTAAATTCACATACACTACATGGATGCTAGGACTCAAGCCTAAGACTTTTCATGGAAAGAGCAATTGCTTCAAACCACTACACTACTGGATCCTTTGCATGACTAATCCATCTTAATCCTTCAACTTGATCAAATTTGAAAGTTGACATTCGATTCTTATTTCAACATACCGTGGATAGTGAGTTATGGGCACCAAATGTGATTCATTGCATGGCTTAGACTTAAAGTAAGTTGGCTGAAAAAAAAAGAATAAAAAAAGAAAAGAAAGAAAGGATGGATGTTCTTATAGAATGTTGCTTCTCCAAAACAATGAATGATACCAATTACATACCATACCAAATTCAGATTCTTCCTATATCTAATCCTCTAATTCTTTCCATGTATTCCATTCTTATTTAGAATCCATTGTCCTCAAACATTCAGTGTACATTTGACCCAAAAAGAAAACATTCAGTGTACTCAATCAAGGTGATGAACCTGCTTAAGCACCTTGGGCAAGTCCTGGTTGGACAAATAAAAAGACCCATAGAAAATAATGGAAATTTTATGGTTTATGGATACACCATCAGCATGGACTGGCCCAAGAATCATAACAATGGAGCCCCAAAGTTGAAATCTGTGTGACACTCTACCAAAAGCGGGTACAATTGAAATTGCAAAATTCAGTAACAGCAGAGTAGCAAGCAACCTTGTACTGAAAAACGGAAACACTACACCAGCGTCTGCAGCAATCATTGCAATTTAATTTGTTGAACCAAGACGATGCCGTCCATCGGCTTCTCATTGCCACTACCTTGTACCAAGACGATGCCCAAATATCAATTTCAGATTGAACAAAGAGAAAAAAGTACACAGATTCATGCGAAAGAAGTATATAAAAAAAAGTATAATTTGACCCAACCCTGTGGAAGCATGATATGCTAACTGTGACACAAATCTCACCTGCTACACTCATCCTTTTTCTCCAACACAACATGAATTAAATACTAAGCTCTACTTTTTTATATAAATTGAACCAACTTTCAGAGATTTTAATTCTGAAAAACAAACTCTAAAATACAACAAAAGGGTTCTTTAGTTTCCCCTGTGAGCAATGTAATTAGCCAGAGCAATTAAAGGCGCAGCCTTTTCAAGATCGAAACCAGAGAGCTGTTCCTTGGCGTCTTTAATGAGCTTCTCAGCAAACTCCCTAGATTTCTCAATCCCCAATAGCTTGGGGTACGTGACCTTATCAGCCAACAAGTCCTTCCCTGCCGTTTTGCCCAATTCCTGTGAAGACTTGGTCACATCAAGAATGTCGTCGACGACCTGAAACAGCAACCCAATGTACCTCGCAAAAGTCCGGAGCTTTTCGGTTTCTGAATCCGACCCGCCTCCCAAAATGGAGCCCAGAACCACCGAACACTCGAGCAAAGCTGCGGTTTTGTGGAGGTGGATATATTCGAGCTGCTCCAGCCCCACATCGGCCAAGCCCTCTGAGTTTAAATCCACCACTTGACCCGCCACGAGCCCTTCAGCCCCGATTGACTTCGCCAGTTCCTCAACTGCTCTGATGATTCTCTCAGGCGAGACACCGACTGTGTTCACGGCGATGTGCTCGAAAGCGAAAGCCAAGAGGGCGTCGCCGGCCAAAACGGCGACGTCCTCCCCGAAAACCTTGTGGTTTGTGGGTTTTCCGCGGCGGAGGTCGTCGTTGTCCATACACGGTAAGTCGTCGTGGATCAACGACATGGTGTGGATCATCTCGACGGCGCACGCAGCGGGCATGGCCTGCGAATGGGACCCGCCGACGAGCTCGCAGGCGGCGAGGCAGAGGACCGGCCGGACCCGCTTGCCTCCGGCCAACAGAGAGTAGCGCATGGCCTCGTGGATCATGGCCGGGTCTCGGAGTGGAACGGCGGCGTCTAAGGCTTGGTTGACCAAGTCGGCAGTTTGGAGCATGTAGGACTTGAAATTAAAACTGGGTTTTGCCGATTCTTCTTCTTTGAGGGTCTGTTGCTTGGTGAGAATTGCAGAGACGGAGAAAGGGGAGGTGGACCGACGTCGTTTTGGGGGTGCAAATGAAACGGGCATGTTGGTCTTGAGTGGGTGGACGAGGCTGAAAGTTTGGGATCTGGATCTGCCTGCTTGGTTGAACATTGAGCAGGTTTGGATTTGAACCCATGTGAGATTCAAGCAGCTCATATTTCTGGAACTATTTTTTTTGGGTTTTTTGGGTTCAATCCAATTTGCGCAAAGATGGTTGCTTTGCTCTGAAATTTCCGCAATGGTGGGGATGGGTGGATGGATTTACAGTGTTATATTGGTGTGGAGGGTGAAGACAGTTTTGAGAGTAATCATAGGTCCTTCCAATTATGCAAGCTCACATTCCCGTTTTGGAATTGCAAAAAGAGAAAGAAAGAGTGGCAGTCTAGAGAGAAAGTGTAAGAAGGGTGGCAGGGGGGAAGTGGTAAGAGCAATACAGAGGCCAACCAATCAAGTGGGGGGAGGAGGCCTAGGTGGCAAGGATAGGGTTTTGGGTTGGGTGGAATTGCAAGGCTCTGTGACAATTGGCATTTTAATTATTTATATACAAACTTTCTATGTACATCTGGTTTTGTTGTGTGCAATCCCACGTACCAAAACAACACAGATACCTTTTATATATTTATCATAATTATTATCTGATTAATAAGAGATTCTTTGGATTTTTTTTTATTTTTATTTTTTGAAAAAATAATCGGCAAAAAAATTGAGAATGGTTTGCGGCTGAATGGGCAGGGCATCACGTGCATTTCGCTTTACAGGTTCAGTGTCTTTTGGGCCTTTATCAAGACGATGATTCTTAATCAAATGTTTTTTCACAAATCAACTATGCATCAAATCAAAATATGAACGCGTCTTTTTTGTAGCACAAGAAACAAAATGTGTTTATGTTGTGACATGGATGCGTCAAAGAGCCAAGGTTTTCCAAGAGATAAGGAGACAACTCACTAACAAAATTGACTCTATTTGTTAAGAGACATGGAAATCCTCCAATTACCATTAACTAAATGATGTTCCAGTCTTCATCTTCAATTTGTGTAAGAAATATTATTGTGTTCCCTCAAGTCAAGCCAAGCCGAAAATGTTTACAACTTACAAGTGTGAATCTCGACCTCCAAGAAGACTCAAATTTGGTCCCATGTCACTGTGAGTGAGAGGTCACTTTCCCATTTCTTTCCTGCATGCATGCATCCGACCCCATGATTGATAATTCATTCACATAATGAAATTAAAATACCAAGATTTTTTCCTTTTTTAACAGGGACATTTAAAATGAATTTGGAAAAAAGGAAAAAAATCAGTGGTTACTAAAATACCAAGATTTTTTCCTTTTTTAGCGGGGACATTTTTCATAATGAAATTAAAATACCAAGATAATTCATTTATAAATTTGGAAAATGTCCACGTTCAAATCCCCCTCCCCCCTCTCTCATACTACTATCCCACAAACAACACGAGCAAGCAACCACTCCCTTTAGAATGACTTTTCCAAGTGCAGGATAATGGTTATCAAGAAAAACAAAGGACTTGACGATAATGCCTCTATTTGTATGATTTAAGAAAATTGATGTGACTTTTGACCCCAAAAAGTCAGATTTGAGTCGGCACCTGCTAAATTTGTGGATGCTTGTCTATTTTTGACTTTTACACCGAACGACCAAGTGGCCGGCCAACACCACCTCTGTGGGCAGGCCAGGCAGCAACTGCAATGCAAACAACATTTTTGGGATAACGCCAATTTGTAGTTACAAGGTCAGTATTATGCCATTAGCTATCAGAAGTCTCTCAAAACAATGTTAACAAGAAAACTAAGGCAAGTGATTTAGAGGCATGGCCAATGCAAAGTTTTCTCGTGTATCAGCATTTTACTTGTTGTACATGAAGACAACGCTGAAGATAAAAAACCCAGCCATCTGCAAAAAGTGAAACCAAACAAACATTTATCGAGAGGTAAGTGCAGATTTATCGACAGATAAGATCACAAGAGAGAGAGAGAGAGAGAGAGAGAGAGAGAGAGAGAGAGAGAGAGAGAGAGAGAGTACTGTAGTAAACGAAGCTCCATAATACGGGAAAGCGGTGGTTATAAATCGTTCATATTCATTATGCCGGAAAGGCCGTACAGGGATCTGAAATTTGAATTTTCCATAGAAGTAACATGAGAAGAACAATCTTGTTATAACAAGAATAGACTAGTTTAAAATCTTATAAGGTTTCGCTAATTAGCAGTTGAGCACCATAACTACCCCCCACAACAAACAATGGACAGTTTCGAACTGTCATGTTTTTTACATCATATTATCTTATTATATCAGACAATTGCCATTTAACTGCCCAACTATTTGATCCTTCTTTCATGGGAGCTCATAAATTTAGAGTCAATGATTTACTCTTTTTTTTTTGGGGTAAACAATTAGTAATGGAAACTAGAGCTCTCATACAACAATATGATCAAGTTAGTAGTGGAAAAACAGATCATAATATTTATAAAGCCATAACAACAATCAAACTGCTTTGTTAATGAAAGGTTGTGTCTAAACCAAAAGCTGACCTGTTTGGAAAGGGATAAGCTAGTGTACCCAAGCCTGTTATACTCAACCTTAAACTGGAAAACCCCATAAACATCAGGGACCTTGAATGACGTACGGTACAGTCCCTGAAAAATCAAATATGCACGTAAACAAAGATGTTCTTTTTTTTTTTGGACGAAAAACAAAGATGTTCTAGATTTGGTAAATCAAGTCAAAACATGGTCTTGGGATAAGAATACCTTCTGATCCGTTGCCAGAGTTTTTAGCACATAAGGGCTCATCATGAAGAACTGCACCTGAACATCACCAGCCTCATATGGTTCCCAGCTCTTTCCAGACCACTCGTATATCTCAATGGAATAATCCTGCAAATACAAAAGACTAAATGATTCCAGTGCATTCCCTCTGTTTAGAAATTCAGCAAATATACATACATATATGTATATAGATGATAGCTGTGTTGAGGCATTACCAGATCATCATTAATTCTATAGACTGCAGGTTCATCAGTTTCTCCAACTTTGTGGTGTCTAACATTGACAGCCTGAAAATAAAGGTCATGAATTAACACAGCAAAGACAATGCACAAGGATAAATGATAAACAAATACCTAAACATATCAAGTATAAATTGGAAGTGAATGCATTGATAACTGTAATATCACAAATTCAAAGCCTCATTTAACTCGTATATCTCAATGTAACAGTTCACGATATATAATGAACCTCACCTTTAGATGTCCCCTTTCATGGAAGATCCATTTGCTAAGTTCAGTCACAAACTGTTCATTACCAGACTTTTCATATCTGTCATCAAAAGTTTCAGGATAATGTGAATTTTTTTGCCTTGATCAAGCCACTTTGGAATTAGTATCAAACCATTTTCAGCACAAACAAAAGGAGAGGTTACATATGAGTCCATGAGAATGAAAGAGAGATAACAAAAGTATTCAATGGAAGCTTCCCGGAGTCTTCAGCACTTAAGATTACATAGATTCTGTCTTTCTTGAAAAAAGAATATAAATGCAAGTAGGTTTGCCGTGTGTTCAACTATATGTAGGTAATAAGTATGAAAGCAGCATATAACCAAAAGATAATGGGATAAGTAATGAAAAGCAGCAATTTAAAGATTTTACTCACTTCTTTGAGCTCCCAGCCTTCTGCACAGCTGATTTGAACAATCTGAATCACAAGCAGAAATCAGAAGTAAATCCTATAAATGAAAAACAATTAAAGGACAGAGAAACCACAGTGATAAATGAATTCAGATAACCAATTAGATACATACTGGTTGCTAAACATATCTACAGAGCCTGAGATCAAAATCCGAGCATTGTTTCTAGCCTGCAATTTAAGATTTCAAAATGACTCCATCAAGTTCAACCAATGTGGCAGGTGACGGTGTGAAAAGGAACATGAAGAAAATGTCCCAATTGCTCACAAAAGACTTTCACATTTTGTTTCAGAGATGGAAGCAAGCTTAGGTGGAGGTTCATATAATAGACAAACATTGTTTCCCGAACACAGAAAGAACTTACTTGCAGAACAGAAACTAATGAAATAGCAGATCCAGTGAGTGATGGAGGATAGGACAATTTGGCATTTGGGCTGGCAGAATATGCTGAAGGAGATGCTGAAAGAACTGTTAAAACCTACGATTATACCATAGACCACAGAAAGAAATAATCCGTTATCTCAACGCCATTTAAAACCGACTGAAGAGGTCATAAGCAAAAGAGTTCAGAACTTCAAATGCAGATTGGAGCTTACCAAGCTATTAGAAGCACTTAACGAATGTGCAATCCCTTTGAAAAGTACAGGGGCCTGTCGCATAGAATGATAATATATAAGGCAATTTAAAATATGAACATTAAAGTGATCGATACCATTTTTGCGTAATGATATTGAATAATAATCTAAAACACAATGCAAAGTACTGAAATCAGAGAGCAAGAAGTTTATAACCAGCAACACATTTACCACGTTAAATTTAAGCAATGTGGGCATATGTAGCAACAAATTATCTAGTACGAAAATATGTTCATGAAACTTAAACTGACCTCGATCTTATTCTTTCCCAGAATCACATCAGATTGAATAAAGTCATCGCTGGCAATCAATGTATGGTCCCCTTGGGTCCCCAACACTGCGTAATTGGTGTGGTCGATAACCACAGCTGATGGATCCTGCACCAAATCAAAACCATATTCATCAATGACATTACTTTCTACTTTCCATTCATCTAAATTGACCAAATTATGAACAATACAGCAAACCTCATCGAAATCGACCCCGCATTGCCTTGCAATACTGCGAACCAAATCAGATGCAGAGGCACCAGCTGCCAAGATCAAGTCGTGCCCAGAGTCAACGAAATCAAGCACAGCCTGAAAATCCACAGCTCCTCCAAACTCTTAAAACCCAAACAAAGAAAATCAGATTTCATTGCATATCAAGGAATTAACCAAAATGTGTCATTCTTAGGAGTTTCTGATTGATGAACTTACGGTGGGCGGTAGGAGAGAAGAGAACGAGGCCGTCGTACAAGTACTGGCTATAGCGCTGGAGCGAGAGGGTGGGGTCGTCGGCGAGTTTGAAGTCGAGATCGAAGCCGCGGGAGATGAGAGAGTGGAAGAAGATGGAGTGAGAGGATTGGAGAGAGAGGTCGTCGAGGAGGACTAGGAGGCGCCGATTGGTTGGGGCTTCGGGAGAGAATGAGTGGCAGAGAAAGGGGAGGAGTGAGATTAGGGTGACGAAGACGGAGAGGCTCGGCATTGTTGGTCTCTGTTCTCTGAGCTCTGTGGTGGTTAGGGTTTTGCAGAGATGGGCACTGACCGTTGAAAACGGGTTTTGGCGCAAGGACTTCGTTCGTTGATCTGCGCGTGTTGGGTTCATTTCCAGTGTGGAATGCACACACGTGCGAATTTTACTTCACTACCTACAAAATAATATTTTTGAATATTTTGGAAACCATTTATATATACAAGTACAGGTTTGAAGGAAACGGGATTGATTATATCATAAATAATGGTGATTAGATAAAAAAGAAAAGTGTATTAGTATGGTGAAAACTAGTACGTAAAAGGTGTGTAGCTCAAATGGTTACGAACAGTTACTTTGCATTCGAGGTATTGTGAAAACTAATACGAAAGAACTTAATAAAGCTTCAAAATTAAGCATAAACTAAACTGAATTGGTATGGTACATCAATAAAGAGAGATAATTCATAATTCTACCACGAAAGTAAGGGGTAAGAGGATGTCAGTACAGTATCTTGACCTAGTGTAAAAGTTACATTCTATCACTGAAGCTACAAACCCACAACGTTCATACATTTTTTTAATTATGTAATTTTGAGTAGTTTATTTCAAGCATGATTTTTGGAAGACTAATTTTACCAATTGGGCCTTCATCCCTAGCTTCAACAAGTTTGGGCCAACAATTTTCCTTTAAAAAACAAATAAAAACAACAACAAAAAAGAAGTCTAATTCTAAACATGACAAGTAAGCATTGCCGAGTTTGAAACTTGTTTCCTTATCTCTCAGAGAAAAGAAGTAGCGTACAAATAAAGCAGCACGACTGAACAGTTTGTCCCCACACCGACGCATCTCTATCCCAATAAATCAAGGCATAAACCCAAGAGACGCTTAATTGGCTAAGTTCTCCAAAACCCCGAAACGACAGGTCGTTCTATTTCCAAATCCGTCTCTCTTTCCTCACTTTCCTACTCATCCACCACACCCTCTCCTTTGCAAGCTTCTTCTCAACCAGGTCAGCATCTACACATCGTAATAATAATATATACATATAAATGTATACGTATCTGTCTCCAAGTCTATTTCTTTCCTTTGCCTTGTTAGATTTTCCAGGAATTCCATTCAGGTGCTTAGAGGACTGAACTTTTTTCTGCCCTAACCCGTATTTTTTTTTTGTTACTTTTGCATGATTTATTATTGTACCACTTGGGTTTTGGCATCTGATTGGATAATTGTGTTTGTAAACTGGGGGGTTTATTGGGTTTTAGCTTTTTGAGCAAGATTTGATTTTTTTTTTTTGTCTCCCTGTAACTGTTTATGAAATTTGTTATTGGCTTCACTTCTCCTTTTGTTGTTAATATGACTTCGTACTTTATTTCTTCTTTTTATGTGATGGACTTGTCTTAATTTGAAAAGGCATTACTATTGTGAGGATTTTGTTACTGTTTGATCACTTTGAGATCATTGTTATGGTGATTAAAGATGAGATTGTAATTTGTTGGAGAATATCATCTTTAATTTCATGATTTTGAGTGTAAAGCTGTCAGTGAATGGACAATTGTATTGCCATTTAGCCTGATAGGGCCTCAAAAGAAAAAAGAAACAAAAACAAAAAGAAAAGCAAAGAAGATGAATTAAAGGACCATTCACCAGTGAATATTGAGGTTTCTTGACTTGTTTTTTTTTGGTTGGTGTGTACTAATTTGATTTTCATTTGGTTATTTTTTACTTCATGTTCCACAAGAAAAAATTGGCCTGCTTGGCATATCTTCTATGGTTCTGTTTAGATTGATTCACCCCGTACTTTGGTCTACTTGTGTGTGGAGATTCTATGTCATTGTTTTTCGATGTCACAGATTCTTTGTCTCACGATCTTTTTTTGTTTTCAAGCTACCAGTGTGATTGTTGTTATTAGCACAAAAATATAACCCCTTTAGGCCCTTTAGGATAATTGTTTTTATTTTTATTTTCAGGAGATATGATTAGGCTATTCAAAGTAAAGGAGAAGCAGAGAGAACTTGCTGAAAATGCCAATGGAGCATCACATGTTAAGAAGCAATCTGCTGGGGAATTACGTCTTCATAAAGGTTTTCCTTCTCTCTAATGATCATATCCTTTGATTTATTTGAAGCTCTTACTTTTTCAATAATCTTCTAGCTTTTGCATGCCCTTCATTTCTGATTCCAGAAAGAGTTTGTTGATTGTTTAAAGCAATATGGATCAGATTCAGACCAGTTAGATGGTTTCTATAATATTGACAATTGTATTGATTTTTGGGTTGAGTGGTTTTTGAATGATGATATAGAACATCCTTCTTGGTCCTTGGTTACGCAATAAGAATTATATAAAGGGTTCTCAGGTTGGTGGTACTTTGAAGAAAATTTAGAAAATAACAGTTTTTTGAAAATGGATTAACCCCCTGGACTGCTTAATGTGTATCTTTTTGTGCATCAAGTTGATATATCAAGTTGAGATAAGTTTATGCTGAGTAGAGTCATTATCCAATTGAAATTTTTAGCATTCTTGATTGAATATTTAAATGTTGGTGCTACAATAAGTCATTATCCAAAAATGTTATAATTTGGTTAAGGAGGCAGGCTTTAAACTGCTTCTCTTGCTGAATTATTTTACTGGTTTTTTTGGACTATGCGTGCAGTTTTATTGTTCCACTAAATTTGACCATCCATTCATTTAAAAAAAAATTACTTCTTGTGGCATCTGATGCAGATATATCCGAGCTGAATCTACCAAAATCTTGTAACATTTCTTTTCCTAATGGCAAGGATGAGCTGATGAACTTTGAGGTTACAATTCGTCCAGATGAAGGCTTTTACTCGTAAGGATTTTTTCTACTCCGTGTGCAAAAGTTTCTTCAAACAAAGCTTTTGTCACAACTGCACATACTAATTTTAGACACGTATTCTTTGTCAGAGAAGCTGGGTTACTTTTTTGTTTTCCACACACACATACACATGCATATCACTCACACAAATATGTCTACAAATATACTTGTGTGAGAGGATTTTCAATTGCAAGACACTGCAGCCATTGTTTTCTATGTAATGAAGTCAACACAAACACAAGCAATGGTGTCGAGGGTTATCATATTGTTGTTTCTTAGCAGAAATGTATATTTTTTTAAACCTCGTGTAAAATTAGCGTGGCAATTAGTTTTCTAAGTTCTCTTCCATTTGTTGTTACAGAGGTGGTACATTTTCATTTACTTTCCAAGTTGCCCCTATCTATCCACATGAGGCACCAAAAGTCAAGTGTAAGACCAAGGTAGACTTGTGCATCATATATGTTTCACCGTTTCTTGTTTAACTTAACTCATGTCTTCTCTTTTATTTTATTGCTTATATGATCCATTGTCTCTGCTTTGTACAACACACTGACAGGTCTACCATCCTAATATTGACTTGGAAGGGAATGTCTGCCTCAACATCCTACGAGAAGATTGGAAACCTGTCCTTAATATAAACACGGTCATCTATGGATTGTATCATCTTTTCACGGTACTATCTTGATAGTCCTCTGTGATTTGTTACTATTTGGTATCTGAATGTTGCTTATTTTTCTCTTTAATTTTGTTTGTAGGAACCAAATTATGAAGATCCCCTAAATCACGATGCAGCTGCAGTGTTGAGAGATAATCCTAAGATGTTCGAGTCTAATGTAAGAAGGGCTATGGCTGGTGGGTATGTGGGGCAAACCCTCTTCCCAAGGTGCATATAGCTATTGTTTGGTAGCACCAAAGTGTCAATTGACATATTATCAATGCTTGAAATGCAAGTGGGGTTGTAAAATTTGTTCGCAGATTGCATTTTCTTTGTTCTTTTTTTTTTCCCTTTTTTCTTCCTTTTAATTTCATCAATGGAGTTGGGCGCTTTAAAATGTATGTCACTGTAACTTTTGGGATGCTTTGTATCTTGATGTGTAATAAGGATAGGTTGGACACAATGCATCTCTCTCTCTCTCTCTCTCGCTCTCTCTCTCTCTCAAAAGTAAGTTTGATTCTTTCCTGATGAGCCTTTCAGATGTGTCATGAACCATTCATGGCATGCTAAACCATTCCAAATATGTAAGACATTGGTTCCATTGAACATAATCACTCCCAAAAGTGGCCTAACCATTAAAGAATCACAAAATTTAGTGTGCAAACAAAATTAGCTTTGGTATCAGATATCTTTTAGTATCGAAATTAAAGCGTGGCTTCTCAAACTAGTCACCGTATTGCATCTGAAGGCAAGAGTAGGAGAAGACTTGGAAGACCAGAATCTCCAGAAATGCCGTAGGCTTGGAGAAGCCACATAATACTTCTCACTTTTCATATCATTGATTGCTCCTTCAAACTAAGAATGACTTCTCACATCATCTCTTCCTCTTTCACACTGGCCATTCTAGCATTTTCACGGTCCTTCCTGAAAAACAAATACAATGGCGTATAAAACAAGCAACACAAGCCAAATGGAACAGCCATCATTGTAAGAAGCCCTTGAGATAATGCAAAGGCCTCCCGGGTCGACCCTTTAATCGGATCCACTGATTTTGCATCGTAACCAAACATCTTCTCTGAAAGAATTCCGACCAAGGGAGCTGCAAAAGAAGAGAACGATCCTTCGAAAGCACGATCAAAGGCGTAAATCATGGTTCGGTGTTTGACGGGGACAACCTCAGCAAACATAGGACCATTTGCAGCAGTAGCATTCCAGCTGATAGTGAGACCCATCAGCAAGAGGGTGACAGCAAAGGTGTAATAGCTGCTTACTGACTGTGGGATGACTTTAAGTAAGAACCATGAGAAGGGGATGCCCATGAAGGCGCTGAACTGAGCACACATGATGCGGCCTGAGTGCGGGTAGATTCGTGACATTCGATCTGCTATTAGTCCTCCAAGAAGAGAACCCATAGCACAGCCAACAGCAAAAAGACTAAGGAGGGCTGCTGTGCTGTTGTGATCAAAACCTGCAAAATCGAATTAGAAGACATCATATGTCATGAAAGTAGAAGTCTGAAAATTCGAAGTTCAGAAAACAAAAAGGAGGGCAGAAAGGATAATCAGCAATTGTTTCATTGAAGTATGGAATTTATGGTAGTGCTTACCGATCAATTCAAACCACATAGTGAAGAACACCATGGCAGTCCATGGTAGCGAACCAACAATACCCTGCAAAACAATTATTTGGAACGTTTGCACTTTAACAACTGCCTTCATGGCCGTCCAAGACTCGAGCCAAACTGATGCTGCACTTGTAGGGCCCTTAATTATCAAATCTTCCCTGCAGCATAAGGTAACCAAATCACCATATGTTGATGAACTCTTTCTCCATTCACAAACCAAAGTCACCACATCTATAACTTGTTAAAGAATTTGAAAGCTGATATAATAGACAACAAATTTAAAGTGTATGATGAAATAATTGCCCCGTACCTATCAGAACTATGGTCTGTACCATTAGTGAAATTAACTGTTTTTCTTGGGTCAACCACAAACAAGAGAACAAGGAAGCCAATTAGTGAACTTAGTGATGCCATCAGAATGAAAGCACAGCGCCATCCTGGTACATTCCAGTATTGTTCACCAGCCATAAGTGTGGCCAGAACACCACCTCCAATGCCACCCAAGGAACCAACAAGGCTCACCATCCCAAATCCAGCCCCTCTCACTCCATCCTTATAGCTATCAGCAATAAAAGACTGAAGTGCTGGTATAACTATTGCCAATCCAAAACCATTCACTGCTCTCCAGAACGCAACTTGAGCGAAAAGCCGGCTTGCACCAACTGCAGCAGTTGACAAGGCCCAGCAAAAAGTCCCCATTGCCAGAACTGTAGGGCGATCATAATTAATAACTAGTACACCTGCAAGGGGTGATGCCATTCCCTGCACAAAGTTCCTAATGAAAGTGAGATAGCCCAGGTCAGATGGCCCAGCATTGAAAGCCTCACTCACTTCTTTGTAAACTGAGGGGAGGAGATTTTCATCGGCACGCTCCATTATAGCAGCAAAGTTGATAAGAATGAGGGACAGAGAAATCCCAAATATCTTTCTCGTTCTGTGAAAGAAAGGGATACATATGAACAAAGGATATAGAAAGCAGCTACATGGAAAGCATAATTCTTGAGTAAACTTTCATCAGCCACACAAGCATATACATCAGAAATTCTATTCAATCCAAATTTCAAAGTGGAACAGAAATATGCAGGATGGTTTTCCGAAACAATCATATTAATTAATCATCTATATAGACTATCATGTGTTGACAATCCCTTTAATGGTTTATATTTGGACATGTAACTTAGAAACAATGTACAGTTCGAGAAATTAGTAACACCACAGATAGGACCTTAGCCACATTGTGAGGAAAAACATTATTGCTAGAGATATTTTGATTGCTTTGAAGGTTTTCCTAAAAGGGTACACCTAGTCAGCTGCTTTGAATAGGGAGAGGGACCAATCAATTAATGAACTCTCAATCTGAAAACTCAGCAAAACACATTCCACAACCAATCAATTCAAAGCAACAAAGCCATGAGAATGAACCAATTTATAGTAAAAAGAAGAAAGAAAAAGATGCCAAGTCATATACACGAGAAAATTTCAAACTTTTTAAAACTATCAATAAAAATTGACACTTACAGTAAAAGGGGAAAGGCAATTGCTTCAGACATCAAGAACCCAATAGCACAAGCAAATTTTTCTACCAAAATAATTTTTTATACAAACAAACACACTGTGCCATTGACAAAATAGACACTCATGCATGACCATGAATCCCAGAAAAGGAAAAAAAAACACTTCCAGAAACTGAGGAACGACAACATGGGAAGAATCAAAGAAACGATGGTGACTGTAACTCACCTCATGGCTTGCAAACTTGTGAAAAAACCAGGTTTCGATCGAGAAGAAGTAGATGGGTATGTGAAGCCCCGTTTAAGGCCCATAAACCCGAACCAGAGAAAGAGTTAAGAACCCACCAACCCAAAGAAACCGGGAAGGACAAGTCCTCTGCATCTATGGCGGATCTGAGACACAACACAATCTGACCTCCCACGGTCTCGTCACCAAATTTCCAAACGAATATTCAAAGATTGTCGTCATGGTATCGAGTTATTTACAATCGGATTTATCGGATTTGATTTGATTATATCTTTATTTATGGTCGTTTTCAAAACATGCGCGTCTCCAATTTGTTATTGTTTATTGACTTTCATGCACAAGGCGGGGTTCGATTTCGTCCGTTGGATACGATGATCCAAGACTGACGTGGAACCTGCACAAACGGCTGCGTCTCTTTTTTTGTCTTTTATTTTGGGTAAACTTCCGACCCTTTTTTTTTGAAAGGACTGCTGCTACGTGTAACCATGATTTGGGGCCTGTTTAGATGGATATTTATTGGCCCATTAAATATGGGCCGTCCTCTAAAATTTCAGACTGTTATATCACATTTGGGCCAAAATCGAATTGAAACTTAATCAAGATTTTCTTCTGTCTTTTTGACACAAGCGCTAGACTCACGGAGATTTGAACATATGAACTCGGGTGCAGGGTAACTACTCTTGCCCAGACTTTCTTCTGTTTCCCTTTTTTATTTAATTATAACAAAAAAATAATGAAGGCAATATTCTATTAATAATAGGGACTCTATCATATTATGCTGCACGTAATTGTTATTTTAGAAAAATAAAAACATTGGGTGGTTTGCAATAATACTAAAGGCAAAGAGCACGTGGGGCTCTTGTCCGAAGTCATTGTCGGATTAGCAAAGACCACATCAAAATGATTAAGCTTTGCACTGTATATAGGCAATGCATGAACAATGTTCTTGGAACAATAATTTAACGAAATTATTATTTTGTTGAAGAAAAAAACTCAAACTATCAATAAAAATAATTAATTTATTGGGTTTTTTGTTTCAATTTGTGATTAATTTGAAACCATTACAAATTTATAAATAAAAAAAATAAAAAGTTATATGCATATTGCATACGAACGTATGCATCATGATGACAGAGTACAAGTCACCTTGTGCATTGAAGTTAGGGAAAAATTATGGTTATAATTATGAAAGCAGAATTGCACTTTGGAATAATTAAGACTGGATTATAAAAGTGTTTAATTATAATTAATTGGGAAATGGTTGGGCTTAACGGACCCCCACGTGGTCTCTTGGACCAATGAAGAAGACCAATAAGATTACTCACTTTCTTGGAAAACGAAGATACACGGGCATTGGTCCCCGCCAAAACGGCACCGCACGGCTCTCTGTCCCCCGCACGTGTGCCAAGTCTTGTTGCCTTCACGCCTCACGACTTGACTTGGCCAGCTTAGCTTGGCGGTCGGTCGGTTCCTTTCCCTCTCAGAAACCTTAGCTGGATCCGCACGTGCTCCTTGTAATTAATTGAGATTTAAGAGTTAATTAATAATACCATACAAATATTAATGCATATTAAAAGCTTACTTGTTGTTCTTAATGCATTTCATGACATCTTGCACGTATTTCCAAATAGTTGAGCAACAACAATTGACCATTCGTTGAATGGCCATTCAGTGCTGTTGTCTATTTTGCTTCTTTTAGTTTATGATTCTTGCTAATTTGTAGACAATCAAAAATATATATTCTACATTTTCTCCTGTGAAAAGTATAATTGTTGATTGTCTGAAATTGATTCTCAAGTAAATGTTTCTAACTTAGCTAGCGTGATCAAACAAGTTGTTCTTTAAATCCTATAATTAAAAGAGTGTCGTATCAAGTAAATGTTTCTAACTTAGTTAGCATGATCAAACAAGTTGTTCTTTAAATCCTATAATTAAAAGAGTGTCGTATCAAGTAGAAATGCTTTAGTGACTAATTATTTGAATATACAAAGGTCAAAAGAGTGTATGAGAATGAGAGTTCTGATTTATGAATCATATGTATAGTAGGTGGATGTTAAACCTAAGATTGATATATGACTATAATTTTTTTTAATGATTACCATGTTGAGTTAATTTGTATCATTATCTAAGATTACAATTCTACATCATCCTTAAATTCTCTCTTTTTTATATGTCAAACTTTTGGTTAAACATCGGTCGAAAATGGAGCACACACATGTACGTGCACCCCTTTATTTCAAATTAGGGGTCAATTCAGTACACTTAAATTCAAACAATCAACTCTAAGTCCATACTTGAGATCTTTGTTCTAATTTCACATCTTCCTTAAAGCGGTTGTCAAAATGGACTTAACCCCATACTTATATGAAGCTTGACTCTAGGGCATTTACCCCAACACCACCTAAATTCTTATATAAATTTATAATTAGATTAGGAAAGCCCTGAGAATTTCTGCTAAGTTTTACTTATTACATCTGTCCATATATATATATATATATACACATGCGTTGGACAACAAATATATATACACATGCGTAACTTAAAAAAATATAGTACCATAAATTTATTAAAGGCTTATTTATGGATATGCTCCTTATGCTTTCAAAATAGTCTCAGATAACCACATATTTTTTGAAATGTCTTAATATACCACCTATACTTTCATTAAGTGTCTCACATAAGCGATTCCGTCATATTTAAGAGAAGTTCCATTAGTTGATGTGGCCCCCCCTTCTTTTCAATCTCTTAACAAGAGGAAGGAATTGTTAGTCAGGTTGAGAAAAAATGGAATTTGGGAGAAGAATATTAGGTTGAGGGAATTTCATATTTGGGAATCTCTGAATAGGGAGGAATACTGATTTTTCTTTGTGTGAATATTGATTGAGTCAATGTGTTGGGTTATCTGGAAAGGGAGTGGGTTGTGTTGTGTTTGCCATATTAATTTCAGGTATGAAATCTTCACCTTTTGGCATTCTATTTGAATCTTGGGTTTGCCATATCAAATTCCCCATTTTCTCAACCTGACTAACCCTTCCTCTTCGTTGTTAAGAGATTGAAAAGAAGTATAGGCCACATCAACTAACTGAACTTCTCTCAAATCTAACGAAATCACTTACGTGAGATACTTAATGAAAATATAAATGGTATATTGAGACGTTTCAAAGAACATGTTGTAATTTGAGACTATTTTGAACATATCTATAAATAAGCATTTATTAAAAGATTCACGTCAATCAAATATTGGAGGAAAAATTACCAAAAAAAAATAAAAATAAAGAAAAATAGGTGGTGGGAGCCACATTCACGTGTAGAGCCAATGGTGGACACGTTAAAGGTGGTAGTGGTCCCTGTAGACGGATGGGGTGGTAGTGGGGTTGCTTGAATTTTCTTTGTATATAGGGTTTTGTGTCGCACGTGTGGAGCCGACTGACACTGCAAAAGTACCATCCAGTCCAACATGATTTGGAGGCTATTAAGAGGCGTGGGCCCTACACTTTTTTTGTTCTGAATTCTGAGCTCTTTGTTTGTCCGTATCTGTACCGTTCAAACTGAACATCACGTCAGAGCAACCCCAATACCGGAGCGAGAGAGAGAGAGAGAGAGACATCTTCTAATCAATCAATTAGTGAAAAATATAATCCTGTGCGCGCAGTAGCACACATCCATTCTAATTGGTATTGTTGTAATTTTTAGGCCTTGGTTTGATTTTATTAGCGATGTACTGTTTGAGGGTTGTAATCATTAGTTGGTTTGGCATGTGGCGGGTAATGGAAGGAGTGCTCTATTAGGAGTTATAATTTCTTCTTATCGCTTCATGCAAGGAGAGTCGACTACTTGGTTAAATCAATTAACCCTTCAAAGAGTAAAAATGCTTTTCCATGGATGGAGCTAAAATTATAAAATTATTAGGAAAATAGAAGGACCCTTGTGTGTTCACCTAATCCCCTTAACGTGTGTCTACTTTATGTATTTGGTCCTCCATTCTAATAATATAATATCACTTTTTTCCTATCCAAATTTGAGAAAATTGAGAATTAACAAAGAGAGGTGCTGATAATATTTGAGGAGTGAATTTGAGAGGTGTCGATAATATATTTAATATGACATTTTCTGTTAGTATTAGTAGACGCTTTTTATTATGCATAAGATCTCAAGGAATTAAATAAAAGAAAAAGAAAAAATAGAGGTGCACAAAACAGTTGGAGAATAGAAACCCTAGTAGTACCTAACTAATCTACCTCGGTTTGCTAATATCATTGAAACCAATGGAGTCGGCCATGATCACTTGCCCGGTTTTAGAAATGGAACTACAGTGTTTTCTGATACGGTAGGAAGGAATACAGTGTTTTTCTAGCCCCGAACAAACACAAACATTTTGACTGGTCTTATTTTTGTGAGGCTGTGATTTGCTGGATCTTAACATGACTCCCCCTTTTTTATGATTTTATAGGAAAATATTTACTTCATTCATGAACTCATACTTTCTTGCAAATCAGAGTTTAACATATGTGTATAAACTTTTCTTTTTGTGTTTTTGAGAAATTATTTTTGCATATGATATCCGTCAACTCATATTTTGCACAGGGAGACAAATAGTATCCAGAAAAAAAATTAAAAATTCACATAATCAAATATTTAGATTAGTTTCGAATACTTGTAGTCATCCACAAATCGAATGTCTTAAGTAAATTTGAATACACCAATTAGCTCTTAGTCTAGTGATATTTCTCTCCCCAATATTGAAAGATGTCCTAAGTCAAAACCCCCAACACCCATTGATGTTATAAAATAAAAAAAATAAAATAAAACTTATAGGTCGCTGGTGAAAATCTACAACCTTACGGCATTTGAGTTTATCACTTACATTCTTACCCTTTTTTTATTAAAATTTTTTTTTTCTGCTTAAGTTTGGGCTTATTTCAATCGAGCTCAAAGATTTTCATCTCTTCCATTGACACACCATGTATTTTGAGTGAACATAAATACCAATGTTCGAGCTTAAATTGTTAAGCCTCACAAGTAGTTTTATATTATAGGAGAAATTAAACCCCCATTTTCATGTCTAAACTCTAAGAAAGGTGGTAAAACCTAATTACCCTTATTTGTGTCTCAGAAATCTCATGGGCAGATGGATTGCAACTTGCATGATATGTGTGAATAGGGAGGGAAGAGAACAGATCGCGCAAAGAAAAAAAGAAAAAAAGAAAAAAAGAAAAAAGAAAAAAAGAAAAAAGAAAAAAAGAAAAAAAGAAAAAAGAAAAAAAGAAAGGGGAGTTGCATTTCTCCTCTTCATACAATAATACTCCCTTCGAATAAAGAAAGCACTTTCCTCGTGAGAGAGGCAGAAAAATAGTGCCCTTCTCTTCTCTTCTCTTCTCTTCTCTTCCCACTGCAACACAACACACCACACCATCTCTCTCTCTCTCTCTTTCCCACAAGAAAACTGAGAGTCCAGAGAGAGAAAGCTCAAAGGGTAAGCAGGTGGGTGACCTGACCCGGAAAAGCTAAAATGACAGGGGGTGGGTCGTCGGGGAGGTTACCAACATGGAAAGAGAGGGAGAACAACAAGAGGAGGGAGAGGAGGAGAAGAGCCATTGCTGCTAAGATATACTCTGGTCTCAGGGCTCAGGGCAGCTACAAGCTTCCTAAGCACTGCGACAACAACGAGGTCTTGAAAGCTCTCTGTGCTGAAGCTGGCTGGGTCGTTGAAGAAGATGGCACCACATACCGCAAGGTTTGGATTTCTTGTCCTTGTTATTCAGATTCAGCTGAATCAGCTCTTTTTTAGATTGGGTTTTGCTTCTCGTGTTCATAGATCTGCATGCACATCATGTTGAATCTGTAAATCCTCGCCTTCTTGCTAATCTACCTGTTGGGTTTTGATCTTGGATCATCATTGGAGAAGAAGTTGAGCAATTTTTAATTGTTTGAAAGATTTTATATTTTTTCGCAAATTAATCTGTTCCACTAAATGCAAAACCCCCCCTTTGATTTTTGTTTTCTCTGTAATTGAATAATAGCACAGACATGTTGCATATCTGTTTCTCTGTTCTGGTATTGCTTTGAGCTAGGATCTGGGCTATAATGAAACGGTCTTTTCCCCTTTCGTCTCTCACTAGATTTTGTTACTTAAAAAAAAGGGATATGCATTTGTTATGATTTGTTGATAGTTAAGGATGAAAAGGTTGTGATTTGGTCATGTAATTTTGTTTTTGAATTGTGGGTGAGATCTGTATCCAGCAGGTCATCAATTTACCCCGATTCATATGGTAATATGTTGAAATCCAATTGTTATTTGAACAAAAGACCCTGATTTTCAAAGCAGACTTTTTATTATTATTTAGCTTTCTGTTAATCCATTTCTTCATTCATATTGTACTTGTTTAATTATTGAATGTCTATTTTGGATACAGGGATGCAAGCCATCTCCAATGGAAATTGCAGGCACTCCAACAAATATGAGTGCATGTTCCTCTATTCAACAAAGCCCGCAATCCTCAGCTTTCCCAAGTCCTGTACCATCCTACCATGCCAGTCCATCCTCCTCTTCCTTCCCAAGCCCAACTCGTTTCGATGGAAACCCCTCCTCTTACCTTCTTCCGTTCCTGCGTAACATAGCTTCCATTCCTACAAATCTTCCTCCTCTTAGAATATCCAATAGTGCGCCTGTAACTCCACCTCTTTCTTCTCCAACCTCTAGAGGTTCAAAGCGAAAACCTGACTGGGACTCCCTTACTAATGGCTGTCTAAACTCCTTGCGCCATCCTCTTTTCGCAGCTTCTGCCCCTTCAAGCCCTACACGTCGCCACCATCTTACACCTGCCACAATACCAGAATGTGATGAGTCTGATGCTTCCACTGTGGACTCCGGTCGTTGGGTCAGTTTCCAGACAGGGGCACCATCAGTAGCTCCACCTTCACCCACATTTAATCTTATGAAACCGGTGGCTGAGCAGAGTGTTCTTCAGAACACTATTAATGGGCATGGGGGAATGGCGTGGGGGAACACTACAGAGAGGGGACGAGGCTCAGAATTTGAGTTTGAGAGCGGCACACTGAAAGCTTGGGAGGGTGAGAGAATACATGAGGTAGGGGTGGATGATTTGGAGCTTACACTTGGAAATGGGAAGAACCATGTTTAAGCTTCCACAGGAAGGTTTAGCTTGAGAATGTGTATAACCAGGAGGGAAGATCTTAAGATGTTATCTGGATTTTACTGTGCATTTCTCAGTGGTAATTGGTTATCTTTGCAGCTGAGTAGCATTGCTTGGTGTCTACTTTGATTTCTGCTACAATTGGGAGACTTCAAAATCTTATTTGGTGCATCATGTATTTCGTTAAATGTACAGTTTACTCTCTCCTGGGGCTGTTACAGAATCAAATCGTATCGAATTTGTTGGTTAAAGAGCAATGTTTTGGGCACACTTCACAGAAGGCCTTAAATTCTGAAATCTTTCATGTGGAGAGGAAAGACCCAAGCAAGTTAAATTTCGGGGTGCCATCTTCACTCAGTTATGTGTGAAATATCTTCTTCGGTTCTTCATTGGTCATAGGCCCCTAATTAAGTTGTCATCAGTGGGATATAGTCTCTCCAGCTTGAAGTTCATAGAATGCATCTTCTCTGGAGCACATACTCATTTTTAGACACTATTGGAGAATCACATTCTCAAATTTGTTGAAGGTAGTTATTTGTAGATCTATCTTGTCAGAAAATAGTCTCTTTCTTTTTACCTTTAAGTACTGTATTAGCAATTCATGACATCGATCTTTCATTCCATGTCTAAAGTTCTTATTAGATCTTCATAACTCGAACCGGGAGTTCGGTGTTTCTAATTAAGCTCGTTTTGGATATTTTTAACCAGGGCTTTTAAAAGCTAGGTGTTTCTAATTAAGCTTCTTTTGGATATTTCTAACTGAGGGTTTTAAAAGCTAGGTGTTTCTTTCAGTCTTTCAGAGAAACAATGAACCATAAATTGGGAGGACAGTGGGGCTGATGAGATCTGCAATAAGTTTGAATGTGATTTTCTTCTGTAGGGCCATGTCCTTGTGCCTGAAGGTTTTGATTTCTTATCCATTCATATGCAAGTCATACTGAGCTTCCCTGTAGCTTGTTGCCTTGTGAGTTGTGTGTGTGTGGGGGTCAAAAAAGCATCTTAGAACGAAACCTCCTAGAGGGCCCTTTGCCATGTGATATGTGTATCTTATGAATCCCATGTGACCTAAGCCACGCTTGATGTCTCAGTGTACCAACCAATTCAATAACTTTGCTTCCCAATTATTGGTGGATCTGCTTTTGACTGCATTGCTCCCTCAAGCAGCCCTGCAGTTCAATAATCGATATGAATCTGTTCTTTTCCATCTTTTGCACCCAGCGAGTTTTATTCATATAAATATTGACAAAAATAAAAAAATTATTCATATAAAGAAAACCCAGTTAGAGGAATAGCAGGAAAACACTTTTTGGGTTGGTCACTGACATTGTAGATAAGATAATTGGCATGAGGTAATCCAAGCTGAGCACAAGTCCGCTATAAATGATCCAGCCCTGTGATGTGAGTAAAAACTTTGAACCACGCAAAACCAAATCAAAAGTGTTTCACTCTGCGAATTTGATCGTCCCAAAAGAGAGCCTAGAGAATCTTTTACACATTACATGGCTGATGTTTTTTTGGATGATATGTGAACCCAAAAGAGAGCCTAGAGAATCTTTTAAATATTTTCACCTGAAGTATCATCAATGAGCTTGGACCTTTCAGACAAAAAAGAAAAAAGCTTGGATCTTGTTGGCTGAATAGGAATTCTGCTCCTATGACCAAAGTCACACTGATCAGTGGATCTCTGTAGCTATTGGAGGCCTTGAAATCATGAAGTCTAGAGCCCATACTGAAGCATTCTTTTGCCAAGCCCAATAAAAACTCATGTGGTCTTATTGGCGCGCACACCACACAATATATATCTATATGGTTAATGCTAATATCTTTTTCTCTAACCTTCTGAAATTATTTGTATGATGACTAAAAATGCCTAGAGTGGGGTGAATAGACCAATTTAAAATTATAATCAATAAACAAAAAATAAATTTCGATAATAGGATTGATATGGCTTATCAATCCTGAAATGTGTTGAGCATAAAATAAAGGAACATGCAGATAATTATATTACTTTGTAAAACCCCACATCTAAGGAAAATCCACGAGACTCCTCAATCCAACACAAATCCACTTTAAAACGATGATTACAAGAAGTACTCATACACTTATGCTAAACACATTTTCTAGATAATGTTTATCGACTTCTTTGTAACCCAACTTATGTCACGGGATGATCTTTCGACACTCTTTATGTTGAACGCAATACAAGTAACGATTGCTTCAAGCTCGTTGGAGGAAATTTGCCACCACGGTCTTGGTGCCCTCAACCGTATGAGTCACCAAACATGCAAATGAATGTAATATGAATAATTAAAGTGTTTGATAAATCACAAAGTAAACATGGAACACTTGATGATTTATCTCAAATATATGCACAACAGTATTTGAAACAAGAAAGCACACCATATTTTTATACGTAACGCATTCTCCTTTTTGCAAGCGAAGTCCACCACGCCACGTGAACAATCTCTTGCAATTGATGAGATTTGATTCTTAGAATCATATTTAATTTTGTCAGCTTATGCATTGTCACAGATGGCTTTCACTCCGAACGATTGTTAAACAAGGAAACAATTTACACATAAATTTATAAACTGATAGGTATATGTTTACAAAATAGAAAATGTAAAAATTTATATTAGACAAGGCCATAATAATATAATAGAGGAGAGATAAAGGCCACTCCTCCAGAGCCTAGGAGTGGCTCTGCCTCTGATGCTAGTGTAGGTGGTGATGTACTGTTGACATAATTTCATTCCAAAAGCTACCATTCAAACCCATTGACCTAACATCACTTATTGTTGTATTGTTGACGTGTGTGGTTTTCTTCGGAATGATTGATGAGATTACTTTTTCATAATTTCCATAAAAAGAGTAGGGAGACTTTGAAAAAACACAAAGGAGAGAAAAAATTTGTAAAAGAAGCCAAAATGGACAAAATTGCCCTTATTTATTTTTGGATTTCCTAAGGAATCTTTTACATTTGCATGTCTTTGATTTGAAAGTTGAGATGTTTTTCTGTCTTTCCAAAAGTGAAATTTTTTTTTGGCTAAAACCTAAATTTACTAAAAGGGGGGTACTGCCATATTCTGTAGAGACTAGTCGCTTTATTTGCCGGCACCAAATTTGACTCCAGAATTAGATTATCATCTAATTCCCTTGCCGAAATAAAGCGACTAGTCTCGCCATCTGCAAGAGAATATGGCAAGGGAATTTTCCGAAAAATTCCCGAAAAATTCTTCGGGATAAAGTGACTAGTCTCGCCATCTGCAAGACTAGTCGCTTCGGATGATAATTCCCTTGCCGAAAAATTCTCGCCATCTGCCAAGTTCCAAGTTTTGCAATTTATTTGACACTAATCATCGTCTTTGCTCCCTTTTAATAATTCACATGAATATTATATCAAGATTGCGATCAATTATCCTTCCTAATTAGATTATCATCTAATTCCCCTTACCCAAATAAATAAATAAATAAATAATTTAGTTCTATTGATTCATCATCTTCATTATTCCATTTGGCACAGCTAATTCAAATCAGCATGACAATAACTCAAAGTCAGCAACGTACTTCACACGTTTATTAGTTTAATTTAATTACAATATCTGATACTGATATATTGTGGATTTATAAAATAAATTTAAATAAATTGATACCCGAAATTGTAAGTCCCTTCCACTACTTAAAGCCAGCCACACACTTTCCCTCAAAAAGCAAAAGTCCAGAACTAAGCCATTGCTCTATTGGTTCTTGGACACATATCTGCCACCTCTTTCAGTGACATATACGATCACCATGATCTCAAAGCCACATGCTGCCATCCTCTGCAGCCCTGGCATGGGCCATCTCATCCCTGTCATTGAGCTCGCAAAACGACTTGTCAACCACCACAACGTCACCGTCACCATCTTCGCCGTCCAGTCCAATACTTCCAAGGCTGAATCCGAGCTCCTCAAGGCAGCCACGAGCCCGAAATTCTGTGACATCATTGAACTCCCACTGCCGGACATTTCCGGCCTCCTTGACCCCGACGCCGGTATCGTCATGAAACTCTCAGTCATGATGCGAGAAATACGACCTGCTTTTCGGTCGGCAATTCTGGCCGAGGACTCTCCTCGTCCCACCATCCTTATCGTGGACCTCTTTGGCACTGAATCTCTCCCCATTGGCGACGAGCTTGGGGTTCCCAAGTACGTTTACATTGCTTGCAATGCATGGTTCTTAGCGTTGACTGTCTACGTGCCAATTCTCGATAAGGAAGTGGAAGGAGAGTACGTGGATCAGACTGAACCGCTGAGGATCCCGGGTTGCAGTCTGGTTCAGCCTGAAGAAGTGTGTGACCCGATGCTGAACCGGGCCGACCAACAGTATTTGGAATACGTACGGATGGGGGTTGAAATACCAAGGAGTGATGGAATTTTGCTCAATATCTGGAAGGATTTGCAGCCCAAAACATTGGATGCATTCAAAGATGAGAGCCTCTTGGGTGGAGTGGTTAAGGTGCCGGTTTATCCTATTGGACCTTTGACGAGATCGGCCCAATCAGCCGGTCCAACAGGTTTAAGGGACGGAGACTTGTTTAACTGGCTGGACAAGCAACCCAGTGAGTCTGTGATATTTGTGTCATTAGGCAGCGGGGGAACTTTGACCTACGAGCAAATGACAGAGATGGCGTGGGGTTTGGAGCTGAGCCAGCAAAGATTCATTTGGGTTGTTCGACCACCCACCTCAAAAGGCGCAGATGCTGCTTTTTTCACTTCAGGTCATCTCTAATTTTGTAAATATATCATCAACTATTTTAGATGCTCATATTTTCATGAACATTGACACTCAATACCTTACTTCATCAGGAAAAGGAGATGACGACCCATCGAGCTATTTGCCCGAAGGGTTCTTGACCCGAACCCGAGAGATTGGGCTGGTTGTGCCTATTTGGGCTCCCCAAGTGGACATCTTAAGCCATCCATCAATAGGAGGGTTTTTCTCACACTGCGGCTGGAATTCAACCCTAGAGAGCATCATCAATGGAGTGCCGATGATCGTGTGGCCTCTCTACGCAGAGCAGAGGATGAACGCCACGTTGTTGAGTGATGAGCTTGGCGTGGCCGTGAGGTCTAAAGTTCCTCCATGGAAGGGAGTGGTTGAAAGGGAGGAGATAAAGAGAATGGTGAGAAAGATAATGGTGGGGGAAGATGGGATTACAATAAGGGGTAAGGTCAACGAGCTAAAACTGAGTGCAGTCAAAGCTTTGAGCCAAGGTGGTTCTTCGTATAATGCACTGTCTCAAGTGGCAAGTACAACTAAATGAGCATTAATTCTGCTTGTGATGTAGGACAAGATATGGGTTCATTCTTATGGGAAATATTAAATAAATAAAGTGGTTTAGAAATGGGAAAGAAATTATGTTAGAGAGGAAAATTTCGATTAAGTATCAATTATAGTGCTAGGAAAAGAATGAAGACATATTGTTGGGATTTTTGGATTGCTTGAGTAAGTTTGTAGCACTATGGATTGTTGTAAGATTTATATTTTATTTTATTTTATATTTCAAGAATAAGTAGTCTACTAGGATTTCAAATTTATTTTTTTTAATAGTTAAGTTTAAGGAATATTATGGAACCTAGGGTTTCCTATGGTTTTAGTGTTTTTTTGGTTTTCTGTTGAAGCCAATTCATGACATTGTATTTATCAATTTATTCATATTATTATTAAAATTCAGAGACTTTTCTCTATTTGCCGGTGGATTCTATATCGTTGATGAATTTCAGCCTTATTGTTTTAGAATTATTGTTCGATTTCCCTTTACATGTGCTTCAATGATGCGTCACGCTTGTTGTTTTTATTATCTACAGTAATATTAATTTTGATGGATCTAATAATGGGTCTCTCTTGATTCTATGCAAATTAAGTGAAAAAAACAATTCGTATTGCACAAGTTGATGACTGGTTTGGTTAGCGTAAAGATATTTTCTTTTGTTCCATGGTGATCCCAGACAGACAACTGAATGTGATGAAGCCTGCAGGCTGGAGCCCTCCACAATTGAATGAGGGATTGAAAACTTTTCACCATATTCGATAAGTCTCTACTTTTCCTGTTAAGCTACTTTTCTTTGTATCACTGATGCATCATTTTACTGATATTTTCTTTCTCCAGAAAAAAAATAAAAAAATAATTACGAAAGTGGATTTGTAGGAAAGGAAGAAGGCAATTTGATCTTCGCAATTTGTCTTGAGTATGCCAAGTCAAGTCAAGTGGGATTTGATCATTTGGATAAACATAAACACATTCAAATTAAGTTGCTTTTTTTCCTTTTTTTTACAACCAGTTCATAATAATAGTCATTAATCAGACAAATTAGTGGTATATAAAAGAAGAAAATATGTTCAATTTAATATGGAAAAAGTCAACAAGAGTCAACGGTCCACTTTGATGCCTTTCGTTTCGTTTTACGTTTCTCCAAATTACTTCTAATTAATTAACTAACCTGCATCACTTATGCTTTGGTCTCATAATGCATTGAGAAGACATGGGATCTGACGTGATTATTATGCCTCCTCCTCACCTAGGCTCAGAATGGGGTTACTTACTATTACTTTTTTTAAAAGTTGATTATACCGTACTTTGAAAATAACCCACTATAAAGTAAAACGATTTCATGTTTGGTAAATAATATTCTTAAAGTGTTGATAGTATAAAAAACGATGTCAAAATCGTTTGGTAAATTTTAATATAAAACTATTGTAACTGTGAATAATTACTAAAATGGACATTATGTTGAAAGTGTTATGTGCTAACTATGTGTTGATGGTGATGGTGGTGGTGGAGTGTGCTGGGGGAAGAGGGGAGGGTATTGGTGGTGATTGAGATGGAGGTGATGGTGATGATAGTGATGGATGTGGATGTGGATGTGGATGTGGATGTGGTGGTGGAGATGGAGGTGATGGTGATGACAGTGATGGATGCGGATGTGGATGTGGATGTGGTGGTGGTGATTGTAGCGATAGTGGTAGAGGTGGATGTGGATGTGGTTCACTTCATAGTCTGAAATATCGATAATATCGACGAAATATTGTCAATATTTTGGTTTTTTCGAATCACGGATATTTCGGAACATATCCATGTACATATTGTATAAATATCGACGATAATATCGGAAAATATCGATGTTGATAATTTCGCTCACACTTCAGCAATATTTTGTCAAAATATCAATGTAATATCGCTAAAATATCGAAAATATTGATGTAAAGGAAAAAAAAAGGGGAAAAAAACACAAAGGGGGATTTGAACCCCTCCCATTTTACTCCTCCAACACCTTAACCACCATATATCACTTATATTTTAGTGATAATATGCTAAAATATTTATATTTATATGGGTGACATGTTAACAATTACATGCAAAACTATTTTGGGAATTTATCATTTGATGAATACTCTTCACAATACACTTACTCTACACATAGAGATAATGAAGATAGTGAAAATTTTGAATCTCATAGGAACTCTATGTGGTACTAAGTCACTCATGTATCTTACCATGCAATGTATAAAGTGTAAAATATTGTAGTAAATCATTATATATAAATGATTATGGTGTGTTTAATCTTTTTTTCATTAATTACTACATATTTTCTACACTCATAGTGTTTGCCAGCTCGCTGTATAATTAACTTAAATCAATTAAATCCATCATGTAATGTATTTCCTTCTAATTTTTTTATATAAAACTAATAGATAATTAACTAAATAAACATTCTCCAAGTTTCAATAAAAATTTCCAAGTTTTTCTTACAATTTCCGTTGTTTTTGTTCAATTTCATGGAAATTTCGATGGAAATATCGGGATATTATCGATATTGATAAAAATTGAATAAAACCCATGGAAATTGTAAGAAAAACTTGGAAATTTTTATTGAAACTTTGGAGAATGTTTATTTTTATTGAGAGACAGAGACATAGATGGAGTGTGAGAGGTGGAAAATAAGATAGAGCAAAAATGAGAGAGAGATATGTGGGCAGTCAGAGAGAGAGAAGACATGAGCAGAGAGAATAAAGGAGAGAGAAAATGTGGTAAAAATTATAAGGGTATTTTAGGAATATTGGTGGGTGTAAAAATAGGATTGTGTTTTTTAAAATTTATATGGTGGGTGGGAAAATAGGACAGGTGGGTGGAAATAGCAGCACTTATAAAAAAAACATGTATCATTGATCAACAACACATATATAAGTATTTAAATAAATATTATAGATCAAAAAATATATATATATATATAAACAAAAACAACCCCCACCCCCTTTTGGGTTGGTGGCCTCCCTTCCTTCCTTTCCCCTCTCATCTCCTCTGCCCCTCGTCCCTCCCCTCCTTCAATCCCCTCCCTTGGTCTTTTACCAGCTTTTGGCCAGCTTGTCATGCCTGGTCATTTTGTGTGGTAGCTTTTGTTTTCTTTGTGTGTCTTCATTTGGAAGATTTGAAGTTCCTGCTTTAGATTTACTTAGTGACGAGTAAGGTCTAAAATATCGAGAGTTTCGGAAATATCGGTGGTCCAAAAACACGGATATATCGATGGAAATATCGATATCGATAAAAATTGAATAAAAATCACGGAAATTGTGAGAAAAACTTGGAAATTTTTATTGAAACTTTATAGGATGTTTATTTAGTCAATTGTCTATTATTTTATCACAAAAAATTGGAATAAAATGCATGGCATGGTGGGTTTGAGTGATTTAAGTTGATTATGTAGCGACTTGACAAACACCGTGTCCTTAGAAAATATGTAGTAATTAGTGAAAGAAAATTAAACACACCATAATTTTTTAGTTATAATAATTTACTACAATATATTGCATATGATAAGATATATGAGCTTGACAAAAAAAGAAAAAAGAAAAAAAAAGAGTAACTTAGTACCACATAGAAAGAATTCTTGTTAAAGTTAAAACTTAGTATCACATATAATGAACAATATTAAAACTCAATAGTGAATAATAACACAACTCCACAATATATAACCCCAAAAAAATATCCATAATAAAATAATAAATAAAATTAAACAAATGCTTAAATTTATCTTTAGGGAATTTTTTTTTAATGGAAATTTATCCTAGATAATATTAGCTTGCATAAACTTTAAAGACCATATAAATATTACAAGTTGTAGCTTTGTTAACAAACTCAGTTGCAGCGTGTTGGATAAGGCCCAATACATGAATAGGAAGTAGAGGGGTTCGAATCCCCTTGTTGGCAAAAGTGCAATATCTCAACAAATTTCATTTAGTTTTCAGTTTCATTCGCGATATATTGCCCAAATAAAGCACGAACGAATAGGAAATTATCGCGAAAATATCGATATATTGACGATATATAAGTGGATATGGGCTAAAATATAACTAATTCAAAAAAAACGAAATTATCGGCGATATTTCGCCGATAATTTCGATATTTAAGACTGTGGTGACAACGAAGGTGACAAAGTATCATTTTGGTCCATCAACTAAAATTTTCATTTCAAACGTTCTTAAACTTTTTATTTTGTACCAAGATAGTTCATCCGTCAAAGTCTGTGTATTATTTCGTGAAATCGAGGGACAAAATAGTATTTTTAGGTGAGTATCCTCCTCTAAAAGGGTTATTGATCCCAATGGTCCCCCAACTATTGCTCCAATATCATTTTGGTCCACCAACTAAAATTTTCATTTGAACCGTCCTTCAACTTTTTTTTTGGGTATCAAGATGGTCTTATTGTTAAAGTCTGTCAATTTTATTGTTAAATTGAGGAGTAAAAATGTCTCTATGAATTAAAATAGTAATATATAATTAAAAATTAAAGGAAACTATTATAAAACTTAGAAAATTTTAAAAAATTGAATCTCACTAGCCACATGGCTTTTTGTTTTTGTTTTTGTGAGACTGACCTAACAATTAATAATAAAAAATTCTATATTGTTTAAATTTATTAAAATCACATAAATATAAATAAATAAATATTTTTTTTTAAAAGAGTAAACAATAATTAAAATTTAAAGGAAACTATTATTGGAACTTGTACCTAATTTTAAAATTGAAAAAATGGAATCTCACCACCAACATGGTTTTTATTTTTATTTTTATTTTTTATGACATGGACTTAAAAAGTAATATTTTTGTTCTCTATTGTTTAAATTAATTAAAAAATTTAAAAAAAGATAAATACCAAAATAAATAACAATAAAATTGAAGGACTTTGACGGTATGACCATTTTGATACAAAAAAGAAAAAAGAAAAAGTGGAGAGACAGTTCAAATGAAAATTTTAGTTGGTGGACCAAAATGATACTAGAGCAATAGTTGAGGGACCATTTCAGTCATACCCGTCGATAGAGCTTCTCAAAAAGTCTCATATACCCTTCAAAACTCAGTCACGTGGCCATCGCGTGATCAGAAGTGACGGAATCTGTCACGGATGGACCATCTTGGTACAAAATAAAAAGTTTAAGGACGTTTGAAATGAAAATTTTAGTTAGTGGACCAAAATGATACTAGAGCAATAATTGGGGGACCATTTAGGTCATTAACATTTTTATGAGGAATTGGAGATTTGTTCCCTATTAATTTGTTCCCTATTACACAGACCAATGGTTTATGAGGAATTGGAGATTTTGACCACGCAAAGCACCATGCGAAAGATGGCCAAGTTAAAGTCATAAAATTATTATTTTTATTTTAAAAGGCCATTTAATTATGGTAGTGAAATGGATGTATGTCTAGATAAGGATGACTGATTTCATTTTTTACGGATTTTTGTTATTTAATTGTAGCACATGATTTTGACCATGACTTGATTATGGCCTTTTTTTTTGTTTGTTTGTTTGTAGCACATGAATTCAAATTAAGATCTAAATATTTTATTTGTTTGACCATGGATTAGTTTGCAAAGATGAAAGAAATAAACGAAAATAATGGGCAAGGTGGCATATGGGGGAGGTCTGCATTATGAGTATCCAGTTAGCACACGTACCCAAACCAACATTACATATATAATATAATGGAAATGATGCTAGCTAGGTTTTTTTATATAAATTATATGAGATTTAACCACTGTTACCAGTTTACCACCCAATATTATATATATATATATATATATATATTCTTAAAAAACTTATCTTACTCCATACACATCAATCAATATTTCCAATCTGAAAGCAACACCATCATCTTCAAGCCGACCCAATGAATGATATGTTTTTAAAAGCTAGTCATAGTTAAAGGTCTTTATCTTTTTGTTTTAATTTAGTCTTCAAAATATAACCATTAGCTCGAACTTCTCAAAAAGACTAAGATATTTACTTAATTACATATATTAAATTAACAATGTTGGCCAAAAAATAAAAGTAAAGAAACTAATTTTATAATTTTAAAATTAAAGACAAAAACACCTCTTTCAACGAAATTTCGTTGGCACAAATCTATGTTGGCAAATATTTACTGGAACATTGAGCCGCACCTGATGGAAAAAACCGGAAAAAACCGGGAAAAAAACCGTGTTTACTAAAGTGTAACAAACCGGCACCAAACTTTACCAGATTGGATCAAATCGGACCGGATTGGCTGCGTATATACATTAAAAATTATTTAAGTTCAATGTTAAATTTCTAATCCCATAACTAATATTTTCCTAAGCCCAACTTCGAAGCACCTTTATTTTCTTGGCACAATCATCTCTTTTTGCATGAAATTGGATCATTTGTGAATTTTTAAGCCCAAAAAATAAAATTTTAGTTGGAATTTGTTTTAAAAAAATAATATCCGATTCGAAATTTGAAAAACTACACCAGAACTAGTTTAAACCGGACTAGCCTATTTCATAAAAAAATTTCACCTAAATCGAACAACACTAGTTAAATAGTATTAGTTTCGATTCCAGTGTAAGGTGGAAATCGGATCGGACCAGACCGCGCCCACCCCTAGCAGTGGCCCAATGTGCTAGAGCACCTTTTGCTTCTCTCTCTCCCTCGCGATCTCCTCTCTTTTCTCTCTGACACAACACATTAACCGCCACTTTCTCTAGCGGTTTTGCCAAACCCTAAGGTTCTTTTGGAATTAAGGCAAGAAGGGTATTTCAGAAAATTGGGCCTGACACCTACATTAGATGCATGGTTCGTAACGGATTCCAAGGGAAATTTGAGGCGGGTCTTGTCAAAACAAGAGGACAAAAATTTAGCATTCTTTTTGTCCTCTTTCACCTACACACACACATACACACACAATCAAAATATCATAATGTTTCAAACTTGAGACCTCTAATTTACAAGTCAACGCTCTTTTCACATAGAGCTTCTCTCTTATTCACCTTTTCCTTAAATCCTCATACAAACAATTTTATTAGCAACAAAACAGAGAAAAAGGAACAAAAGTTTCCTTTCTTCACCGTCACCATTAGTCGATTATGCCATATGATGCGGAAGAACAACAATAACAAACAAATAATTTTTACCCGCTAATTTTTTTTAAATCTGCTTTATCCCTTTATACTTCTATACATTTTAATACGTAGAAACACCAAAATGATTGATTACTATGATAAGATGTTTCAATGGGTGCTACTAGCGGAAACCAAGAGCTGCTGACTTTTGATTCTAGTACACTGAAAATGAAACAAGTGCTAACCACAAAAGCAAGTCCAAAAGCCAATCTATTTGGAACAATAAACTCAATGGAACATGCATAAAGATTAATGATTAAGGAACATAAACTGAAGATTGTTTTTTAATGGAGCCTATATCTCATGTTTATAGGGAGCACAACCATGTCGTTGATCATCTATAGCTGCTATGGGGTACAATTTATCTTCACGTTGTTTGCATAGTTTCGATATGTTTTCTCTATTTCCGAGGATCCTATCTTAGATGACAATAAATTTAGTCCGGAGACTTCTGCCTGAACTGTTGTTTGTTAATTCTTTATGTTTCCTGGGTTCATCCCACCTTGCAAATTAAAAACTAAAAACAAAACCAAGAGATCCGTCTTCTTAGGGTCTTCATGGGAATCCTGATAAGTAAATCAATATATTACAGATTTGAGAACAACAAACACAGCTAACTAATCCCGGCTATTACGCTAACAAACACAGCTGACACAGCTCAGTCTGAGATTTTGATACAGTGTGTAAGAAAGATAGGGCATGTTCCACACAAATAACATTCAACAGTGTAGATTGAATTTACTCACACAATCAGCAAGGCATATTGTATTTATAATTTTTTTTAATATAAAAAAAACATGTGGTATGTGGCATGATGATGATTGAATTACATGTTTTATTTATTTATTGATGTCTATATTTTATTTTGTTGTTCTAATTATGCCCATAAAACATAATTATGTTACTCTTATTGTAAAATCGATAAGTTATTAATTTGTAAGACATTAATTATCATATTTAATATGAGGTCATGGAAACTTCATACCTTAATTTAAATTATCAAGTTAGCCATATCTATATATAATATATAGTGTAGTGTGCCAAGCCCCTACCTCTCAGATCACATGCATGTTGAGCCAAGCAAGCCTTGTTGCTAAATCTATGCAATTTCTTTCTTTTCCCTATACCAGATATTCTTCATAAACTCCAACTGCTAGCTACACTTACTTAATTGTCCCTTTCAATTTGATTCCTCTCTCTAAATCCATGGAGACCATGAACAACTCAAAGCAACATGCAGCGCTTCTCTGCAGCCCAGGCATGGGCCATCTCATCCCCATCCTCGAGCTCGCAAAACAACTTGTCGCACGCCAAAACTTCACCGTCACAATCTTCGTCGTCTCTTCCCAAACTTCCCATGCAGAATCTCAACTCCTCAACAGTACGCCTACAAACCCACAACTCTGGCACGTCGTCCAGCTCCCGCCACCTGACATTTCCGGCCTTGTGGATCCCGACGATGCTGTCGTTACCATCCTTGCCATGATGATGCGAGAAGTACGTCATGCGTTTAGGTCAGCCTTGCTTGGCATGGAGGTTTGTCCCACCATGCTTATCGTGGACCTCTTCGGCACTGAATCTCTGCCCATTGCGGAAGAGTTGGGGATTTCCAAGTTCGTTTATGTGCCTTCTAATGCATGGTTTCTTTCTCTCATGGTGTATTGTCCGGTTCTGGATGTTGAAGTCAAAGGAGACTTTGTCCACCAAAAAGAACCAATCCAAATCCCGGGTTGTAGGTCAATACTTCCACATCTCGATCTCGATGACACTTTGTTGGTCCGGGCCCACAAGGAATACTTGGATTTTGTAGAAATTATTTCAAGTGGGGTTTCTAAAGGGGATGCGATTTTGGTGAACATATGGGAGGATTTGGAGCCCAAGACTCTTGCAGCCCTAAGAGATGAGAAATTATTGGGCCGGTACACAAAGGTTCCGGTCTATCCTATTGGGCCGCTGATTAGGCCCACTGAATCATCTGGTTTGAAGGGGAAGGTGTTTGATTGGTTAGACAAGCAGCCCAATGAGTCTGTGATTTATCTGTCGCTTGGTAGCGGCGGGACTTTGTCGTACGAGCAAATGACCGAAATGGCTTGGGGTTTAGAGCTTAGCAAACAGAGGTTTGTCTGGGTGATACGTAAGCCCACCCAAACGGCAGATGGGGCCTTTTTCACGGGTGGAAGTGGCAATGGTGGTGACGAGGACAACCCATCAAAGTACTTGCCCAAGGGGTTCTTGGAGCGGACCAAGGACGTTGGGCTCGTCATCCCTTTGTGGGCTCCACAAGTGGACATCTTGGCCCATCCATCGGTTGGAGGGTTTTTGTCCCATTGTGGGTGGAATTCGACCCTAGAGAGCATCAGCAATGGGGTGCCGATGATTGCTTGGCCACTCTATGCGGAGCAGAGGATGAACTCCACGCTGCTGACAGAGGAGTTTGGCGTGGCAGTTCGGTCAAAAATACCACCATGGAAGAAAGTTGTGGAGAGGGAGGAGATAGAAGAAATGGTGAGAAAGATCATGGAGGAGAAGGAAGGTTTTGCAATGAGAGATAGAGTGAGGAGGCTAAAAACAAGAGGTGCCAAAGCTTTGGAGAAAGGGGGTTCATCTTATAATGCTCTTTCTCAATTCGCAAAGCACGGTGAGTTAAGGTGCATGAAATTTGCCGAAGGGAGGAAGTGATGGATCCATGAACACATGCGTGCACGGTTCCGCAACCGCTTGATCAAGAAGATGTTTGTTCCGTTGTTATGTGTTGTGATTTGTTTATGGAGTTGTTTTAGCATTATATAATTTATCAAGATCAACATGTGCTGCAACTAGTGTCAACTTAATGTTTCAATAATGAAGAAGTTGTGTACGTGTATTATATATTATTATTAATATTTACTTGCATGGATTGATACTCATGTTACTCTTGTTTCCTCAATTCATTGTTTTAACGATCTTTTTGAATTTGTTGCTTATCATATTTTTTTTTCTAACACAATATGCGGCATATTACATCAATTATTATAACTAATTATTAATAGATACATCATGCATTGTATAAATGTAGTTAGTCTGAAAATGCGATTCCTATAGTGTTCTCTATTAAACTAAAATTAAAGGAGTAATATTAAAGGAATCACATCTTCTGATTGGTGGTAAATGAAGTCCACTTGTTTACATTAATTATTATTATTATTAGGTGATAATTGGCACATAATGTGGCTATACTAATATATGTGTGTATATACATACACACACACACATATGTATGTATGTATGTATGTATGTATGTATGTATGTATGTATGATGAGAAAATATAACCACTTCAGGATTGCTCACAATCAATTCGTCATAATATACCATATAATTTCACATTTAAAAAAGAAGAAGACAAGAATTAATATTATCTTTTCATCGAGTCGATTCGAAGACTTTTGGAAGCGTGATCCTCGTAGCTTCGTTGGGTTTCATGACAAGTGACCACGATTCACTGGTTTAAAGGTTTGCTAATTGATATCATTTGATAGCTTGACACCTTAAGATAATAATAATGGACTTGCACAGATTTCAGAGGTTGACAAACTAAACGTCTTCTGCATTGGCGAAGCAAGAGAGATGGGCACGCATGCCAGCCATGGATAAATAAACTCAAACAAAGACCAAACCAACGCTACGTGACAAAAGAAAATAAAACCCTAGCCAAGGGGACAACACACGACTGGACAAGAAACTAACCAGGCAGCCAACAAACAACGCGATTCGAGCCATCCACTGATCCAAGAAACTAACCGGAAGGTTCAATTCAGACTATAATCTACATGATAAGCCGCTAATGACTTGACTTTTCATAAATTGTTTGGGCACACTCAATGTTAGATGAGCCGACCTGTTGGCCTAATTAAACTATACAAGGGTTATTGGCCTAATCTAATGGCGCTTAATTTTGCGTGGGCATAGTAATGATTGAAGGCGTGACTGATTTTACAACGGCTTGCGGTGGTAGTGGTGACAAGACCACGATGATTCCAAATTCATATGTTATTGATCAGTGACACCACATGGCAATGTGACCTTCACACCCAATAATTCCTTAATCAATGGTGTGCCACCGCACTAATGGTGTCCTGTCGTAGATTGAATAATTCATCTAGTAAACGTTCTATTTTTATTTTCCTTTCCATTTCTGCAAATAATAAACATTCAGTTTTGAATGTTCTCTCATTATATTCCAGAGAAATTCATCAATGTAAAGTAGGAATGCATTATTGAAAACTTTTATGTTCAAACACAACGAAGGATATCTAAAAGAAGGTAGCAAGTTACTTATTAAATCTTGAAAATCATAAAACCAGAGTGGCTGCTGATCTTGAGACTACATACAGTGTGCAATTTTTATTCATTTTCGAGTCGATATGCAAATTTGGAAAGCTCACAAGCTCTCACGCACTTATGGGTTCAGTGGCTTTCTTTAGCCATGCCTTCTCAGATTCATCCACATATGGGGCCAGAATATCCCTGCATTTGGAATGGTAGGTGTTGAGCCATTCCAACTCTTCAGGTGCTAAAAGACTCAAGTCGATCAACTTTCCCTGATATGGTGTCTGGACAGATTATGAAACATCAAATACAGAGGGATTAGCTCAACCTGCAATCTCTCTCTGGAAAATTTGCTTAAACAATATCAAGTTGAAAAGATAAAGTGGGTCTAGGAAAAGGGTTGTTATAATCGTAAATGATGGGCAGTGTGCGCAGCATCAAGAACACAATTAACAAATTAAGCATTAAAAACATGGCATACTGAACTACAAGGCCCCATTCAGAAACAACCACAATAGCAATCACTTCAAACTAACGTAGCTATATTATGCGCTCCAATTGCAAGCTAATTTAGCTATTCAATAGAGAAGAACAAGCTTACCCATGTTATGTGCTCAAATTGCAAGTAACCCTTGTCACCAAAGTTGAATTTTGTATCAGCTTCGTTGATTATAAGCACGTTCTCCAATCTTATTCCAAATTTCCCATCCTCGTAATATCCAGGTTCTGAAAAGTACAGTTTTACAGTCAGTCACTGTAAATGGTAACTACAAGTCAAATAGTCCCATTCAAGAAGCTCCTCCTAATAATTTAGAGTCATGGCTGCCCGAAACAATTTATAGACCAAGCAAGCCCTAAAAATGTATGAGTAATAAAGTTGTCGACTCAAAGAGCTATGCATAAAGAGCAATAAGTTCAAAAACCATGAACACTAGGGCATAGATTCTAAAGGAAACAAGAAAGGCAAAGTCTACCCAGTGTTTATCTGAAAACACAACGCATGAGCTACAAGATAAGATACAGTTTAGATAGAGTCCAAAAAAACAAAACAAAAAAAGGATGACCCACATGGCTATCCTCTAGTATGAGGGATTACTGCTTTGTTGAGTTAGAAAAAGCTATTATACGTAACAAAAAAAATATGTATATGGTGATACTAACCATCTGTTACAGTCATGGACGCTTGCAGCGGGACATTTCGAGCATGCGGTCTGAAACTAATTAAATGTGGTCCTGCTCAACCAGTACAAATGGAAGGTAGCAATGAAAATTCATTCATTAGCTCAGATTAAACTATACATTAGAGATGAAGGATGAGCAGTTGTAGTTCCTATATACCTTCATGAACATTTAGATAAGACCCAATCCCATGACCAGTGCCATGTCGATAATCAAGACCACTCTTCCACAAAGGAACTCGAGCAAGAATGTCAAGTGCATGACCTGTACAAAGCAAGCAGATTTAAATGTATTTCAGTTAAGACAAATTTAGAAAACCACACATGAAACATCTCATTTAAATGTGAAAGAAATAAAGAGACAAAAGCATGAATACCATTGGTTCCATTAGGAAATCGGGCATTCCCGAGAGCTATATGACCCTTGAGAACCTGCACAAAATGCAGTACATCAAGCCACTTCATAAGACCATAACATGAGGATTGGCTTGAAGGGACTTGGGAATAACAGTCTACATACGCAGACAGTAAAGGATTCAACCATTGTGAACCTAAATTCATTTAATAAATAAAAACAAAGAAAAAGAAAAGATCTGAAAAGAATGAAATCCCATTTTGAAAGCCTGCAACTCCACTCAGAAAAGGGCTATCCCAATCAATTCGAATTAATAAGATCCAGTTTTATGGATAATAATAACTTTGATTATCAACTGAAACTAAGGGTCCAATTAGATGGAAAGATACAAACTGAGGGATTTGGATTTGAGGTTTTATTGTAAATTGCTAGAGTATTATGAAAAATAAATTTTCTACGTTGATATACTCCACGCATAAATTTGGTAATTTAGAAAAGGATGGATTTTAAACACTCACGAGAAAAGTGTTATTCAAATATCTCATTTTCCTCAATAATCAAATTTATATGTCGATTCTATTAACATAAGAAAATAATATTTCTAAGGTCCAATTAAGCAACCCTAAGATTTTTATTGACCAATTCTTAGAGGTTTCTTTGACAGATAGAAGAAACCAATATGTTAATGATCATTACAATAGTACTGCTTCTTTGGGTGGTGATTTTGTGCAATGGTAAACTGCAATGTCTGCAGTGGTAGTAATAAGGATGGGGAAGGTAGTGTGAACAAGGCTCTAAAAGCTACAAGAAGTAGGTAGCAGTAGTAAACTATGAACAGCACAGAAGATCAGGGTGGGTGTGGGTACACTGGTGGTTATGGTGGTCATATACTGTAGTGGATCACGATGAATTGTGAGTAGGAGAATGCATGAATGAACTAGTACAAGAATTTGACAATCCAAAGCATATGAAAACAAAGTTGGAACTTGGAACAACAATGTTGACATTAGTTTTAAGTGCAACTACCAAAGAAACAAAGATGTACTAAAGGAAAGCAACAAAAAGCACTTACAGCCGTATAGCATGCTTTCTCATGAGCTGAAGGTTTTCCAAAATGAACCGTTCGTGTTATATCAGTTGTTCCATCAAGATACTGCAACCATGCCATCAATATTACCAATTAGAAAAACTGAAGCATCATGACTAAATAACCGAATGAAATTGGTCGGTCATTTCTATCAGCCAAATTTTCCATGATATTTGTCAAACCTGTGCTCCAGAGTCAAAAAGATAGATGCTGTCTGGATCAAACTCAGCACAAGTTTCTGCTTGTGGTGAATAATGGATAATTGCTGCATTTGGGCCAACTGACGAAATAGTAGGGAAACTTAAACCTCTAAAGTTCTGCAAATATAACAGAAAAGAAGATTGCAAGTATGTCAAACAACCTAAACATACAGGGAGGTAGAAAAGCTTAGAAAAGCATACAAGTATACATGTAATCAGTAAATTGCACTATATATTTCATTTTTCTGTAACCAACTGCTGCAAGCTTCTTTAAAGTGTTCCTGGGAACCCTTGTAATTTTCAAGTATTCCTGACATGTTGCAGTGCAACCCAGAAGTTAAGTTGAAAATGTTTTACAGTTAGAAACCATGATTGCAAATATACCAAATTAGAAAGAAATCAAATGCAATGAACATCTAGGATCCAAGAAAAATTATATAGGGGGAATACACACATGCAAAACAAAGACATATCCAGTTTATCATCCATCACATGGGATTTTCATATTAAAAGTTCACACTACCTCTTTTGATGCTCGAAAGCCCTCCAGCTTATCACTTACCGTCACCTCGGTTAGCTTTGTAGTTTTCCTGCCATGGTTCATTCAATTCAATCAACATGCCAAGATATGATACAATAGCGTGTAAAACTTGTTCCACATAGCATATATTCAGCAACTAAAGTATTAAATTAAACATAGAACAAATCAGGCATCAACTGTCAGAAAGTTTAGAGAAGAATGGATGATCATTGACTGCAATAGAACACAAACAGTTCTTTGTGCGACATGCAGTAAAAATCTACCATAAGAAGCTTACTATGCATCTTATCATCATAGTATTCAAGGTTACATCGTACTACTACTTGTCTGATATGGCACATCTAACTACAACTTGTCCGATTTTTCACATCTTAATAACATTGTAAATCATGTTAAATCAAGACCACGATACATCTCATCCACATGGTGCGAGGTCTGAAATTAAACCAGGAAAAGCACACTTACGAGTGTTTTTTCTTATCCGTTCCCTCCCCCTCTGAAAAGAAACCAGAAGCACCATATATCTCCTGCGCCTGCATTTTTTATACAAGCTCAGGAATTAGTTCAGGCCCTTCATATTGTCGCAAAGTTAGGAAACTAAATGCATAAAAATGAGGAAAACACATTTAGAAAATTATAAGCATATACACTTATTGTTTAGAAATGTAAAGATACCATAAGTGTCACAATCTACCTGCTTATCCAACCAGACAAGATATTGCACAACTGCGGCACCATCGCGGATATGAGCTTTCTTTAACCCTTCCAACTCGATGGGGTTCTAAAGTTGGAGAGAAATCAGTTGATATAAAAAATAATTAATAGAATAAGAAAAAACATCACTCACAACAAACTGGAACAATACTATCTCCAGTAGATGGGAAGAACAGCATCCTACCTTTAAAGCTTTTGCAAGGGCCAAAGGTGACTGCTGTAATATAACTTTTTCAGGGTTTAGTTTTGAATACAAAGCATAACAGCATGAACCAGGGTCAGCCCATATCAGATCGTTGTTTTTATCTTCTGCTTTGTTTGTACCATTTCCTGTAATCTCAGTTCCCTTGAATGAAGGTTTCAGCTGATTAGATGCAAGCAAGGCCACATCTGAGCTCACTGATTTATAGTCCCGAACTTCAATCCCATTTTCTTCCAAGTAAGTGTTTACCTACATATCGAGCAAATTTCTCAGATAAATCTAAACTGATTAGCTTCCCAAGCACACATGCCTTACAAAATGGAAAAAAAAGGAAAAGAAAAACACAAAAATGAAGGGAAGCATAACTTTGCTCCAAGGGTTTAACTACTGGTATCAGTAATCAGATGCATAAATTGGTCAAGGCCAATAGTTTTAGTAAAATACATCTAATATTACCAGTGGCGTGATAAATTCAAACCATTATTCACCACCGTACGAAGGTTCTTGACAAGATGATGAAAATAGATATATATGATTTAACTGACCTCAGAAGAAACCTTCCTTTTGTCCACATAAAAGAAAGCTGAGTTGGATGTTACTATAGCAAATGCATGAACAACCGGACTATAGGAAACATCACTCCCACGAATATTATACAACCAAGCAACCTGCAGAGTAGCAATTTGATTCAGATACTGCAAGACAAAATCCAAATAGAATAAAAACATGAGGAAATAGGCCATGTTCAACGAAGTTCTGGATGTCATAATAACAAGATTGAGCAAAGATATAAAGCAACAAACCAAACCAACTAACCTCATCAAGTGCTGAGATGATTATACCACGAGCATTCTCTTGTATGAGTCTTTCTCTCAAATCCTTCAACTTATCGGCAACAGAACGACCGGTATATTCTAAAGGATGTACAATGACAGGATTAATTTCCGCAGGAGGTTGATTTTTCCAGACTTCATCTACCAAATTTGTGGACGTCTGAACCAACTTCTGATGTTTTTTGGAAAAAGCAAGCTCCCATTTTTGTGCAGTGTCTATCGACACACACCAAGGATCGATACCAATGGCTGAATCTTTGGGGAGATTCTAACATAAACAAATCAAAAGAATCCACTTAATATACCAAGAACTTGTAAAATGCAAAGTTGCTACTGAGGCAATTTAGCAAGAAGCAACTCATAAATTAACACCAGTACAGAAACAAAGCATTTTTGTGCAAAGCTATCTCTGAGAAAATTTGATGGTTTAGTGAATCTTCAACATTGAAAATAATTATAGGAGTTAGCCAAAGAACCAAACCAAGGACTCACATCTGCCATCCAGATATCTACAGCAGGGTCTTCTCCCATTCGCATAAGCTGCCACTGGTCGCTAAGTTCTTGCGTTGCCTGCAGAAAGTAACGACCATCCGTCCAAAGCCGTGCTTCATTCTTTGTTACAAGTGCCAAACCTGAACAAGATTCGAAATACAATTCAGTTATGAAAATATGCTTCAAAATTCTCTTTAGAACTAATCAAATTCAAATAGAATCATCGTAAAATTACATAGAGAAGAAAGCCAAAATATAAAAAAACACTGACCAGCACTCCCAGTGAAGCCTGAAACAAATTCACGCCTTTTGTCTCGTGCAGATACATACTCACTCTGCATTAGAACATAAATCACACTATAATCAAAATTTACTATTTCTCATAGGAAAATTAGAGATGAATGAGATTGGATAATTCTGATTCGATTTCTGAAAAATTATAAGAAATTGAAATAACAGTTATGATGATCAATGAAACTGATAAAATTTACAGATGAAAAATTTCAGATGCAAGATTTCAACGAAACATCAAGCATATGATTTACAGAAGAAGACCTGGTGATAATCTTCGGAAGGGACGACTAAGGCATCAAGAGGAGGAGAGTGAGACGCCATTAAAGACCTGAGAGCACTGAGAGTGTCCGCCATCGCTCTTCTCGGCGAAGAATTGGTCTCTTTGAAGAATCGAAGAGAGTGACTGTAAATGGAACTGGAGTTTGAGAGAAGCAACAACTTAAAAAAGAAGTTGATACTCGTTAATAGTCTTGTGATAAAGTAAGGCTCTGAGTTTCCGAAAGTAACCTTGTCGTGACCCCTCAGTAGTTGTAAATTATACTTGTTTTGGCGCTTACAGTAGGGTTAAAAAGGTCAACGCAGGCCAACATAGTGCGTAAAGTTGTAAAATTCTTGTAGACACCACGAATTAGATTCTTATATTATATCTATAAAACTTTACGAAAGTTATTAATAATTATTATAAAATATAAAACAAAAGAGAAAACCATAATTATTATAAACTTTCGGAAAATAATTTGAGATATTTAGTGATATACCCATTTCTAGTACTAATATTATAAATAAATCATACACAATTGAATTTATATAAACAAACCAAAAAAACACCCAAAAAATGACAGCTGGTCTTATTGAATTTAATATTGATTATTAAATTACTTTGATGTCCTATTAAGTGTTTTGAGTATTTTTATGAGATTTTGGGGTTGGGTTTGTTTTAAGAAATTGATGGTAGTTTTGTAATTTATAAGAAGTTAAAAGCTTTTTTGTTATTTTGTAAATAAGCTTTGGGTGTGTTTCTAAAGCCCATTTCATATGGGGTATTTTTATAATTTGGGCGCCCCATATTAGGTATAATAGTGAATCCCCCAAATAATTTTCTCATAGAATGACAGTTTTTATTTATTTATTATTTATAAATATAAGCTATATGAGAGATAGGGAAATCGAATGCTCTTAACTACTTGACGACCTACGAGTCCCTTGCAAATGACAGACAGTTCTTATATTATGTAGTAGTGATAGCTAAAGCCACCATTTATAGGTTAAACTGAAATCTAGTACCATACTATAGGTTGGATATATTTTTTAGTACAAGTGATAGTCTAAACTACAGAGGAGGGAGATTTATCATATACACACAATTGAGATGTCATGAGGGTTCGAACTTGAAACCTCGTCTACAAATCAGATCCTTTTTCATTTGACTAGACCCCGTTGGCAATATACTAGGTTAGATTAATATTGAACATTTTGGTATTGTGCTTAAGGTCGTACAACTTGTACTGTTTTTGGTGTTCTGTCAGATAGAATTAATTTTTTTTAATTTTCTACCATATGTTTAACTCTTTCTTTTTTGTAGGTTTGCATCCTAATATAACAATGTAACTGTAAAGATCAACTCTGAATTGATAAACCAAAACACAATTAGATCAACAAGAGCAGAAGTCTGATTGCCAGAAATTGCAACTGAGTTCCTGATAATGCTTTTCCCCATGTCAACCTTTTCATCAATCAATAGCACAATTTCATAGAACAGAGCAATAGGAGAACTTCCTGTTCTCAACCAAACTCATCAACACCAATGGTAAGAAAAGATCAACAAAGCAGAGGCTTGAACAAAATTAAAACAGAATGAAATTTTTTATTAATATATCAAGTCCTAAGTGTATAAAGTATACAAAATGAAACACAAAATAAGACACCCACAGATTCACAAATTATTTGACAAAATCAGGCATAACAAATTGAAAACATTTACAACTTTCTGAACAGATGAGAACTGGAAGGGAAGAAAAATGAAAGAACTAACACTGGGCATAGGTAACAAGAAAATGCCAACACCAATCACAGGAGGGGATATATATTTGATCGACAAACACAAGAGAAAAATGATTGTAAACAAAGATGCTAAAATCAGAAAATCATCATCATCAAGCTTGGGCAAGCTTCTTGACCACTGCTGCCATATACTTCCCCTGATGCTCTGCAAGCGCCAACTCAGTTTCACTCGGCCCTCTTGTGCCATCACCAGCAAAAACACCAGCACCATATGGAGAACCCCCTCGTACAGAGTCCATCTTAAACATGCCAGCTCCAAAAGTATACCCAATGGGAACAAACAGCATTCCATGATGTGCCAATTGGGTGATTGCCGTCCAACTGTGATAAATAGCAGAACATAAGTCTCAACAAATTTTCTCATTCATTTATATAAACATTTACAGGATTTTATCCATAACAATTTCAATGATTTTATTCGAATGATGGATATGATCCTAGTATACCACAGAAAGGGGAGACGGTCACATTACAAGGTACTTCCACTTCAGACTCTTTTTTCCTAGTCTAAATACTTCTACTTCAGATTGTTTGAGACAAATAACCCCAAAGTAGAACACGCATAAACAAAAACAACATTTCATTATTTTGCAAAAACGAAACACATACATACATCCTATATGTACCATTTTACTCTCAAACATATTTGCAAGGTGAACCTCACAACTTCAAGCACATTAACCCAGAAGCACAAGGACATGCCATTTCTTCTACTTCATATTGGAAATAATGTGACCTTAAAGCTTGGTCTTTATTGTCATTTCTTCTAATTCATATTGGAAATACTGCCATCTTAAAGACCCACGCTTTATGATCTGAGTTAAAATTAAACAATAATCTCTATACAATCAAACACTAGCATGCATAGAACTTAGAAAAGTCATGTCAATTGTGTAGCTAAAACTCATAATGCTTCATGTGGTTAACAATAATCTCCATTGATCTTCAATGCTAGATACAGACATTAACACCAATTTTTGCAGACCATATACATACAGAAACAACTAAATTACTCAATTCCCACTTCAAATTCACAGCTTCTAAAATAATAGAAGAGAAACAATTAAGAATTGAGGCAAAAGCTTACGCAGTGGTTTCTTGGCCGCCTCCTTGAGTTCCAGTACTGACAAAAAACCCAGCAGGCTTCCCAGCGAGGATCTGCTCCTTCCACAACTGCCCCGTCGAGTCGAAAAAAAGCCTTCATCTGCGCCGCCATGCTCCCGTACCTCGTCGGAAAACCAAACAAAACCCCGTCCGCCGCCGCCAATTCCGCCGCCGAAATCTCCGGAATTTCGGTGTCCTTCGGAGGTGCCTTCATAGCCTCCAGCACCTCACTCGGCAGCGTCTCGGGCACCCGATAAAGCAACCCCTCAACGCCGTCCACGCCGTCAACGCCTTTCTTCATCCTCCTCGCCAAATCCTCTACATGTCCGTACATCGAGTAGAACACTATGAATATCCTCAATTTCGGGGCCGGATGCGAATTCGGATGCGATTCGGCGGAGACGACGTCGTTTCGGCTGGGAGTGGTGGAATTGGGATTGTCGTCCGTGGGGATCGGCGGCGCGTTTTGCGAGGCGTTTGGGTGGGAGGCGTCGGGATTGGCGGCGCTGGAGGGGACCTTCTTCTTGCTTGGGACACAGCCCCCGCCTTTCCCCATCGAAAATAACAATATTACTCAATGAGGATAAGAATTAAGAAGTGTGCACCAAAACCCAAACACCAGTTTTGAATTTGGAGCTTCGTTTCTTAGTGGCAGTTAGGCACGGAGTCCAGAGCTTCTTCGTTCCAAGCTGTAGAAGAAGCCAAGTAGGACTAGAATTTGGCTGCAACCCAATAACTTACTGTATGTATATCCGTAAGGACACGTGTCGGTTTGAGGATAAAAATCACCTCTGGTTTTGAATTTTTTTTATTGTTTTTTTTTCATTTCTATTTTGTTATTGTGAAAAAAGTTTGGTGCTTTGTTATTTTTTATTATTTTCACAAATGACAGTGAAATTCTAAATTACGTTAATGTACAGTTAATGTAAAGAGTGAAGGATCAAACTTGGGTGCAATAGGGAAGTTCGATGCTTTGGTCAAATAGCCTAACTTACGTCTATTTTGGTGTGGGTGGGTTTGGAATTATGTAGAAAAGCATCTTTTGGAATTTTGGTTTAGCAGTCATTATTATTAATCATCTAGGATCTACCTAACATCTCCAACCCCATAATAATATGATATGATTGATTAAGATATAGTGTTGAATAAGGCCATTTTGTCCCAGGGAAAAGTCAGTCCCCTAAATTCTAATGAATAAAGATGGAACCGATTTAAGTTGATGGTGATGTTATTGGAAGAAGCCAAGAGGCAAGTGGGGAGATTTAATTTTACAAGCATATGAATAAATAAACAAAACAAATGGATTCTTAATCTTTATTTAATGGATGAAGAGGTGTGACAACTCAGGAATTCAATAAAAAGCGGGTTTGGTGGCTGTACATCATTTGGATAGCTTAGTTGCCTGATTAGCGATCACAAGGGCCTTTTGATACTTGACGTGATACAAATCCAAAGCAGGAGATGATGATCATATGACGAGTTGCTAGGTAAAGAAGAAATCATATGGAATTAGTTTCGTGGCTCAAAGAAGCTCATCTCTTCCAATTTAAGGAACATTGATGTAACACAATGGGGGTAAATATCAATGTCAAGCCACTAGATCATGTTCTCGCATTCAAGGCGAATTCATATTGTAGATGAAACCCTAACACAAGGCCACCAGCCAGTTTTAACCCTCCAAAAAGAGACCCCGGCTTGCACATGGTACATTAAGATACTACTTATTGTAATGTGCAAATACTTGTCATGAAATTCACAAACAGATTCAAACGAGTCATGTTTTGCTCAAGAACTATATGACACCAGAAAGTTACTCTAAAAGTGCAATTAATACCTGTCAACTAAAATTCACAAACAAATCCAAATGAGTGAAGTTTTGCTCAAGAAATATACAGCACTTGAAAGTTGCTCTAAAAAAGTGCACATAAAAGCTCCCAACCTTAGTACATAAATCTTCAGCATGGACTCTACTTCTACAAGTCATTGGAATTGTCAAAGCTACATACAATACACCTCTCACTTAGGATTCCTAAGAACAATGATAACTGAATCCCCACGGAGAAACATCTTGCTGATGAATCTATCCTTGTTAACCGGTTGGGCCTTTTTCTTGCCTTTTCCAGTCTTCGGCACCTGCATAGACAAATGAAAGATAACACAAATATCGTGCGTTAAAAGAACATTGATGATTGATGAAGATCTACCAACACAAACAAAAACAAAACACGAGAAAACCCCATGATGGGAAATACCTCAGTCCACATCTCCCTGACATTTTCCAGAACCATGTTGCAATGCCTGTCGAATGCTCTCACACGTCCAAGAAGCTTTCTGTTATTACGACAGTTGATGAGCACCTGTTTGAACAATGAGAACCAATTTGAATAAGTCTTGATATGTAAAGCCTTTATGGACAGAGAACTATAAAATTATAAGAAAGCATTACCTGAGTATTATTCTTGACACTCATCATAAGAACAGAGAGTGGTCCGGTATTAAATTCCTCTTCCTCGTTCTTGGTAACCTGCAGCATTCAGGTTGGATGAGAATCTTCACAAATTGATGATAACAATAAGAATAAATATGCTGACTTAGGGTTTCATAGTGAGAATATGACCAAATAAAGGGTTTCAGAATGAGAAGCAAAACATAATCACATTCAACCCTGTCATACACCAAGAGAGATCACTCTCAAACATTTGGTCCCGATGGTTTTATTTCGCAGGAACAGGAAATTAGTGAATGTTTGGCGGTCTATCAGAAGACCATAAAAAAGAATCACGCAAACATAGGAGGCATAACAGTATTACTCTTTGATAATTATTGGTGTTCTGATGCATTAAACAAAAAATGACTAACTGATGAGCAACAGTCTTTTGAACTTAGATTCTTTCCATGAAATACCATCAAAATACTGAAGATAAAAAAGCACACAAATTTTTTTAAAGTTACAAATGGAGTACCATTCAATACAATCACAGAGGGGTAACTATGAGATATTGCTAAACTGCCACTAGTTCAAAGTTGCAAATTCCATATCCAAATTCAGGACAACACATTTTACTCAATCTCTCAGATAAAACCATAACATTTAAAGATGTAAAGAGAGTTATGATAAAAATGCACTAAATCAATTAGCTCAAGAGCAGAATAACTTACATCTTCCTCCATTGGCCGGCTGGAAACAGAGAGGAAAGAAACACAAAACAAAAAAGAAACATTGTTAGTGCTTCAGTAAAAAGCTAAGGATAATTGCAATTTTGACATACCAAATTAATCATATACCTCATCTTGAACAAAGGGCTTGTATGTTTCTAAGACTTTCAACCTGCCAAGGAACAACAAGATGTACGAAATTAATCAATCTGAGTACTAAGTAATAAATGAACGAACGGCAGACACTACTAGTATAAACACTATGTAGCACCGTTACGCCACCAGGGAGGGATCCCGATCTCGAGAAGGAGAAGGAGGGAGATGAAAGGAGAAGAAAGAAGAAAATAACTTACTTGAGCTTGCAGCAGCTGCAAATCTCCAGTTGCAGTTGCTCTGCGATGAATAGGCGGCTAACTGGTGAAGAAGATGATGTTAAGTTAGGTGCCCTAATTACAAGACGAACCGTTCTAGTTTCACTATGGGCTAGTGCCCAGGTCTGTTTCACTAATGGGCATTTTAGTAAGTTCATTTTCACTTGTGGGCTAGTTTTATTTTGACAAAAAGACAAGCCCACAATAAGAACTATGAGAACCAAATGGGCTATTACAAGACTGCCCAATCCAGATGCCCAAACTTTGGGCCTTACATATGGCCCTCACTATAGAATTCTAGAAACTTTGATAACCAAAATTAGATTACTAAATCAAGTTGGCTAGAGTGAATGTCCTCCTACATATTAATCCAGTTTAATTGAAATAACTAAATTCTTGAAAACCCTAACCTCCTCTCCCAAAAAACACTCTAGAGCCGTTTTCACTTTGAGGAGGGAGGAAGCCATTGTTCTTCCCCTCTTCTCCCTTCCTCCCTTCTCCTCTCTTACCCCATTTTTAGAGATAAAATGTTTTTCCTATTTGTCTTCGTTTTGTTATATTTTTCTCCATGCATAACAAGCAGATGCATATCAACGTCAGATCTCCACATGCATTTCAGTGTCAAATCTTTACGATCATCTTTTTTGCAGTTTCTTCATGTTTGGAATAAGTTGTAGAGACTCTTTGAGTTTTATGTGTAGTTTTCACCTATATTTTTGTGAGAGTTGTTTACCTCTCTTTTGTGAGAGCTTTACACCTCTCTTTTGTGAGAGTTTTATTTGTATTGTTATGACTTGATTTTTTCAAGCTTAATCTCTTTTTAGATGTTTTGGAGTTTCTTTGATCTTGCGTGATCATTAGTGGAGGAGCACTTATATTTTGTGTTTATTTTGATGTTTTTTTGTATCGTTTTGTTATTGTAATGGTTTGTGGTTAGTTTGTATTGACCCTTTTGTATTGTCTTTTTTTTTTTTTTTTTTTTTTTTTTTTTTATTTTGAATGAAATCCCAAAATCTCTCAACAAAAAAAGAGCGGATGTGCTTCTCACTCTACATCCAAGTTCGAATATCCTTCCCCGTTGTTCAGATTGGATTAAAAAAAATATCGCTTGTATAAACAAAATTAATAATTAAGAATAATAAATAAATTTTTTCTTCTAATCATTTTGATCATTATTCCAAAGGAAAAAATTTGCAATTTCCCAAAAAACACAAGGGTCATGAGTGTAATGAACGAATTTATGGGTGTTAGCAAACACTTACTACTCAAATAAGTTGCATATTTTTCTTTTTCACATATTCTTACAAAACTTAGGCCCAAGCACTTTAAAGAGCTTTCTTTTTAAATGGATTGCTCCAAGATGGCTTCAAAAACAAGATCCCGTTTTATGGGATGTGACACAGTTGGACGATTGACATGCATTCGCAATTGCATGACTGTCTTACATCTGCAAAACGAAATCCCCTTTTTGAATTTTTTTTAGGTGGGCTATACTAAAGATTATGTTTTATTAGTTTAAATTAACAGGTTATGGTTTATGCTGGTTTAACTACGGGTATTGGGTGGAAGTTTTTAAAATAAAATATTGGTATCTAGTGATTCTAAGCAGCCATGTGTATGATCCATGATCCGGATTTATAGAAAGTTTTCCAATCAGGCATGTGAATGATCCTGAATTCAGACAAAATGCTCATAGCCTTGTAGGCACCTGACTAATTAAGCTTTAACTAGAGCTGCCTATAGTTCTATATATTTTACCATTCTCCGAAATTTAATTGGTTCCTAAAACTATTTTCTAAGTTAGCATTAAAAAAAATATGGACGCAAGTATGCAGCATTCTCAATGGGAAAGTAATTGCCTCTACTTAAGCTTTTTTAGCAAACCAAGATATGATTTCCTCAATTTCAATAACAACAGAAATGTTCTCCCTCAATTTGAGGGAACCTCCCCACCAATTCACACACCTTTTGTCTTGTGGAAAATCTAAGGCTTTTACCTCTATAGTCTAGCTAGACACTACTTATATGT